TAAGACATACTGGGAGATGATTTATAATGAAATGAAAAAGGTATTTAAATATACCTTCCTGAAGAAACCAGAGGCCTTTCTCCTGGGCATGGTCAGCCAATTGGTGCCAAAGAAGGATAGAACTTTTTTTATGTATGCAACAACAGCAGCAAGAATACTCATCGCGAAGTATTGGAAGACACATGATTTACCCACCTGGGAAGAATGGCAGATGAAGTTGATGGACTATATGGAATTGGCGGAAATGACTGGCAGAATCCGAGACCAGGGAGAAGAATTGGTGGAAGAAGACTGGAAAAAGTTTAAAGACTATTTACAGAAATATTGTAAAATTAATGAATGTTAGAAAAATGTTGGAATGAAATTATATGGCTTTAGTAGAAATGTTATAAGGAAATAAGTATAAATAGATTAATAGAGTATTAAAGGAAAAATAAGGTTAGAATGTGTTAAGATAATTATAGGATAGAAAACAGAGGAAGATGGAAAGGAATTGCTGAAACAATTAACAGAAGTGGAATACAAAAAGGGAGGTGTGAGGAGGTCGTGGAAATAAGTGAATGAAAGATAAGATATTGAAATTGTTTGATTTATTTTAAACTGTTTTTGTTTTGTTTTGTTAGTTTAATGTGTTTAATGTGTCAATGTTATGTAGTGTTTTTGTATTGTATTGTATTGTTTTTGTAGTGTTTAAATTGTTGGAAAAGCAATAAATATTAATTTTTTAAAAAAAGAGAAAAGAGAGTGACTGACCACTTCCCTAGGCCAAGCTAATAAATTGCTGCTCATGCACTACACTAAACATCAGAGCAGGACATCAGTTTTCAGAACAACAACCAATGCAGTTTTCATAGGTGTGCTCCACAGGAATCACTATTTTGCCATGCTGGCTGGAGCTGATGGGAGTTGTGGTCCTAAAAATCTGGATGGCATCACGTTGGGGAAAGTTGCATTCTGTTTATATGTCCCATTACTTTCAGAGACACAATTAGTTGAGACAGAAGACAGGGCATTTCCTATTGTGGCAGTCAGGTTGTGGAATTTCCTGCTTAGATGGCTTGTTTGTCCCCCTGTGTTTTAAGCCTCAGGAGAGCAAATTAAGGCTTTAAGTGCATTCACTGACTTTTAGTTTTAGCTGAAGTTTGTCTCTCCTACTTTTATGCTTCCTTTCCCTTTTCCCCCTCTTTGAATCTACTCTTAGTTTTATAGTATTTTGTGGATTTTAGTAGTTTTGATTATTTTTAACCAAACTCTGCTTTTATTGAAAAGAATACCATTTGTATGTACTGTTATAGGAAATAAAAAGGGCATGCAAAAATATAACTGAAACGTGGTAGAGAAGATACAGTCACTATCTTGCTATATTTGATCGTTTTTATGTGTTCTTGCATTTGGTGTATGAATGTATGCTGTAAGGCACCTTTAGCTTTCTAGGATCAGCAGCGGAAGCCCTGAATTGGCCTTGGCAGATGCCCAACAATACCTATACCTGACTTGGCTCCTGAGTAAAAGGCAGAGCTTTACTTCCACCATTTTTATCTCTCTCTCTCTGTTCCAGCTGTTTCCCCTTAGTGTATGGAAATTTCAGAAATATCCCTTGAAATTTGCACCTTTCCCTATGTTGTGTCCTAGGCATCCACTTTGGTTAAAGTCAGAGCCTTATTATAGAGAGACTTAACGCTCCTACAGTATGTTCCATGATGCATGAGCAGACATTCAAGGAACATGTCATTAACAACTTTTACCTTGCTGCTTCCGATTGTGGGTGCAGGTGGGGGTTTTAAAAGCAGTCTGAAGGTTTAGTTGAAAAGTTCCCCTCATCTTAAAGAGAATAAACTGTCATAAAGACTATAATAATCACCTTTCCATCTTAAAAGCAATCTCTCGCAGACCTGTGATATAAAAGAGATTTTTAAGACTCCTTGTTATCCTTCTCAAATTATATCACAACAGACACATACCACTGGGTTCTGGGTGATTGATGGATTTATTTATTTTTTAAAGGAACTCTTGAGTTCTTGGTGGTTCTGCATCCAGTCTGTGCTAAGCAGCTCATGGTAAAATGCTGCGTACCTTAAAATAGGTCAAGTAGATGTGGCACATACTGAAGTCTGTTCCCGACTTAGGCACAGACACATTCTCCATTTGTATAAAAAGCTGTTTGTATCTCCGTTCCTAAACCAAAAGGGGTTTGTTTAATGTTGTAAAATATGAGGCTTTTTCCTTCCAACAGTCAGAAGCGGCAGTCTGCGCATGCATTATTTATAGAAAATAATTGCAAAACAATTAGTTGAGCGACTGTAATGATTTTTGAATGGGAGTAGGTAGTGAGACATAGAAAACATATGGCATTTCACCAACTGTTTATAAATATTATAGCAGAATTGTGCAGAAGAACGGCCTCCTCCTCTACAAGAATCAACAAGGAAGATCTCCTTTAATTGCTGACTACCCATGGTGTTAGTATCATCCTGACATTTTATCCTCTCTCTGTGTGTTTCCCACACATAAACTCATACTCTTTCTCCTCCATCTCCCTCCCAGGTTTTCTGTTTCTACCATGGTTGTGCTGTTCGGAACAATACCCAGGCAGAATTGAGTTTTCAGTCGTTCCTTAACTACCCCAAATCAGGTATCACAAGGTGTATATATATATATATATATATATATATATATATATATATATGCTAGGAAGTCACAGCCACCCTAATAGCCTAGCAGTTCTGCATAGGAGACGGGGGACATCTCTGATTTTAAAAGGTCTACATGAGAAAATCTTACATGTACAACTCTCATTTCTTTCCTTCTCATACAGGGCCCTCTTCCTGAGCTTTGTGCCAAATTGCTAAACCAGAGACACAAGAAGGTTGCATGAAGAGTTGCCCACATGAGCACCTTTCTCTTGCTCAGCCATTGTACAGAAAGAAAAAAGAGGCAGCTGAAGAACTACTGGCTGCCAGGCTTGGCCCCAAATTAGCATTAGAACTTCCAGCTTGCAGGACAAATTTCACCTACCAGGCTTCCTTCCCCATGGTGTGTTCTCCAAACCTGGCCCCCATTTGCCTCACATCTGATGTGATAAGTAGCATCATGTGCAGGGCAGGTAGAGACATGGCTGGGTCCTGCTGCTGAAAAGGATTGAACTCCCTGCCTGTCAGCTGATGCACAGAGAATTCAGTTCTGCTCGTTTGGGTGTCCCAGCAAGTTCTCCACTGGGAACAAAATGTTGTCATTTGGAGTGCTCCTGTTTAGGGTTCCTGCCAGCCATGTCCTCTGCCAAGATACCCCATTTTACCCTCTGTGGCTCCCACTGGACTGTTTGTAAACATTATTTTTATTCCATACTTCGGAAAATATTGAGGTTGCCCTGAGTAGGCTGCTATATTCCTCTTGGTTTCTAGTGGCCTTGGTTTGGCCACAGCTCTTAGTACTCAGTGTCTACAGCCATACTACCCTGAACACGCCCGATCTCATCTGATCTCGGAAGCTAAGCAGGGTCAGGCCTGGTTAGTACTTGGATGGGAGACCGCCTGGAAATACCGGGTGCTGTAGGCTTGGGACATGGGTGGCGCTGTGGGTTAAACCACAGAGCCTAGGACTTGACAATCAGAAGGTTGGTGGTTCGAATCCCCGCGATGGGCTGAGCTCCCGTTGCTCGGTCCCTGCTCCTGCCAACCTAGCAGTTCAAAAGCACGTCAAATGCAAGTAGATAAATAGGTACCACTCCGACGGGAAGGTAAACAGCGTTTCCGTGTGCTGCTCTGGTTCGCCAGAAGTGGCTTAGTCATGCTGGCCACATGACCCGGAAGCTGTACGCCGGCTCCCTCGGCCAATAAAGTGAGATGAGCACCACAACCCCAGAGTTGGCCACAACTGGACCTAATGGTCAGGGGTCCCTTTACCTTTACCTTAGTACTCAGCAGCTGAGTTTGCTATTAGAAGAACTGAGGATTGTTACGATTTTAATGTGCTTCTTGCCGTGTCTTTTATTTATATCATGCTTTGAACACTCTGTTAAAAGTGCAAAGGCAAACTATAAATTGGGGCAATAAATAAGCGTACTGTGCCTCCATGATGTGACCCAACGTAACCTGAAAATACATAGCATTACTTAGCAGTATGTATGCACCAGCGTGTGAAGCTACTTCATGCTATTTCACAAAATGGGGGGGGGGGCACTAGCAGGTGGCAAGATTCCTCTGGGGCACCAGCTGGTACTTTAAAGTAAGGATTAGCAGGTATTTGTGTGCAGTTGAACCAGTTGGAAAATCCTGACCCTATTTTGATCAAATGAAAAACAACCTCATGTGCGGCAGATTTTGTCTGTTTCAGTCCCCCCCCCCCCCCCCAGCAAAATGAAACACTGAAATGTTCAGTGGAGGATTTCTCACTTCTCTAGTTTGGGAGTGCATGCCTGGGAAACACAGAACCACCATTTTAAAAGTGGCTGACGAAAAGCGGGTGAGAGGCTTTGTGTGGCTTGATCTTTCACTGGAATAAAGAAGAAGAGAAGCATTTTGCTTCGCGTTCTCTGGAAAAATTGTGGTGCTTCCCCCTCACAATAGCCTGCAGGGCCCAGTGCGTGGGGAACGGAGGGGCCCAGAAACCAAAGCCTGCACATTGTAGACTGAGGGGGGCGGAGAAAATTGTGTGTGAAGGAAAACTGTGTTGCGAAAAGGAAACTTTTTATGAGAGAATTGTTTTTAAAAGCACCAAGATTAGGAACCAGCTTTGTTTTATTTGCCTCAAAAAAGCAGCACTTTCTCTTCATGTGGCTCCCCAAGTACTTGAGGAGAATTCCACACGCAGGCAGCTGCTCCGCGTGTGTGCTTGGAACGTCAGGTCTCCAGGGAAATGATGTTCCAGAAAAAGAAGGGTGGGGAAAGAAATGCGATAGCTGACAATCTTCGGGAAGGGGAGACACGGGGAAACGCCGAGCTCGCCTCAGCCTGGGCGCTGGGCGGAAGGCGGCGCCTTCGCTATTGGCGCCGGGCTGCTGCAGTGAGGCTCGCGGCCGCCAGGGAGAGCCGTTCGGGCGCCGCCTGGAGCCGAGCGAGGCGCGGCTGGCTGGGCGCCTGGCTTTGCGCGCAACTGGTGGCGGGGTCCTCCTTCTCCTCCTGGTCCGGGCGGGGTGGTCACGCCCGGCGGTGGCGGCTCCTGCACAGTGCCGAGGCCGGCCAGGCGAAGTTGGGCAGCGGCGAGAAGGGGCGGCGTTGCTGCTGCTGCTGCTGCTCCCTCTTCCCAGTATGCCGGCGTCTCCCCAGTTGCCTCGGCGGCGACGGCAAGCGGGCGGCCGGCAGCGGCAGCCGAAGAAGCGCGTGTGAGCGACCGGAGAGCTCCTCTCCACTCACAAGGATGCTGGGGGGCGATGCCTGGCGGCAGGGAGGACGAGATTTGCCAGAAAGCGCTGAAGCTGCTGGTCGAGCTCTGCTCCGACGGGACGGTGGAGAACGACCGCTGCCTCGAGTTCAACTACTACCTGCGGGACAGCGGCAGACCCCGGCCCACAGACTCCGGTAAGCGCCGCGATCCTGGGTGGTGGGGGGCCGGGAAGGAACTTCAGCGGGACGAGGGGCTTCAGTTCCCTCGTCGGAAATCTATAGGCGTCCATCGCAGGCTGGGTTTGGCGAGGTGGCGCGTCAGTGATCGCCCGATCCCATCCCTCCATTTTTCAGAAATCTCCCTCCGCCCTGATTTTGAGGCGACCAGGACTTTACTCCTAAATGGACTTTACTCCTAAATGAGGCCGGGGTTGATGTTCCCGGTCTGTGCTGCCAGAGAGCACGCCGTCGTCCTGGACGCAGCGCCCAACCCTAGTCACATTTAGGCGCCAAACCCATTGGTTTCAATGGAATCTTACATGCTGATTTGAATGGATGCAGAAATGAATCCTGTTGGTTTTCACAGAACTTGCTCTTAAGCATGGCTTTAGGATCGTGGGTTTGCATCCTGATATTGGACCTGCTCAGAGGGAAGTCCATGGGAGTTGAGTGAGAGTTGCTCCCATGTAACACGTGTGTGTGCGTACAGCGTTGCAGACATGGTCATGGGGCAGAGTTAAGGTACCATCTCTGAACTATTTTTAGATCCTGTGAATTTCTATTGCTGCTGCAAGACCAGCACGTATGCAGGACTGTCGGAATAAACACATCTCCAGAAACCAAATCATGGCTGTGGCTCTGGTTGAACTCGGAGTGGGACCTGGGCGGTGTGTTCAAAAGGCATTGCATGCTGGGAAGCTCTTAAGCTATTGAGATCTTACAGGAATTGTTTCTTTGCCTTCCTTACAGAAGCACGCGCACGTGCACAACAATCAAATAAAATATGACAGAACGTTAAATTGCTCTTCTATATCTCCTACGAGTAATATAAGCATTTTGCAATATAACACATCTCTGTACCGTTGGTTTCATTATGGAAATCAACTGGCAGCATACCTTGTTTTCTTTAAAACATGTTTCAGGGGTGGGGGCTGATTGTATTGGGACTAAAGGAGCAAAGGGATGCTACCACCGTTTAATTAGTTGTAATCCTTTCGCTGGGTAGCGTAGAAGTTGCTGCTTCCTGAGCTATTTGAAAGCTAGCAGCTAACTTTGGTAAGTTCATTTGACGAGGATCAGGATTTAAGTGAGGTGGGCATGCTGAATTGTTAAACTGATAGGTGCTTCTGTTCTGTCTCAAAATGATTACTGAGCTCTGATCCTGAGTATACTTGTTTGGAAATAAGTCCTACTGAAATCACAGAAGATTGACTTATGCATAAACGCACTTAAGATGTTGCAGGGTGGAAGGTAGAGGCAGGATGTTATACTTTGCAGCAGATGGGTTTTTACGTTACTGCTTTTCTTAGGAACAATCCTAAACTATGTCCCATGGTAGCATTTTTTATTCACTGACAAGCTTTTGAGTCCCCTCCCTCTTGTTTCCTACCAGAGAGACTGCATACCAGCCTTTTGGGCTGATTATGGGATTTATGTTGGATTATGTCTTTAGTGCAGTGCCTTTGGTTTCTTTTTGATAAACGTTCTGATTTAAATGTTTCTTTCTTAAAGAAGCACCTCCAGCTGCTTTGTTGCTGCTCTACTTTCTGCAAGAATGTTGACCCATTCTGTGGCTTCTGTGGCTGCTGAAGAAGATCAGAGATCTTCCTGATACAAATGTGCACATGTATTTCCCAGATAAATCACCAAAGGCCTAAGCTAAATGTGCGTTGCTTCTGTGTGTGAAATTTTATCTAGTGCACATGCAGCTCCCAAGCACAAGTCTTTAGTCCGTATTGCTCTTCAACCCATTTGCACTGGAAGCATAACTGTTCAGAGGGCTAGCATAGATCATGCACCTAACACAATATGATGCACATGAAGTGCTCTCATTGTATATAATACCTGCCTCGGCTTTTCTGATGATTACTTTACTACTAAGCTGTGAGTATGGGAAGCTATGAAGAAGTGCCTCCTTAGTGGCATTTATATTCTTCTGATACTGGGGGGTTACTAACTACAAAGTTTATTCTGCTGAACTTAGCGGGACTTCAAGGGGAAATTTTTTTGGATCACACTGCTGAAGTCATCCGATTTACTTACAAATGGTGCCCTGCAACAAAATGTTACAGTGTGCCACAGGTGTTACCAGGGCCTGTAGCTAAGTAGAATTGGGGGGGGGGGAGGGAGTTAACATCGAATACAGGAGTCCCTCCCTGTTGTAACTTGGAACTTGATTCATGTATGTTTTATTTATATTGTTAGTTCTTGGACATTTAAAGGGGAATGCAAGTCAGTTGAACTGATGGATTTGGCCTGGAATGAGGTTCCAGAGGGAAATTTAAGGAGCTGGATTTTTACTTCAACCTGAGATGTATGGGGTATTTTTGACTGGAAATCCAGAGCAGCCTCCGTAGCTCTGTCCAGCAATGTTAAAAGAAGACTACTGTGTCCCTTAAGTCTGCAGTGAGGATGCAACACTGAACTGCACTGCATATTTCTCAAGCCGACCAGCAATGTGGGAGTAAAGGCAATGGATAATACTGCAGCAGTGCTGTTGAAAACTGCTCACTTAGCTTGAATCCAACCTTCGATTGGGGTCTACTCCTGTACATCACTGCAGAGTTGTTGTAGATCACTCAGAGCCTAAGCTGCAGTATTTCACGTGAAGTACGCTGCAGGCCTGTCATAAACCATTTCCTCATCCGCAGCCTTTCCAACTTGCAATATGGTGACGATGAATTGCATTTGGGGAAGGTGGGATGTGGTGGCTACACTGGTGTCCAATCCTGGTTACATGGAAACCTTGGATTTCTCCATTGGTTTCTTTGGGAAGCTCTCACTTCTTCTGTTCCTAACAACATTTAAAAATAGCTTCTCGGTGTGAACCAGCAAATGAATTCTCTTTAGACTATAAGAAGATTCTCACTACACTTCTCGTATCTGGGTCTGTTTTTCCTCATTCCTTTTAGAGGATGAAGGAGAAAGTGACAAATAGACTGAAGGACAATGGAGGGAAAGACCTAATGATATTACTGTGTACCTTCTACTCTCTCCTTTAATCTTCTTGCCTTGTTTCTCAGCTAGCTGATCAGCAGTTCTTGAAGCTGAGCAGCCATGTCCATTTTCTTTTCTGATTTTCTGTGGCTATTGAACATACTTGTTCTGTGTTGGGCTGTTCTTGGGTTCCCCGCCTGCCCTGGGGGTGCTTTTCTTCTAAACATTTTTTGTACATCTGCAAACCTTGAGGTTTCCTTAAGCCTGCTGATACCTCCTCTTGTGTGTGGATGCCCCCATTTTAGCTAAATAAGAATTGACACTCCACCTTGAATCTTGGAAGCAGAGTAAATAATTTTCTTTATGGCGAGTCAGAAGCAAATTAGGTTCCACTGATTTTACTGTACAGTTGTGCCCACAGTTTTATCATTTGATGTTGAGTGGCTGCTACATTATACAAATTCTTCACTATTTTGTAATCCATTGGTATTCAGCTGCTGGGTTGAGATCCACACTGGGTAGTGGACTGACCTTGGGTGGGTTGCAACAGCAACATTACCACTGTACAAGTATATAGTGTAGAATTAAAAATAGGGTCTTTTTGCATCTTTGGGCTAAAGGTGGATCCTTGTTCTCAAAAGGTTCAGGACCATTTGATTTAGTGAATAATGGCCTGTGAGTATATATGCAAAAGTGATCAATCCATGGAGATGTTTTCTAGATCACCAGTGCATGCACACCCATGCATTTATGGCACATTGACATCATTACAAGAACTAACTTTTCTTCATTTTAACTAAGCTTCCTTGCCTGGTCATCCAGAAGCAACAGTTATTTGCCACAAGCAGTCAATTAATTGGTTATTCACAAACCAAGCTTCTTTTGTTGAGCCATTTCCTGCATTAAAATTAATGTAGAATAAGTTAAGTGTTAGTAGGGTTTACACAACCTTTATTTAAAATAATATTAAGCATTTCAAGAAAGAACACTTAAACATAAAGTTAAACCTAAGTTGACAGGTGCAAAACAATTTGAGCATGGGCTTCACAAGTTAAACTATAGCTATTTAGTTTGTACTTGGTGTGATTGATAGAAATCTGTCAAAAGGAATTCATAGAAATACCATTTCACTTGCTCTTTGTCGTTCTCCTGAGTTCCAAGTGACATTTCTGAGATGTCCAGGATGCTTTTCACTTGGACTGTACTGAAAGGCTTTCTCTGCCATCCACAGTGCTCTTGTACATACAGCTTTAGCCATATCCTAGTGAGGATATTGGTATTGCTTCAGTCAGCTGCAATATAAGTTAGTTGAGTTTTAAAACCGTTGATAGCTTGTAGTTGCAGGCAAGAGGGTCCCATCGATATTGTAAGGTGGGGTATAGATTTTACAAATGGTTATTTGAGAACAAATAATGAGGTGGTGTCTCACAAGTAGCATGTGGTTAATAATGGCTCCCAGTGCCCGAGCATGCCCCATCTGCAACAGAAAAAGGATGGAGACACAAGTCCACCCACATTCATGTGATTATGATTATAACCTGTTAATAGTACTGCTAGTTTAAGAGGGAGGAAAGGGTCAATCCAATTCCTCTCACCAGCAGATATTTCAATATCACGATATATCACCAGCTAAACATTGCGATATCTCAGCATATCACGGTGTCTGAAATAAGGTTGGAGCTTATAATAATCTGGGAAAATATTTTTTAAAAAATAAAAAATCTAAATTTGATGCGTATAATTAAATGAAAATTTACTCAGCGATAGCATGCTTAACTATGCTTAACATGGAACCATTCATTCGGGTCTTGCCCCCTCCAGAGCAGGAGAAAACATGCTCCTTCCATCTTCCATGTGACACCCCCTCAGATATTTGAAGGTGGCTACTCTATCTCCTCTCAATCTCCTCTTTCCAGGCTAAACATACCCAGCTCCCTCAACCGTTCCTCACAAGGCTGGGTTCCCAAGACCCATGATCATCTTGGTTGCCCTCCTCTGCACGTGTTCCAGCTTGTTAATATCCTTCTTAAATTGTGGCACCCAGAACTGGACACAGTACTCCAGGTGTGGTCTGACCAAAGAGCTGGTGGCACTGTGGTCTAAACCACAGACCCTAGGGCTTGCCGATCAGAAGGTGGCGGTTCGAATCCCCGCGACGGGGTGCGCTCCCGTTGCTCGGTCCCTACTCCTGCCAACCTAGCAGTTTGAAAGCACGTCAAAGTTCAAGTAGATAAATAGGTACCGCTCCAGTGGGAAGGTAAATGGCGTTTCCGTGCACTTCTCTGGTTTCACCAGAAGTGGCTTAGTCATGCTGGCCACATGACCTGGAAGCTGTACGCCGGCTCCCTCGGCCAATAAAGCGAGATGAGCGCCGCAACCCCAGAGTCGGTCACGACTGGACCTAACAGTCAGGGGTCCCTTTACCTTTATTTCTGTTGATGCAGCCTAGAATAGCATTAGTTTTTTTGCTGCTGAATCACACTGTTGACTCATGTTAAGTCTGTAGTCTACTAAGATCCTTAGATCCTTTTCAGAACAGAAGCTGGAGCCAAGCCACACTGATCTTAAAATGAAGAACGGAATCTTCTCCCACAGCACTGATGAGGAACAAAAATTCCAATAAGCAGTTTCTTTTTCTGCTGATAAGCTCCATGGAGCTTTAAGGCACACATTGTGCCTCTTTCTAGGCAGAGTAGAGACCCTGATACCGTGCTTAGCTGGATATCGAGCTAGGTCTCTATTTTGCCTGGCAAGAGGCAAGGTGTGTGCCTCAAAGCAACGTGAATCTTATGGGGAGAAAAGAAACTTTTTTTGCTGATCAAAATCTCCCTGCCTCAGCAAGGAAGCCTATTGCTGTGCTGGGTCTGTCTCTAGCAAGAGGCATGGGGCTTGCACCTTTCAGATTGTGCAGGCAGAAAGCAGCTTTTACTGCAAAGTAAAGCCCTTTAGGCAGCTGAGAGGTGGCAGGGGCTTATGCCTTGCAGATGGGCAGGCAGGAAACGGCCATTTACTTTGCAGTAAAGTGCTGCTTCCTGCCTCTCTCGATATATTACAGAGTGAAAAAATATGAAACCTTTATTGCGGTCTGGAGTTCATACCGATAAGACACAAAATAACGATATATCGCCCACCCTAACTTTCCTGTGACAGCCCTTAAGATATTTGAAGATGGCTATCACATCTCCTCTCAGTCTCCTCTTCTCCAGGTTAAATGTACCTGTGTTGACTGTGTTTGATGCTGTTTGCCTGGCTTATATTATAATATTGGGGGTTGTACACGCAGTCCTCATAGAGTGTGGACTTTCAGCTAAGAGCCCTATGTACTCAAGACCCCGTTGCATCTTCCGGTACAGAAATATGCACAGGTCCTGTTTGCTGTGGATGCCAGGGCTTAATAAAACCATGTATAAATACAACCTTCTTGAGTGGTTCTTGACACATTGCTTTCCTAAATAATGAGATACACTTCTGTGCTTTCAAAGTAAAATCTATGCATTCATATGGCTTTATATTTGTTGCTATACATGAAGTGATATGTACATGTTTTAGGACTTTGTATTCAACTCACTTTTCAGTGGTTGAAATATCACTGTGTGAAGAACACATTAAAAGAAATCCCTGTGCTGTGTGCTTTTCTGGCCATGAAGTCGAATGTCTCATCCTAGTTGGAAAACAATATATTGAGTTTACAAAAAAAAGGAAGGTAGTGTTCTCTGTAGCTCGGCAGAAACCCATCAATAGTAGACAGGCCAAAGACAGCTTGATTTATTCAGACAAGCCGTCTCATTGAGTTAGTAGAAGGCAATTAATGGGCTCTGAAGAATGTCTCTTCAGGTTTTCGAGGACTGGAAGAATGGTGGCAACAGCATGGAGCCAACTGAGGGAAAAAATACCTTTCTAATTAGTAGCTCGACTCCAACATTATTAATATTTTAGCTTAATTCAGGTAAAAATGTTTGCATTAGGGGATTTGGTCGTTATAGGGAAGGTTGCTAAGAAGTATATAAGATGGTTGATGTTTCAGATGAATAAAATAAATGAAGAGCAAGCATTTTTACTACTGTTTTACACACTGCACATAGTGAGTTCTCAGTTAAATCAATACTTCATTTAAAGCCCATGGTTTCCTGAGTGAGAATGAGCCTCCGTACAAGCAAGTGCCCCTGGCTAGGAATGTGCTTCCATATGTATGGCAGGGTGGATGCATGTATGGAAAACCTGTTTCACTTCCACATGCCCTTACAGGATCCTTCACTGTGCAGAAAATGTGTATCCATATCTTAATGCAGTGCTTTTTTACCTGGGGGAATGCAGGGGGACGCATACCCCTAAACATTTTGTGAATCTAAGTTTGGCCTCATTGAGGGACAGTATTTCAATATGAGCAGGAAAATGAGAGTACCCGTTAACATATTTTTTTTAGCACTGGCTTAATGTAAAACTATTTATTTGATTTGTTATATTTCTTTGATTAGTGTATATATTTCTCATTCAGATGAATCCCAATAAATCCCAATTGTAAATCCCAGTTTACAAACAAGGAATAACAATAACATGATGGAACGTAATCGAACATCACAAATACAGCATAAATCATATAGCATAATTGACAGATCATCGGTGAAACAGTTACACTCTATAAAACACTGTTAACAAAGCGGCACCTAAAAGAATAAGTCAAACATCACAATTAAAGCAAAAGTCATATTATGCGTTTAGCAAATCAATACAGCATTTATAATCTATAAAACAATACTAACAACATTAACAATATAGCAGCCAAAAAAGAAACAAAGCACTGTTAAGTTCATACACACACTCTCTGCGCCCCATGACTCATAAACTATCACTCTATTTATCTCATTAAAACACATCCACATGATGCCTGTGGCAGCAACTCCCTTCTGAAGGTTCTTCAGGCTGGAGGTGGGGCAGCACAAGTGAAACCACCCACTTGCTGATGGCAAACAAGAGTATCTTTCCCTTCACAGTTCTTCCTCTGGAAACAGCTCCATTATGAAGGCTCCCGGGGCTGGAGAATAGGCAAGGCAGGTAGGAAAAGCCATTACCTGCTGGCCAACACAGAGTCCTACAGCATGTGACCCTAGCAGCAAGCAGCACTATGGCAATGCACTACTGTTAAGCTGTCATTTCCCTTGTAAATATTGACCAGCTACTGTCTGAAATATGATGAGTACAGATTCAGCCTAACTGATCTTGAAGCATCAGTTTGTTTTTACAGAAATGAAGAAATGTAGCACTGTCATTGAGCTGGTTTCAACATATAGTTTATCATGATGGGAATGAGTTGCACTAAGCCTCAGTCTCATTTCCCCCCTGCTTCTGATCACAAGATCAAAAGCTTTCGTTTCAGATTAGCCACAGCTTGTCATTTTGTCCGAACCCAATAAACTGTAGTTAGTCTAAACTATGGTTTGTTTGAAATAAGCCAATTTTAAAGGTGTTGGCTGGTCAAGGAAAAGTCTCAGGTAATTTATCTGATTTTTTTTACATTTATATCCTCTCTCTTTTTCCGTCATGGAGCCCAAGGCAGTGTACATGTGGTTCCCAGGAAGTCTCCCATAGATCACATCCAACCCTGCTTAGCTTCAGCAAGGTGGTAACCTCATATGCAGCTTCGCACCATGCCCTAGGATGTTGTGTGTTTACCCCTCTAAGGTAATTGCATCGGTGCAAGAGCTGTAGTTACAGTAGAAGCTTCTATCAGCTTTTTAAATGGTCAAAGTCCATAGTGCCATGTCTAATGTGCCCCTTGTGGAAGATGAGGGCTGCCTTCCATGTGGGCAAACTTCTGGAAGTTGCATGACAGTGCTGGGGGGGCAGAGGCAAAATGGGTGGAGCAGCAGATATGACTGTTACTTTTGCATGGTAGGCTGCATTCCAGCCATGGAAAAGTCAGGTTTCTACACACACACACACACACACACACACACACGCACACTGCCCTCCATGCAGGCAAGCGAGAGACATTTTCAAAGAGTACACTTTAGTCAAGCAAAGGTACTCAAGAGAGAGTGGAACAGCAGTTGGTAAGGAGTGTAGCTGTCAGGGACTGGCTGGATGAGGAAGAGTGGTGGGAGCCAAAATATCTGATGGGAATTGGACTGCAAAACATCTGAATAATTCCAGGTTGGGGGAAGGTTGCATATTCTCTGTTTTTAAGAGCCAAACATTGCTATTGCTATTGCTATTGCTATTGCTATTGCTATTATTTACCTGGGTTTTTGGACCTCAATTTTCTGCATATTTTTAGTTGGGGTAGAGTGAAGTTGGAGCTACTCATTTTGTGTGTGTGTGTGTGTGTTATATGGGCATTTTGTAAATTGTCCAAGTAGTAACATTTACAGGATGCCTATCTTCCTGCAAGTATCCTCAACCCCACCTGCCCAACAAATACCAGGGACATGGAGCCAGTGCAGGAACATTGAGTATGCAATGGCTGTATTCAGTGCAGTAACAGCTTCTTAAGTCCCATCTCCAGAGTGTAGGAGTAACAAGGCACATAACAACCTGGAGTTATCCAGATGTTTTGCACTCCAATTCCCATCAAATAATTTGGACTACTGTGAGCGTTTTCTCTAGTAATACTAGGGTAGCACCTGTTAACATTGGTGGGCATGCATGACCTGGACCAAAGGTGTGACCTGAGATTGTCAGCCATGAAAAATGGTTTTTAGCAACTGCTGTGCTCCATACTCTTCCCCCAGAATGGGCCTCTTCCTTGAGAAACTAGTAAGGATCTGACCCTAGGAACTTTCCATTAAAAATTCATAAAGGTCATAGGAGACTGTGGTGAAGCCCCAGAATAGGATGAAAAGAGAGATCAGGAAATACTTATGCAGATAAGGATGATAAATAGAAAGGCCAGACCATTAATCATGCTGAATTTCATTAATGCCACACTGAGTGGAAGAATGAGACTACCAAAACCAAATAAAGCTTTCTCTTCCTTATTTCCATGCTGGGCTGCATATTTTTGAAGCCCAGAAAACAAGCCAGTGGGCCCGCTGCTACTTATTTATATTAAAAACAGCTTCTGACAAATTACAGTGTAAATAGATGCTGTTGGTTTAACAGAGGATATAGGATTTTTGGAGCTTGTGAGCAAAAGGAATGAAAAGTCACATTTGATCATTTATTCAAGTTAGGAGCAGATGCTTAGATCTAGGAAATTAAAAACCCCACAAAGTCAAGGATGTCAGATAGGCTCTGAATGAACTGTGTGAGACATTTTTATGCCAGTGGAATCAGGGTCTTGTCATTAATATTTTACTTGTATATGTGTGCTCTTATTTCTGCATGCAGGGCGGGCGGGGGAATAACCTAGCAGCATAAATTATCAACAGGAAAACTAAAAGTGAAAACACCCTGTGTAGCATGTATTTTGAATGTTCTCTTGTTTGCACATCCTCTTACTGTATGTGTATCATATGTGCACAAAATACCTAATTCACTTTTGCTTTGCATTATGCTTGATAAAGCTAGTGGGTGGGGTGTGTTTTGCTTGATCTTGTCATAGAGCAGAATATTTCTAGTAGAGAAGCCTAGCCATATAAGTGGGGAAGAAGCTTATTCCTGTGCAACATGTGACCTGGTCCTGACTTGAGGCATATATTGCAATTCGGATGACACTACAGTGGTACCTCGGGTTACATACGCTTCAGGTTACAGACTCCACTAACCCAGAAATAGTGCTTCAGGTTAAGTACTTTGCTTCAGGATGAGAACAGAAATTGTGCTCCGGCGGCGCAGCAGCAGCAGCAGGAGGCCCCATTAGCTAAAGTGGTGCTTCAGGTTAAGAACAGTTTCAGGTTAAGTACAGACCTCCAGAACGAATTAAGTACTTAACCCGAGGTACCACTGTAGTTGCTCTGGGGCTGTCCACTGTGTTAGTACCATTATGTAACTCTAGGGCGTTCACATTTAAATTTCAGTAAACTAGCACTCCATATTCTGGAACAGGCGAAGAACTAGGGTGGAATCCAGTGGATCATGGTTGCTGAGACCGGGAATGTGGGTCAATAGTGAAAAGAAAAGAAAGGAAAAGAAAGAAGAAAAGAGAAGAGAAGAGAAGAGAAAAGCTTAGTTCAGCTGGGTCTGAAATTTACTGACTTATCAGAGCCAGATATTGGTGACTTACAAAGACAGTTTTACTGTCAGGACCATTAAAATAATGAATGTTAGGCATCCATTGATTTTGTGATATTTATGAATAAGAGACTGGATTTTTCAAGCAGGGCTTAAGTAAGGATAACCAAGTCTATGCAACCTTACACTCCCATGCCTCCCTTTGGGCAATCTGAGGGATTGCAGCTGCTGCCCCTGCCCTCTTTAGTTAGTGACTTTCCAAGAAAGGATGAGGGATCACACTTTAGATCGCCTCCTTTTAATGTGGCAGGTTGCAAGCACTTTGCCACTTTAGAAAGAAAATTGTGCTGGGGTGGGGCATGTAATTGCCTAGGCCACAGGGATCTAATTTGGCCCACAAGTCCATTCTCTGCAAAGCACATCCATTGGCCCCATGTGACCTGTGGGGCAGGTCAAGATGTAGCTGCAGGGGAACAATTGGGAATTGAAAGGGCACTCCCAGTTGTTCCTTAGCAAGTGGGAATCACTGATAGTGCCTATCAGCTGATCGGCACCACCATTGAGCCCATTTGAAGTTGTCCATTTGCAGGTTTGGTTTGAATTCAGTCTGCACAAGCAAACAGGCATCCTTCACCTGCAGCTTTGCAGTCAGCTAGATTGACACTGGAATCATGCAGCACAATGTAGTTGCAAAGAGCTTGCAAGACGCCACTTTAAAGGAGGCAGCCTGTGCCACTTAGGACCCTCACCTCAATTTTCAAGAGGTTTGGCAGCTCAGAGGGGCATTATGTTCCTAATTAAAATCACCAGTCCAAGAGGAATTGCTCTCAATATAATATAATATTTTCCCTCTGTGATGTTACCTCACCCTCCATGCCTGGCTGAGATGAAAAAGAGATTAGAGGAATTAAATAATGCTGCAACAGCATAGGGAAATAATGGCTGTAAACAGTGCTGGAGTAAAAAGGATTTAGGAAAATGTTTGGGGAATAAATGCCCACAATGCCCTGAAATTGTTCCCTTGCAAACATTTGGTGCAGCCTATTTCACTTCCTTCATAGGCCTTTGTTTAATGTGAAGAATCATTAACTGGGGTTAAATCCTTAGAAAATGTGAAGCTGAAATAAGCTAAAAGAAATAACCTTTTCTTTTAAAAGATGCCTTAATTTTTAAAGAAGGAAAATATATAATATTTTATGCTTGAATAACTCAAAAGTGATTCAACTGATTTTGGTCAAACATTTTCATAACGGCATGAGCTCTTAAAGATTAATTTAAGCATGACAAATTTCAGCCGAAGGGGAAGAACATTTATAAAGTCGAGATAGCGTGGAATTGTGGGTTTATAGGTGGAGTAACTCTTTCAAGCTGAGGCTTAGGATGTGGTAAGTTAGCTATGATGGGACTGAATTAGGGGACACTTACCAACATTTTGACGCCTCTGTCAAAGTGCAAATGAACTCCATAAATGACACAGACATCCTGGTTTGGTAGCATTTTATCTGTGTTGTGCACAGTTATAAAGAATTCAATGAAGTGCAGGATGGCAGCAACTGAGCATTCTGGCAAAGCTTGCAAATGAGCCGGTAGCTCTAAAATACCATAGTTTTCCCATCCCTGTGTTTATGTAGGGCATGGGTAGGCAAACTAAGGCCCAGGGGCCGGATCCGGCCCAATCGCCTTCTAAATCCGGCCTGCAGGCGGTCTGTGGAATAAGCTTGTTTTCACACGAGTAGAATTTGTCCTTTTATTTAAAATGCATCTCTGGGTTATTTGTGGGGCATAGGAATTTGTTCATTTCCCCCCCCCCCAAAAAAAATATAGTCCGGCCCCCCACAAGGTCTGAGGGACAGTGGACTGGCCCCCTGCTGAAAAGGTTTAAAGGTAAAGGGACCCCTGACCATTAGGTCCAGTCGTGACCAACTCTGGGGTTGCGGCGCTCATCTCGCTTTATTGGCCGAGGGAGCCGGCGTACAGCTTCCGGGTCATGTGGCCAGCATGACTAAGCCGCTTCTGGCGAACCAGAGCAGTGCATGGAAACACTGTTCACCTTCCCGCCGGACGGTACCTATTTATCTACTTGCACTTTGACGTGCTTTCGAACTGCTAGGTTGGCAGGAGCAAGGACCGAGCAACTGGAGCTCACCCCATCGCGGGGATTCAAACCGCCAACCTTCTGATCGGCAAGTCCTAGGCTCTGGTTTAGCCCTGACCCCTAATGTAGGGCATCATCACTGATCCCAAAGGGCTACACAGATTGTATAAAACTCTCCTCTCCAACCTGTTCCACTTAATACTCCATGACGTGCTTGTCCTTCCTTCACTTTAATCTGAAGCTTTCATTAATGACGTTGTGGTCAGACTCAAATGAAAATAAATGGGGGGGGGCGGACGAAACACTGTACACTGAAAATATATAGGATCTAAGCTGATGCAGCAGTGAAGGTGTTAAAATATTTTCAAAATATGCATTTCTGGAAGATTTGAGTTGAAAGGAAGTGACCCATTATACATATAGAAACTAATGGGGGAGATCATTAAAGACCCCAAATACTATAGCTGTACCCCCTATGCTATAAAACATTTAATACAGTTTTATTGTTTAACATTGGTAAATTGGAATGATTTTGTCAAATATATCTCACTGGTCTTTTTAAAACTATAATTAAATTGGGACATTTTTGACCCAGATGTTGCATTAATCAGTGCTTTTTTCTGGAGGTATTCAAGCAGTACCAGTACTTTTTTTCTAGAAAAAAAACCACTGGCATTAATAATATGTATTTTACAAGGGAAGGAGGGTTTAAAGCATGCCCCCAAACATGGTTCCATCATCCTTTTTTTTTTTTTTAGGCACTTAAAAGAGATATGTTCAACTTGTCTTTAACATTGTTCTTGAATTAATTGGCTACAGTGAACATTAACAGTAAAGGGACAGGCTCTTAACCTAATTAGTGTCAGTGGCTAATGTTTAAGTACTCGGGTTGCAAGGCAGAAAAAGCAGTAAATGCCAAATATCTTTGGAGACACTGGCTAAAAGATATCTGTTAATGGGGTCTTCCGGCTTCCTGCAAGCAAGGTTGGGTCCTTCTAATTACTGTTTTACATAACTGTGACAATGTGGATTTTAATGGTATTTGTGGCTTCTACCAGCAGGCTCATAACTTTCGAACAATACCATTTAACTGAGAAATGGGAAAAGCTTTGTCCTGATACTTGGGAGGAACTCTGTTTGTTTGTTTGTTTGTTTGTTTGTTTGTTTGTGTGATGTCTTTTTACTTCTCTTCTGCAATTCTGTTTTAAAAAACTAAATCATGTGGCAGCTCTGCTATGCCCTTACAGACCTGTCAGTCTGCCTCTGTTCCCCTCATCTGTCCTATGGAAGGTGGTAACAAGAGCCTAGTTTACAGGTAATGCAAGAGCTTTAAGCATTTAGGGGGGGATGTCATTTGAAAAGGAATTGCTTCCGTAATTAAAATGGATGCCTAGGATGGGTGAAAGGGCTACCACTTCAAGGTCGAACCCATAACAGGGCAATACAGTACCCCCCTCTCACCCACAGTCCTCCTTATGTGATCATGTGAGTAGCAGGAAAGGAGGATGGAGCTGGTATTCAGGGATTGTTCTGGATCCGCATACCCTCCAATATTCTGCAGATGAAATTAGGGAGATTTCTCACTGCCCCTCCCCCCAACTGAACCTCATTTGTGTCTCCCCCACAAGCATTTCCTAACAGAAGAAGGGCAAGTGCCACCACAACTACAACAACAGGACACAACATACACACCTTCTACTGTCCTGAGAAAACTCCTTCATCCCAATTTTATGTTACAGTGGTACATCAGGTTACATACGCTTCAGGATACATACGCTTCAGGTTACAAACTCCGCTAAACCAGAAATAGTGCTTCAGGTTAAGAACTTTGCTTCAGGATGAGAACAGAAATTGTGCTCCGGCAGCGTGGCAGCAGCAGGAGGCCCCATTAGCTAAAGTGGGGCTTCAGGTTAAGAACAATTTCCGGTTAAGAACGGACCTCCGGAATGAATTAAGTACTTAACCCGAGGTACCACTGTATTCTTTGCTAGATTTACAAAAAGAAAAACACACACCAATAAATACATTTTAGAAAGAGGCAAGATTAGATGTGGGCGCACAAAGCACTTAATAAGCGCTCCACTCCCCCTTTCTTTCCACCCAGGGCAGCCCTGCCCTCTGCCTGCCCCTCAGAGCTGGCGCCTCACTAGGGGCCGGGCCTCGGTGGCCACAGCCTCTCATCCTCCTCGCCTTCTCTTCAGCAGCCACTGCGAGCTGCCGAAGGAGGAGGCTGGTAGTGGCAACCATGGAGAGGCCACGGAGAGGCAATGGGGTGCTCCTTTACAGCCACAGCCGCTGGCATCGCTTGGGACAAGTGCCAACTCATTCTCCTCCCCAAGCTCAACAGCAGTTGCACTGGCAGGGAAAATGGGGACATTCGGGGATCAAATCAGCAGCCATGTTTAGGGAACTTTTTTATGTCTGATGTTTTATTGTTTTTTAAATATTATTATTATTATCATTAATTCTGTTGGGAGCCACCCAGAGTGGCTGGGAAAACCCAGCCAGCTGGGTGGGGTATAAATAATAAACTATTGTATTATTATTATTATTATTATTATTTTCATAATTCCAGGACAGTCCCTGGAAAATCGGGACATTTGGAGGGTATGGATCCCTCTCTAAGTTGGCCAGAAGACAAGCCTGAGGCTGATTTTTTACTACCGTTTCCTGAAGAATAAGAATAAGAATTGTATACCTCCCTTCACCTGTAAATCTCAGAGCGGTTCACCACATAAAAATACAATATATATATATATAAAATACATAGTAAAAACAAGAATTAAAACAAAATGAATGAAGGTCATGATTTTACCTACCTTCCACCTGACATCACATATGATGATGGAAAGGGGCAAGTGGGTGGGGAAAACCCAAATGAATTAGGCCCGCGGAGTGGATATTCCTGAGCTCTGGGCTAGATGGACTAATAGTCTGAATTGGTATAAGGCAACTTCCTATATTCCTATAGGTTGCTATGTATTAAGTTTCCAAGAGGCAAAAAATATTATTTGCATGCCTATATTTCATTCGCAGGTGAATCACCTTTGCCTTGACCAAGAGTGGATTTCAACGTAGCCCTAAACGGGGTCCGCACTGCCCTTCGATCACAGCATGTTGAATCAGACCCTGTTGCAAAGCACAACTTTAATGTTCTCCCGCAGCCTCAGTACCCAGTCTGTAAAATGGAATTTCAGCAACTGCTATTGGAGCATTTGCCAGCACTGTTGTAAGAACAGGCAAAGAAGATTTACAAGCACTTTGCGCATTTATATTACACAGGTGCTTATGTATTAGGTGAAATCTGCTGCGGTTAAATTACTGACCCTCCATAAGGGGAAAGGGGCGTGATACTGCCAGAGTCTCTCCCAAGTCCTGCCCTGCCCCTGCTGTTCCCACCTGCCTTTTTTATGCCATCTGCAGAATAAAAGGCAACATGTTGCACAAGCCTGTGGTTCCTTTGAAAACATTTGACTCCAGAGGAGGACATCTGGGATAAATGAATTGTAAATGCTGTCATTAATTATTCATCTTAAAAACCAAAGAAAATGTCACAAGAAAATAATAATAGGAGTCAAACTGCAGGTCACAGTTGTTTTCAGTATTTCTGTAGGCATGTTTGACTCCGGTTAGGCATTAGAGTATCAAATCAATCAATTTATTTTTTACCCAGTATAAACTGAAACCACCAAAACAAAAGAAACCCAAATTAAATAGATCTCAGATTTATAATTTTCTGATCCAACCAGTTCAGTAAAGCTGCTCACCTTCTGTTTCATCTTTTTAAGAGAGATGTCGGGGAGAAATGCCAGCCTTTAAGCCTAACCCATTGAAGTTATGATTTTTATCTTTGGGTGAGATCCTGTACTTACTTACCTGGAATCCACCCCACTGAAGCAGCAGTGACACTCAGAAACTGGGAGAGCAATGCAGCCCCACCCATGCCACCCCACCAGTCACTACTAACTATAGCAATGGTACACCCCCCCCCAAACCTTTTAAAAGCAAAGGTTTTTGTGCTTTGGGAGCGATGTGTTAGTCTGTAATACAGGCACTCCTGAAAAATAATTTCATGTGGCTTGAACACATCAGAGGATCGCCCTCTGCCTTCTCTAATGGTTCCCAATCTAGACCTCTTTGCACACGGGAATAGGCTGTTGGTTTGCTTCTGTATCTGAGGATTTTCACTTGTGAAAATATGATGATCTCTCTCATCTTTGGCTTGGTCTGAAACATTTTCCTTCAGCTGACAGTGCTGGAGCAGAGTATATTATTTAGGGAGTCTCAGGGTGTACGTATGTACTAGCAAAACGGTGGCATTCGCCACCAAAGCAAGTAAATCATGTTTCTCATCTCAGTGGTTTATGCTTAGTGGTGAAGAGGGCCTATACTAAGACCAACTTTGAGAAAACAGGACCTATACGCTCCAATTGTGACTACAGACAGATCTCTGGTTTAAAATGTGAGCTGTTTTGTGAATAAACATTTTTTCTTTTACTGTTTATGTGTTAAAAGTATAATAGCAACATAGGTATCAGTGAAGATATATACACTACATCTTTAACATTTGTTTTGAAAGACTGACAAATTATTCTGTGCAAGCAAACATAGTAGAAAATTGAATTGTGTGTTGGGCTTTCCTTCTGGTGTTTTTGGCTACTTACGATCTTCTACTCTTCTCCTGTGACCTCATGAAGAGGACACCCACACATTGTAATAATTGCTGTTTTTACCCCCATTTTATAATGCTGTTATGCTGTTTTATTGTTTCAGTTATGGTGTTCCATTGTTTCTTTGTTATTTCATGCATACCCTTAGAGACTTTTAAATATTAAGTGAAATGTTTTGAAATCTATAAATAGAAAATAAATTGGGGTGGGAAGAAGCTTCATTTTGTTAAACTGGTGATTTGTGGAAAGCTGCATTCAGTAAAATCTGTGATACCCAAATGCTAGTGAGGATGAAAACGGGCCAATGCATCTTTCGTTGCTATATTTCCAAAGGGAATATATATTTATCATTTCCTGCTGATCCTGGAAAGTCTTTTAGTACTTGAATCATCTCAGTTATGGCCCTTCTATAGTCCAATTGACTCCTGCTTCAACTTTGTTTTTTTGTAAAGCCCCCTTTCCCACTCCTTCCAATCAGAGATCTGTTTTATTAGCCTGTTTTGTGCTTGCTTAGTACGAAGCTGTATTTTAAAACTTTCTGTATTGTGGATTTCAGCTGCATTTTTTTGCATTAGTTTAAGCTGTTTCACAGCTTTATTTGTTGGGGGGAAACAAAGAGATTATTTCAGTTTAAAGCTGTATTTTGCTTTTGATGTGCATCTTGTGACATGTCTGTTTTCAAATTGATAGAAAAACAAATGAGTGAATCTACATGACTGCTGCCTTAATTCACTTGGTTTTTGCTATGGGTTTTTGTTTTACTTTGGCTTACTCCCACCCACCCCCAAAATGTTTTCCCAACTACATAATTTATTTTCAGATATATTATTACCTCTGTGAAGGAAATATTGGAAGTTTATTTTGTTGTTCTTATATCTCCAGCAAATAAAGTAAAAAGAAAAGTGAGATACTCTTGCATAACAGTTAGTACTTTATATACTTAATATTGCTACCACACTGAAACTATTGGATTGATCGTGATGATGGTTAGCAGTCTTGGCACATAGCCATGATATGCCCATTGGTCAGTTTTGCTTTCTTCTCTAACTTACAAAACTAGAATTCATAGAAAACAATACATAGGGACATGGCTGTGGTGTATTGCTCAATGTTGGATTAGGTCTATTGCCAGATTTTAGGAATTTTGAAGAATAAATAAAGATAAATAAATAAAGATTAAGAAATAAAGAAATATTTGTTGCTTGATTTACTGGTCTATTAAAGAAGAAAAAAGTTCCTCACTTTTAGAGGACACCTGGTTTATTTCCACTTATTTATTAAATTTATATCCTACCCTTCCTGCAAAAGGAACAGCAGGTACCGCACTAGAAGCATTTACTTATGTGCAAGTATAAAGGGAGAATGACTTTTCTAAGATGGAGCCTGTCCTCTACAGGCTTCATATGCTGTTGTATTTTAAACAGCTCAGCAAATCTACCAGTCAGTTAATCGGGGCACCTTTTTAGTCAATGAATTTAATCTGTTAATGTAGCAAATTAACTCACTCAATGTTGTCATGCTATTTAAGTGCTCTTTTCCTCAGTTCTGTTCCCTGCTTGTGGGCAAACACAACACCATGTAACTTTCCTGTATCCTCCTGACCAACATTTGCCCCAAGCCAGACCATTGTGTGTCTTTGGATGGAGCTGCCATATTGAGGATTTCCCGTTTTCTTATGCGGAGAAGGAAACTCTGAGCACACACAACATGTGCATGGAGTTGCTTCCTCCAAAGTGAAGAATAGGAAATTTCTTGTGGACAGGACAGTCCTATATACATAGCCTGGACACCTGAAGCAAATTGTTCCATATATCTTATCTCCATTGTCCCAAGAGTAACTCGTGTGTGTGTGTGTGTGTAAATCTTTAGATCTTTAAATTAAGATTTCAAAAGACAGAATTAAATGCTTTGTCTGTCATGCTTTATAACTGCTAATTAAAGGTGGTAGCGAAGTAACATGCCATCCAGCCTTCAAAGCTCTTGTCTTAGCACAAGCCTTCTTGTTTTCTTGTATGCATTTCTTGTTTGTTCATTTGATATTATCCATTCTTTTCTTCTCGTATCACTTTAGGGATTAAAAAGAGTGGAAATGAGTCATCTCAATATTTCCGCAGCCTCATTTTCACTCTTTTCTTTTCATTGTGCCTTTTTTCTTTCTTTCTCTGACCTTCTCCCACGTAATTAATACTAATTAATTAATTAATTAATGTCTGGAAGTGCAGCTTAGTATACCAGGCATCAAATAGAGCTAAACAGATAAGAGTTTGTACCAGAAAGGGCATGTGGGAAAGACAGCAGAGGAAATGGTATATTCCATTGGACCAGCTTGGGGATTTAAAAGCGAGACAAGTTTCAAAAAATGGGATTCAGAAATCCATGGCCAGGGGTGATGGGGCTCAAGAGGGAGGCATAGCCATTTCTATAACTGTTGCTTGTGCAAGACTAAAGGTGAGACCCAGTGGGTCCTGCACTAGCCCTGAGCCCTGTGTCAAAATGCTCCATTTCAGGGTTTTCCACAGGCTGGTACCTGTGGCATCACTGCCGACACTACCTTCAGCCTACTAGTTTGGCAGGCATGATAGGGCTCACCTTTTTGGTGGGACTTCCCTGCCAATGGCAGAGTTCTTCCAATGGTGATGGCCAGGATGGGGGACACTTCCACTCCATTCAACTCCTCCCTCCACATCGAGGGTTTGGATTACCCTGTTATTTATTTTATTTAGAGCCTCTCTAGTCCACTCTTCATTAAAAATAATCCCAGCATAGGGTACAATGTGCAAAACAAATACTTAATGAAAAAGCAGATTTCACAAAATCAGTATGATATTAAAGCTTATCATTGCAAACCACAAATCAACAAGTCAGGGCAAGCTGCTGAACTTCAGAACTAGTTCAGCTAAATACTGATAGGGGTGTGTGTGTGTGTGTTTTTAATTGGCACCCAAAAGTCTCATGGGTTGGTGCCAGTCAAATCTGTGAGAGGTGGGCATAACACAATAGGTTACATCACTCTATCCATCCTTGTACTTTCTATTATTTTATATAGACGAACTCTGTCTCACATATACAGTCACAAGCTGTGAGTCCTAATTTGGATCAGAATCTCCACATCACCTCCACTTCATTGAAAAGGTGAGAGAAATCCATTCTTTCACCACCCTCACTGTGTATGACAGGTTTACTAAGGGGTGCTATGGAGTGATTAATTAGTGTTAAGTTAACTCAAGTGTGAACTCTTAAGAAGTGGCTATAATACACGTACAGCAAACATGATGAAACACATTTAACAATAGTACTAAGCATTCATACTGCATTTTAGAAGAGCTTTAATGTTTTTGGTGATTCCTAAAAATATTCTTGTTCAGACGAGCCTATACAGATGCTTAGAAAGTTGAGGTAATTTTAATCGGCTTTAGTACTTTAACTTTTGTACGTTTTAAAGTAGGGTTGTAATTTTTTTGTTTGTTTTATTGTCTTGTCTTTTTGTAAACCACTTTGAGGTTTCTTACAATCAAGCAATGTATAAATTGTGTGAAATAAATTAAGGAAGGAAGACTTATGGTTTCCAAAAAGGGTAATTTTTCCTAAAGTTGTGACCAATTTTCAGGGCACATTCTGATTAAGAGACACACCCAAGGTATTTTTTTGAGGGAAACTAAAACTTGTGATAAAACTTGTGAACTTTTTCCAGAGGAATTGGATCTGCATATCTTTTCCAAACTTGGAAATTAGTGTAGCTGTCTTCTATCAGAAGCTTTTATTGTGTCCATTTCGGTAGAGGCTTCCCATACAGTTTTCCCTTTCTCTGGGTTCAGACAGCTGCCCATTCGCACCACCTTCGTTTTCAGGCTTAAATTAATAAATGTGAGCCATAATGATCTGCGGCCTTAAAAACCCCTCATTGCCTTCTCCTCCTCCAGTTAGTTGTTCATATGAGGTACTGACATATCATACCTGGTTGAACAGCTGACTGGCCTTGCGGGTGTGGAGGAACTTATGAAGAGCTAATAATAAAGACCCATCTGACCAGCACTGCTATGGGGAAAATTTGCCTTCCTCCCATTAAAAACTACTGCCTTCTCCTTTCATTGTAGTCTCCCCTGACCTGCAACTCCTGTTGTTTCTTCTTTTGCTGACAAGCTGCCACTGTGAGCAGAGATCGTGAACATTTAACTCATGACCGTATATAAAAAGTTATTTCCTATTGGTACCCATAAATTAATTCCTTCTGAACTGCCAACTGAAAAAATACTCATAACATCTACTTCTGGCATGCCAGATGTTTTTAAGAGCTATAGCCAGCCCTGACTTTCACAGATTTTTTACAGGTAGAAATCATTAGCTCTTGGTTTAGATGTTACATTGCTCCCACTAATGCTAGTTGATGCCAGTAATAGAACAACTAAAAGCTGCAACTGAAAGAACAACAATCATAAAAGACACCATACCTCTTTGTTTGTAAACTGTTACAGTTGTGGTGTTTCTGGTGACAAAACTCTGTAACAAAGAGGGATTCGCCTTTTTGGACTGAGGCTGTCAGTATTAATGTCCTGGATTCTTAAAAACTGAAAAAACAGGATGGGATTCACCCAGTGAACCTCATCCGTGGAAACCTTGCTTGCGCAGTGGGGATTTCCTCCCTCTCCTTCCCCCTTCCATGTCCCCATACACCTGAAATTGGCCCTGGGGGTGGGTTTGGGAGCACCCCCAAGAAACAGGGCAAGCTTTCTGTTTGGCAAGCTGAAATGCTTGCACAGGATTGAATTCCACCCTTAGCTTTCTTGAGTTCTGGCACCTATTACTGCAGAAAGTTTCTCTGAGGAGTTTGCTGAGTCATGCTTAAAAGTCAAATAATTGGACGGCAGTGACACATCTTGTTTAGAAGAAGAGGAAGTATGAAAAAGCACTTTTGAATTATAAAGTGTTAATGCATTCCTAATTGCACTAGAGTTCTTCTTAAGATGCCCTGTGAATCAGATTTTCCCTGTTATTACAGCAGGGTAGTACATTTGGTGAGCTTGAAAAGAGAATGTATAACTGGTGCAGGTTTTCCCAAAACAAGACCTGACTAAATAAGAGGGTGGGTACAAAAGCAGCCACAGATTCAGGGAGAAAACTGAAGCTCCTCCTTAATGTTTTTTTGAAAGTATGGAATTATAGATGAGTTTTCATAAAAAAATTGTTTAGTGAAGTGTTGAAAGATGCTTTGAATTGCTCCGACCTCCAGCCATCATCTTCCTTCTGTTGGCCTCTTGAGTAAAAGCGAATGTGGTCATTCCTGTTGCTTCTAACACTTTATAGCTTATGCATTTGGTTAAGTCTCTGGACCAAAGTAGATGAGATGTTTAGAGATTCTGAATGGAAACACGCTCTTCCCCCCAGCATCACTCGCTTGGTCCCGTTGGGAGCCCTTTGAATCTGCTTTAAATTAAAAGATGGGGAGACCTGCTCTGAATTGATAGTAAACCTTTTCAACCCCCCACTGATAAATTTTGAGTGTGAAGGAAGCAGCCATTGGTTATGCATGGTATGTGCCCATCCAACCTCACCTGTTCACAGTCTCATTAAATTGGAGTATTTCAGGATTTAGATAGCCTGCAATTCTATCAGTGCACTCCCATTAGCACTTTGTATTGTTGTGTATGTAACATTACCCCAGTATAGCTATGGAAATACCCTATTTTAAGCTGCCTATGTGGTACAGCTTTTAAGATTCATCTATTACTTCCATTGAGTGCAATAGGGCCACATGAGCTTACATTCTAGCATTTCATTCAGATCTGTGTATAATACCTAGTCCACTTGCCCATGCTCTTCCTTTCATCCTCAGAAGCGTGTCTTCAGCTACTGTAGCAAATCTGTCCGCCCCTCCTGTGAATCAGTGGGAGGCAGAAGAATAGAGTCACATGGCAATTTTCAACATTGAAACACTTATCTGTGGCATGTCAGCTGTCACATGGTTTGCCCTTTGCTAGCAGAAGCCAACAGGTGCTTCAAATACCTGTGAAGCACTGGAGAATGAATGGGTCATAATGTAGATTTAATTGCAGTTGCAGCCCTTTTCTTGTTGCTGCTGAAAAGCCGCAGGCCAAGGACTGTGGGCCAAATTGTTCATTTGCAATGCAGACATTCATATTAATCCAGGCAAGGCAATATGAGGGGGTGCTGCTTCAAAAAGTGTTAGAAGGATTTCTGAACATCTCCTGCCCTATGTAAACAAAGTATGAAAATACAAGGTGATCAGTAATGCTGTTGACAATTCCCAAGGAGGCCAGCAGCATTTACTTTAAGTACCAGTATACATCAAGGCAAAATCAGGATTATTTACTAAATTCTATCAAGCAGTGCGAACATGTAGGTAAATGCTTGAAGTTTTATTTTCTCTCCTAAATGGCACCAATCTTCATATGTGACTGTCCCTTGGGAGGTAACTGAAGAAAGGCAACATTACTTGTGACTGAGCAGGTTCCTTTATACTCTGGCTTTCTTTAAAATATTTTTGAAATCTTAGAACACAGAGTTCTTCCCAGCTTCCTTCATACAGAGAGGCAAAGCTATATAATTGTGTTAGGAGTTTTGTTCGCAACAAATCAAAAATAATCATAGTGCTGCTGCTTTGCAAGACATTTTTGCTCTCTTAAATTGCATTAGCTTGGTAATTTGTAGAAATACCTCCTGTACCTGTCCTGCCTGATTTATGATGTGGTTTTATCCAGTCTCTGGGTTGAACACAGCCTGTATTTTTATTCTATTAGCATGTACCCACTTACAGCTAAATAATTTGTGTTATTGTTTGTTCAGATTTTATTCCTCCTGTGTCCCTCATACTCAGGGTGCATTATGACACAGGCACAACCCCCCACACAGAAGACTACATTAATTTAAATGTTACAGTAAGATTAAAAACTATAAAACAAAAATAGTGTCATGTAACATTTATTATATTTATGATGATAAAATTCTCTAGATGCCATACAAATAACAAGAGAATAAAGACATTACAACCAAACTACACTGCAGTGAAAACAGAATAAATGTAAGGGAGAAAGTAAGCTGAAAAGCAATATCCCATTCTCCTCAGTCTTGCTCCTACCATTATTTTGAAATACTTATCGACTGCCTTATTATAAAAAGCCTCAAAGCAGTGTATGCAGTAAAATTATTGGTAAAATATCATTGCTCTTTAGGGCTAAGGTGAGCTGCTTTTCAAATCCAGAAAGAATGGTGAAGGCTCTCTTGCCTTCTCTCAGGACAATTTAAGTCTGTGGCTTTTGGTAATTTCTAAATTGGCAAGCTATGGTTTGCAGTTGGATGGCTCACAGCTTAACTATGGTTTGAACCTTGCCCACAGTAGGGCATGCTCAAGACAACGAGGTTAACATCAAGAGTGGTGTGGTGTGGCAAGATAGCTGGTCTGTCTGAGGTAGTGAGATGGGGCTCCTTCCTACTGCTAACAAATCTTTGCAATGATTTGTTGTTTTGAGGAGGGAACTGGCAGGGGAATAATAGAATCATAGAATTATAGATCTGGAACGGACCGTGAGGGTCACCTAGTCCAACACTCTACAAAGCAGGAATCTTTCTGCCCCACGTGGGTCTTGAACCTATGACCCTGAGATTATGAATCTCATGCGCTACCAACTGATCTGCCATTGGGGGTTGTAATCATTTCTTGCATGCACTTCTAATATGTTGGTGGAGTTTTGGTTTTTTTAGACTTTGCAAAGGATAATTGATTTGTAGCTGTGGAGAATCAAAGCCTGAAGAAAAAATCTTTTAAAATGTTGTGTTAATATAAAAATATGATTTTTAAAAAAGGTAATAGGTAAAGGTAAAGGGACCGCTGACCGTTAAGTCCAGTCGCGAACGACTCTGGGGTTGCGGCGCTCATCTCGCTTTATTGGCCGAGGGAGCCGGTGTACAGCTTCCGCGTCATGTGGCCAGCATGACTAAGCCGCCTCTGACGAACCAAAGCAGTGCACGGAAACGCTATTTACCTTCCTGCCGGAGCGGTACCTATTTATCTACTTGCACTTTGATGTGCTTTTAAACTGCTAGGTTGGCAGGAGCAAGGACCGAACAACGGAACCGCCGACCTTCTGATCGGCAAGCCCTAGGCTCTGTGGTATAGACCACAGCGCCACCGGCGTCCCTTTAAAAAGAAAAAAGAAAAAGGTAATACCTGTAACAACAGTAACAGTGAGAGTGAAAAGATCAGCTCTAGCTGAATCCTAACTGCTACTTCACGGGGCCTCTAACTGACAGCTGCTACAAGGCACCTGTTCAAAGAATTTAGGATTCAGTATGACCTGTCAGCTTATCAAAAAACTCGAAAGGTCAGTGCCAGGTTAGATTTTGGGGACTGCAGATTCTTGTAGGGTGGAATTCAACATTTCATTTTTCCAGTAGTTCTGTCTGCACAAGTAGTCATCCTTGCCAGATGGGACAATCCTCCCTTCTCCCCTGAACCCTGTTCTCCACCCAGCCGCCCAAGCCAATTTCAGAAACACAGAGGGCAGAGACGGAGGGAAATCCATGTTGCACAAGCAGGAAGTCCTTCAGCTGACGTGGTTGGTTAGCTGAATCCCATCTGTAATTAGTATTCAGCCATTAGCAGAACTGCTACTCCAATTTTTCACTGAAAGTAACTGTGACAAAGAGGCAAATAAAGCTTTTGAACACCAACAGGCCCCATTTCTGAGCTTTATTGCATGCCCAGTCACTATGAGTGGGTATCAGTGACGCAAGAACATTGCTTTCCCTATCGCTGCCTATTTTGTAGATTCTCTCTTTTAAGCTATGATCACACAGTGCTGTTTACATTCCCTGTGGGAGCTCCTCTTGCTTAATTTGCTGCCCTAAATGGGAAAGCTTTTATGTAAAGCTTAATTGGATGTGTGTTTTAGAAATGGTACAAGAAGAGGTTAAATGGATGTTGCAGGAAATGCAGGTAAATTGGCCTGGTTGCTGGCGGTTGTTTTATCCTGCAACATTTTTCAAAACCAGCTGTTCCGGAACCAGGAATGAGGATCCATCCCCTTCCACAGCAGAATAAGGTAGTGTCAAGAGAATAGCATTTTCTATGCAAAAGGTACTTTGAACCTGTTTGAAAAAAATCCCTTGCACTTGGTTTAATTTCAGATTCCTAATACTGGTGTATCTTTGCTGGTAACACTGGCCTCTTAGCACATTTCCCAGCGCTTGAAGGAAACTCCCTTGTGGATTCTATCTCTCTCAGTCTCAGTCTCCTTCCTAGGCTGGGTACTTAGCATTGATTGCTTTGGCTTTATATGGCATTCTCAGATTCACAGCCTAATCAAGTATTCATAAATATTGGTTTTCTCCATGAATTTTACATTTTGAATGGGATCCAGTTTCTGCCATCTCTTAGGCAATGATATAATGAAGCCTCCATGAATTTGCAAACATGCAACGTGACAATTTAGTATTTTATAATGAAGGATATAATGATCAAGGATTTTTGTGTTTGCGTTGGACAGATCAAATACCAACCTTCAGTTCTGTGAGCTCAAGAGAATGCATAGACTACCACCAACAAAAACTGTTCCATAAAATAACATTAATGAGAATTTAATCTCTCTTTGGGGTGGGAGGTTAAGCACAATAACGCCTTTTAATATGAGAATTTTGGAGGTAGCTGGGGTGGGGGGAGAACCAGCTTTGTTGCTCCAGTGTGGAGTTTTCAAGTATTGATTTATTTTTTCAAAGTAAGCTGTTACAAGCTTTACCCTTGTAAAATTTATGGTGCAAGTTTTCAACATTGTAAACCACTCTGGTGGGGCATAAGCAAAGATATATTTATTTATTATTCTACCTGTGGTTGTAATTAGATTAGAACAATTCAAGAGTAGCAATTTGTTGTCTGTCTGCGAAGACGTCCTAAACAATCCATTCTGTGCGTTTGATTGTGTTTGCACTAAACTGTTATTACTATGATTATGATTGGGGCTGCTTTGTGCTAGATTTTATATGGATGTGTGTCTCACTCCCAGCAGGATCCTTTAAAATTGTATACAAGAAAAATACTTCATTATTCTCTCTTCTCCCCACTAACTGGATACAAGGCAGTGCCTACTGTCAGTCGGTTGAAAAGACACAATAAGCATTCTGATTGGTACAATTAACTTTTCTCTATTTTACACATTGCCGTCACTTGGCTACTGAATTTGAGACTGTGTAAAAACATCAGCATACATACACAGAGTTCCTATTGGAACAACTAGTCTGCAAATAACAAATAATTACTATGCTGTCCTTATTCTGAAAGTATGTGTAATATCTGCATTAAGTAATTGAAAGGTAATTTGCTTTTTAAGATGTTAGTTCAAATGACTGTAAGGAAAGACGAAGGAGTACTAAAGAGCAAGAAATGTGTGTAATGTCTCTTGACTCGTATCTGAAATATGGGTGTGTTACTCTATGCTTTATTTAGAACGCACAGATGATTGACATGAATAGCTGTATCCTTCATGTTGCCTGTGGCAGCATTACTGTGAAGAGATTAAGTAGGCCTTAGGTAAGAATTGTAATCTAATGGAAGAAAGAACTGGAAAATGACAGGGTGTTTTTTTTTAAAAAAAAGGGGGGGGACCTCCACTATCAGTTCTCTAGTCTGTACAGTGGTTCCTCGGGTTTTCCTGCTTGGCAGGGGGTTGGACTCGATGGCCCTTGTGGTCTCTTCCAACTCTATGATTCTATGATTCTATGATTCTAAGTACTTAATTCGTTCCGGAGGTCCGTTCTTAACCTGAAACTGTTCTTAACCTGAGGCACCACTTTAGCTAATGGGGCCTCCTGCTGCCGGCGTGCCACCGGAGCACGATTTCTGTTCTCTTTTTTTATATATATAATAAATTTTATTAATTTTCCATACAGTTATACATTTTTATCCAAAGTACATCCAATTGTCTCTTTTTTGAACTTCCTTCAGCGTCTCTGACAATCATCCGTATTTATAACTTTAGTTACACATTCCCTTCTTTTGTATTGCCATTATATTCCCCTTCTCCACTATTCCATATAAACAATCCTTCTCTATTTTTACAGTGCCTCTTGAAGTCCCACTAGCGTTGTGTTCATGCCACATGTATTTTTCAGATAATCTACGAACTTTCCCCAGTCTTCGATGAACTTTTGGTCTTTAGTATATCTGATTTTCCCAGTTAATTTATCCAATTCCGCATAGTCTGTCAATTTCAGTCTCCATTCTTCTATCGTCGGTATTTCCTCTTGTTTCCATTTCTGGGCCAACAAGATTCTGGCTGCCGTTACTGCATATTGGAAGAGTTTATAGTCTTTTCTTCTTATATCCTTTCCTACAATCCCTAAAAGAAAAGCTTCCGGTTTTTTTACAAAGGTGTATCTTAACATTTTCTTCATTTCATTATATATCATTTCCCAAAAGCTTTTCACTTTCTTACATTCCCACCACACATGAAAAAAAGTCCCTTCTTTTTCTTTACATTTCCAACATTTGTTACACATCTTATACATCTTTGCTAACTTTACAGGTGTGATGTACCATCTGTAGAACATTTTCATAACATTCTCTTTCAATGTCATACATGAGGTAAATTTTATATTCTCTTTCCACAGTTTTTCCCATTCATCAAATTGAATATTGTACCCAAAATCTTTTGCCCACTGTATCATTACCGATTTAACCTCTTCATCTTTCGTATACCATTCCAACAATATCTTATACATTTTTGACAGAGTTTTATATTCATTGTTTATTATATCTGTTTGAAAATTAGATTCTTTTTCTACATACCCCTTTTCTTTCAGATCTTTTTTAAACATTTCATTTACTTGAAGATAATGCAGCCAATCATATACATGATCTTTAACTTGTTCAAATGGTTTCAATTTCCATTTAACTCCTTCTTTAATTACCAATTCACCATATGTACTCCATTTACCTCTCATATTAATTTTCTTAACACTCATTACCTCCAGCGGAGACAACCAATGTGGGACTTTTGGCTCCAATATATTTTTGTATCTATCCCATACTTCTATTAAAGAACTCTTGAAGATGTGGTTTCCAAAGCCCTTATGTACTTTCTTCTTGTCACACCATAAATACGCGTGCCAACCAAATCTGTTATCAAAACCTTCGAGATCTAATAATTCCTTGTTTTCTAATTTTATCCATTCTTTTAACCAACATAGGCAAGCTGCTTCGTAATATAATTTCAAATCTGGCAGGGCGAAGCCACCTCTTTCTTTTACATCTGTCAATAACTTATTCTTGGCTTCTTCCCCTGCCAGATATACCTTGAAATCACTCTTTGCCATTCTTTAAAAATTTCTATACCCTTTATAATGGGTATAGTCTGAAATAAAAATAACATCTTTGGCAGCACGCTCATCTTTATCATAGATATCCTTCCCCAGAAGGATAGCACGATTTCTGTTCTCATCCTGAAGCAAAGTTCTTAACCCGAAGTAATATTTCTGGGTTAACAGAGTCTGTAATCTGAAGCGTATGTAACCTGAAGCGTATGTAACCTGAGGTACCACTGTATTAGTATAGTCAGTTCTTACTTAGCATATAAAATGGTTGGAGAGCATAGTGTTCTCTGCATGATATTTTTGGATATAAAATGCAAAGTTTTTTTTCCTGGAAGACTTCCTGTCTACTTAGATTGTGGGCCCTCGCTGCACTATACAGTATATTTAAAAGATTGTCAATCCCTTTTATCAGTTGTTACTTCCTCCAAAGAATCCTGGGAATTGTAGTTTGTTAAGGGTGCGGATAATCATTGGAAGACCTATGTTGTCCTTACATAGCTGCAATTGGTAGAGTTCCCTGGAAGGATTTATAAACCACTTATGAGTTTCCCTCAGACTAGAATGTTGCTTCCTTGTGACCATATAGGATCAGAGCAGAGCAGCAAGTTAAAATGGACCCTGTTCCTTGTTTTGCAATTGACCAGCTTCATTGTTTTAATTACCGTACTTCTTTTAACAGCCTGATTCAAAGTTCCATGTGTGCTTCCATAGTCATTAGGAAATGTTCTGTCCATTTTAATTATTGTTAGCCATCTGCAAAACCAGTCTCTAAAAGCAATATACTTTTAGAGACAGATTAAACCTAGGCATTTCTACTTGGAAGTAAATCCCATTGTGTTCAATAGTGCTTACTCCCTATGCCTGCTGCCGTTTCCAAGTTGCAGAGTTCTGGATTAACATAACTAAGAATTGCAAATTAGTGATGGATCAGTGTCTTCTTGTTGTATAGTAAAGGTGCCTATAGCTGCAATCCTATAGACCCACTTGCCTGGAAGAATCTGACAGAAGTTTATAACCTATTCAATTATTTTAAGAATCCTGCATTGTTTTGTTTTGTTGCAAGGTGAGAAGCAATAGGGTGCAATGGGATAATATCATGCATTAATCCTGGCTGAGACCCTACCTGCTCGCATACTGTCTCGCCAGAGTGGTGCATGCTCTGGTTATTTCCCACTTAGACTACTGCAATGCGCTCTATGTGGGCTACCTTTGAAGGTGACCTGGAAACTACAACTAATCCACAATGTGGCAGCTAGAATGGTGACTGGGATTGGCCACCAGAACCATATAACACCAGTCCTAAAGGATCTTCACTGGCTCCCAGTACGTTTCTGAGCACAATTCAAATTGTTGGTGCTGACATTTAAAGTCCTAAATGACCTCAGTCCTGTATACCCATAGGAGCGTCTCCACCCCTATCACTCAGCCCGGACACTGAGGTCCAGCTCCAAGGGCCTTCTGCTGGTTCCCTCGCTGCGAGAAGTGAAGTTACAGTCAGAGGGCCTTCTCGGTAGTGGCACCCTCCCTGTGGAATGCCCTCTCTTCAGATGTCATAAACAACTATCTGACTTTTAGAAGACATCTGAAAGCAACCCTGTTTAGAGACGTTTTTAAGGGTTGATGTTTTTAGATATGTTATAAGCCTCCCAGAGTGGCTGGGAAAGCCCAGCCAGATGGGCGGGGTATAAATAATAAAATTATTATTATTCCGTCACCCTTTTTAGTAGAAAAGATGCTATGTGAATAAAGAAGTCAGATCATGAATAAGTAATAAAAAGTATTCCCATTGCTGTAGTTCATGGTAACCTATCAAATTTTATATTCTAGCCCTAGTGAGGATTAAAGGCTTCTTGCCTTTTTCATGCAAAAGTGGATAGATTTCAGAGTGCCCTTTCTCTTTCAGTGGGTTGGCACAGTAAGCTCATTTTACATTTTCTGACATTTGCATCTTTTCATACTTCAAGGGGATAAAGGTCCCTTCTTACAGAAATCTCTGCAGAGGTCTGTATGTGGCATCTTTTCTTTTTGTAAAGGGTACTTAATATTTCTATAGTAAATTTAATAACATTTTGAATCCAAGCAGAATGGGAGGTGAACAGCAGGTGCAGAGAAACGTCCAGCATGAATGTATTTGCTGTTTTCAAACAAGCGGCTTCCTTCTTGGCGTAAACTCAATAGCAACTCAGCAATCTGCAGACAACCTTTTTTGGCTCATAAAGTGGGAAACTTGAAACATGGTACTTAGCTTTACAGAAAAATATTAGTGTTTTATTCTGAGCTATAGTATTAATGCTGGACTGTGTACTTTCTGCAGTATAGCACTCCAGGTTCGGAGAAAATTATCCAAAATAACCATAATTACACAGGTGTGTGCAGCCCATGGTCTGTTTGTCCCAGGATCCGCTGTGAAATTATTAAATAGAGCACATATTCTGCCTGCAGAAAATCCCAGATTCGGTTCCAGTTTTTCCAGGGATGGCTGGGAAAGTTACATGGAGTTTTGCTGCCAGGGAGTATAAGCAGTACTGAGCCAGAGGAAACAGTGGTCTGACTTGATATAAGCCAGCTGCTTACATTCCTATTATTTGGGGCAAAGACTGAAAGAATGGAGGGTACGTGGATGGGTGGACTTTAACGGCATGTTCCAGGAAATAGGAGGCAGTGTAATGTAAGGTAAAAAAAAGCTGAAAATGCCTTTGAAATTTCACTTCCTGGCCATGAGAAATGTTACTTGCTTCTCATCTGGCTTCTTCCACTAGGTATTGCCGATGTGTTAGTTTTCTGTATCCGTGAAGCAAGGTAAGCGGAATTTTGTGCTATATATCCAATTCCACATGTGTTGCAATCCCACAGATGCACTTGCTGTTGGCTATACTTCTCTTCCCCCTCACCCCCATTACAAGTAGCTTGCTGCAGTGTAATGTGGAAAGTTTATGAAGGCTGGTTCCCAAATGACTTGCTGCTCTTATCCATGCCTTTCCCATGCGGTTCACTGTTTACTTACAGTTTGCTTAGGTGTGTGTGAAAATTGTCCCGTTCATAGTTAATGTAGGTAGGCCAGAATTGTGTGGGATTGCTGTCTTGCCAAAGGGAAAGGGGCTCTTTTTCAAGGCAATAAAAGAAACCCCAAGTTGATCCTTTATCAGGGGGTTATTTGCTATGCAAGAATAGAAAGCAAAGCATTAAAGAGACGAGACCTCATGGCTCTTTTGAGTTGCTGGAAAAGCTCCTCCAGAACAGCAAAACAGTCTCTCACTTTGTCTGTCTGTAGCTGGCATTGGGATCTCCCGTTAAGCAAGGGCATTACTGGGCTTTATCCTATTTTTAATATCAGTTGATGAGCAATGGGAGGAGTGCAGAAAGAAGAACCGCCATGGTGCATCTGCAGCAGCACAACCGGACGCCTTCATCTGCCCCAGCTGCAACAAAACATGTCTCTGCAGCCACAGCAGGCGCTGCAACCTCCCAACCATTTGACTTCGCCTGCAAAGGCACTCTCCCCCAAGTCAGATGGATGCCAACTATGATGATCTCATCAAATTTTTCCACTCTCCTAACTGGTGGCTTCAAATGACTGGCAAGTCACCAAGAGTTATGGCTCTCCAGTCCCTTATCTTATCCTTGGTGTTTTGTAGTGCTAATTATATTGCCAGTAGAAGGTAGGAATGCCAAGGTGCATTGAATCCGCTCACTTGGGGAAGTGGGGGGGGGGAGCATAAGTGTGACAAACAGGCAGCCGGTTCTTGTATACATAAAAGAGCTAAGGGAAAGTAACGCATCTTTGTAGTTCAGATTTCTCCTTTCTCTGTTTGTGTGTGTATTTCTAAGTTGTCTTCCACTTCAATGTTTAATGCTGTTTAGTAACTCTTTAGTGCTCTCTCTCCTTTCTGCTTTGCATTCCCTCCTTTGAGAAAGACAACAATGGATGACAATGGGACCGTGTTCCTTAAATGTGTTTTCTGAAAACGTGGAAGCGTTTAAAGTTTAAACTACTGCTTTTACTCTTCCTTATGGGGAGGAATAAGGAGCCTAAATGCTATAAATTGGACCTCTGGGGATGCTCACACTCTTAGATCTTAAGCGGATAGGGCTGGGAGAAAGGAGTTTGAATTTCACACAGATACATATAAAAATGCAGTCAGTAAAAATTTGTTTTCTTCCTGACAGTAGTATGACCTAGTATTGTTGAAAACCTCCTTAAACACAGCAGAGAGACTGCAATCTCCTGGGAAAGTAAGGTCACTGGTTTGAAGCAGTGCATGAACCACATCTGCTGACCTTGATGTACCACCATAGAAAATGAGAAAGACAAGGGGAGGGGGAGGAAAGCTTTCATAGGCCATCTCAGCCTTCGCCGACTATTGCAAAAGCAAAGATGGTCTGCTGGTAACAGTCACAAGGTAGCTATGCCACACCAGTTTCCAAGGAGATAGGACAAATGCCTTGATTTCAGCAAGGCATTTGACAAGGTGCCCCATGATATTCTTGTAAAGAAGCTGGTAAAATGCGGTCTTGACTATGCTACCACTCAGTGGATTTGTAACTGGCTGACTGACCAAACCCAAAGGGTGCTCATCAATGGTTCCTCTTCATCCTGGAGAAGAGTGACTAGTGGGGTGCCACAGGGTTCTGTCTTGGGCCTGGTCTTATTCAACATCTTTATCAACGACTTGGATGATGGACTCAAGGGCATCCTGATCAAATTTGCAGATGACACCAAACTGGGAGGGGTGGCTAACACCCCAGAGGACAGGATCGCACTTCAAAACGACCTTGACAGATTAGAGATCTGGGCAAAAACAAACAAGATGAATTTTAACAGGGAGAAATGTAAAGTATTGCACTTGGGCAAAAAAAATGAGAGGCACAAATACAAGATGGGTGACACCTGGCTTGAGAGCAGTACATGTGAAAAGGATCTAGGAGTCTTGGTTGACCACAAACTTGACATGAGCCAACAGTGTGACGCGGCAGCTAAAAAAGCCAATGCAATTCTGGGCTGCACCAATACGAGTATAGCATCTAGATCAAGGGAAGTAATAGTGCCACTGTATTCTGCTCTGGTCAGACCTCACCTGGAGTACTGTGTCCAGTTCTGGGCACCACAGTTCAAGAAGGACACTGACAAACTGGAACATGTCCAGAGGAGGGCAACCAAAATGGTCAAAGGCCTGGAAACGATGCCTTATGAGGAACGGCTAAGGGAGCTGGGCATGTTTAGCCTGGAGAAGAGGAGGTTAAGGGGTGATATGATAGCCATGTTCAAATATATAAAAGGATGTCACATAGAGGAGGGAGAAAGGTTGTTTTCTGCTGCTCCAGAGAAGCGGACACGGAGCAATGGATCCAAACTACAAGAAAGAAGATTCCACCTAAACATTAGGAAGAACTTCCTGACAGTAAGAGCTGTTTGACAGTGGAATTTGCTGCCAAGGAGTGTGGTGGAGTCTCCTTCTTTGGAGGTCTTTAAGCAGAGGCTTGACAACCATATGTCAGGAGTGCTCTGATGGTGTTTCCTGCTTGGCAGGGGGTTGGACTCGATGGCCCTTGTGGTCTCTTCCAACTCTATGATTCTATGAAATACCATTACCCCTGTGATTCTCTCCGAGCTGTCGAGGAGAGAGGATGCATTTTCTGCTCCGGCAGAGGCAAGATGTCTTTCTGTAATATACCAGCTTTGAACTGTAAATAAAAGCAATATAGAGTATGTAGCACGTATTCCTCATCCTTCCGCTGGGCACGAGACTCTGCTTAAATCAACACGTGGTTATGGGCTCCAGAAGTCGAATCGGAGTGCCGGCAAAAGGATCGGAATGCAGAGGGACAGATCGGAACGGAATCTGCTCTGCGCGTAGAAGTGATTGATGAGGTATGTGCTACTGCTCCGGGCAGCCTGCCAGCTTCAAGTTAATGGCTTTATGGCTGGACTTTGAACTTTGATTTAAAGCAGAGTCTTGTGCCCAGCGGAAGGATGAGGAATACGTGCTGCATACTCCTTATTGCTTTATTTACAGTTCAAAGCTGGTATATTACAGAAAGACATCTTGCCTCTGCCGGAGCAGAAAATACATCCTCTCTCCTCGACAGCTCGGAGAGAATCACACAGTGAAAAACAGGAAACCAGTGTACGTCACATCCAGTCTCCCTTTCCCGTGAGAAACTCCAACAGTACAGACTGTGGAATGTAAACACCTGTCTCGTGACAAGCAGAGCTGCACAGTGAAGGAAAGCAGAAACCAACATCCTCCCCCTTTCTGTGAACATCACTGGGCAGCGTGGGAGTACAGTATCAGTACAAACCCAACTTCTGCACATAGGTACAGTGTTGATCCCTCGATACAATCTTGGACAATACATCAGCAGGAATTTCATTACCTGGCATATAGGACACCGTTACGAGTCCCTTCTGAATACATTCCCTAGCATGCTGCAATTTTAATTGCAAGTGCTTTGTGCTTTGCTTACAACCTTCAGACTTCAGCAAAGCCAAACATGCTTTGTTGTCCTGGTAAACCTGGATTGGACATTTGACAGGAATTTTCATATCTTTGCACAATTGTACTAACCATTCACAATCCTTAAGTGAATAAGACAGTGCATTCAGTTCGGCTTCACAAGTACTTAAGCTAACTGTTGTTTGCTTCTAGCATGACCAATCAAACAGACTCTGATTGTACATGTAGCAAACTCCAGACGTACTTTTCCTGTCTGTAGCTGTCACTTCCAAAACTTGCATCTGCAAATATCTCAAGACCACCAGACTTCTGATTGTTAAATCTCAGTCTGTAATGCATAGTGCCTTTCAAATACCGCGCTATGCGTTTCAGAGCTTTCCAATCCTTGACACTAGGATTGTTGACTTGTCTGCTTAGCAAATTACAGCTAACAGCAATGTCTGGTCTTGAACATCTGGCAATGAAGTTTAGCTTGCCTAGCACACTCCTGTACAGTGTAGTGTCAGAAAATGCTTCTTCAGTGTCATCTACCTGATAACCTGTTGTCATCGGTGTGTTTACAGGGTTAGCATCCATCAGATTTAGTTTGCTTAACACATCAGCAATTTTCCGTGACTGGTGTACTAGAATGTTACCATCTTGATCTCTCTCTATTTCCAGAGATAGGTAGTTGTTTACCTCACCAAGATCTTTCATGTCAAAGTGCTCTTTCAGTTGAGCTAGGGCGCTATTGTACATTGCAACATCTTTCCAAAAGAATAATAAATCATCAACATAAAACAAACAGTACAGTTTCTTTTGCCCCTCCTCTTGACAAATACACATGGATCAGCTTTCCTTGCTGAAAACCTAGAGAAAACAATACTTCAGTGAGTTTTGTGTGCCAACACCGTGCACTTTGTTTGAGACCATAAAGGGATTTCTTCAGAGCACAAACAAATCCCTGTTTTACCTGTACGCCATCAGGTGGAAGCATATAAAGTGATTCATCTAGAGATCCGTACAGAAAAGCTGTATTAATATCATGGTGACTAATGTGTAGATTTTCCTCTGCAGCTAGCTTAAGCATAAGCCTAATGCTTTCATATCTCACTGTGGGTGAATAGGTCTCGTGATAGTCTTCACCTGGTACCTGTGCAAAACCTCTGGCTACCAATCTGGCTTTGTGTCTGACTATCTTGCCATTTTGATCTGTCTTCGCTTTGAAGACCCATTTGCTTCCAAGCAGTTTCATTCCTGGAACTACTGGAACTAGCTCCCATGTTTTGTTCCTTTCTAAGGAATCAAGCTCAGCCTTCATGGCATTTAACCATGGCTCAGCTTCCTTTGAATCCAAACCCTGGATTTCTTGGAAACTTGAAGGTTCAAATACCTTCTTGGAGCTTTTAACAGCTGTTACTGCTATCGTAGCAAACTCATCAGCAAATCTCTTTGGAGGTTTGCATTTTGTGGCTCTCTGTGACCTACGAATTAGCTTTAAGTCTTCAACACTCTCCTCTTCCTTCTTAGGAGAAAAACGACCTATTGTGAACAATGGTTCCTCCAATTCTTGATCAGAGCTTTCAGAGGGTCGCATAGAGGCTTTCGCACTCTCGAAATCCTCTGAATCACCCGATTCAGTTTCAGATTCAGACTCAGAACTTTCATCAGTGGGTGTGGGCTGTTGTGGTTGCTTTTGACTATCCTCAGTCTCATCACCGTCATCAGGATAACATTGGAAAATTCCCACATTCTCCCCCCACTTTGCATTGTACTCAACACTTCTCGTGAGCTTAATTGTCTTGGAGTCGGTCATCATTATTCTGTAAGACCCTTTCTGATAACCTAGAAAGATACCATGCAATCCACGCTTGTCTAACTTGGAGTTTTGTGGTGAGCGAACCCACATGTCAGAACCAAAATCTTCATGTGTTTGATGTATGGCTTCTTGCCAACCATCTTCACATAGGCCGTACAACCAATCGCTGAAGATAACCTGCGATTGTAACTGTAAACAAAACACGAGAGAGATTCGGCCCAATAACTCTCTGGAAGATTGGCATCATGCAGCAAGGTTTTTAATCCTTGAAGCAAAGTCTGATTTGCCCGTTCCGCAAGTCCATTCTGCCATGGCGAGCGAGGACTAGACAAATCGTGTTGAATTCCTTTCTCAGTCAGATAAGCTTCAAACTGCTGAGAAGTGAATTCCCCCCCGCGATCACTGAAAAGAGTCTTTATCTTCTTACCATGCACATTTTCCAACCAAGCGCAGAATTCCTTGAACCTAGGAAAAGCCTCCGATTTCTGCTTGAGATTGTACACAAAAATATATCTAGAAAATGCATCAATGAGAACCATGAAGTATCTATTTCCACCCAAAGAGGGCGCTAGTGGTCCAACCAAATCAGCATGAACAACCTGGTATGGTTCTGTAGCTTTCCTACTAGACACCTTACCTTTCGCAGCCATTTTCACTTTGTTTGCTGCGCATGCTTTGCACTTCATGTGGTACCTGCAGGGTTTAATAGTCATACCTTCAACCAAGGCAGGCATTTTAGATACTGCCTCAAAATGCAAATGACCAAATTTTCGATGAAAATCGTGAATACATTCTGCATGCAAGCTTTTGTTAGAACCTGCAATGCAACAAGTGTCATCCTGCACCACATCATCATAATACAAAACAAACAAATGATCAACATATTCTGCATGCAATACATAATCATTTTTCTTTGTGATGATGCACTTCTTGTTCTTGAAGGAAACGTCAATGTTCCGCTCATTCAGCTGTCCAACGCTGAGCAGATTATGTTTGGCGCCTGGCACGTAAAGCACATTCTGTATCGATAAGTCCAAACTGTGAAGAACAACAGTTCCGTAGCCTTTACTGGGAATAGTGTGGTCATCCGCCTGGTGAATCGCACCTTCCTGCGGTGTAAAAGACACAAACAGTTTCTTATCGTTGCACATGTGGTGGGTGGCCGCTGAATCAACAACGAAGAAAGATCTAGACGTTTTCTGGACCTCTGCAACCTTTGGAGTGAAGCGTGAAACCATAGCCTTGTGCTGCGTTGTCCTAGACACCGGACCTTTGCCTTTGCCTCGGCCTTTTCCGCGCGATGAGCTTTCGCTGCGCTGCTCTGTCTTGGCCCTGGGATGTCTGCATTCCCTCTTCACATGGCCTAGACGTCCACACGAGTAGCATTTCACTGCCTTCAAAGCTTTGGCGCCATCTGGTGGTTCCACTGCACTATGGGATGACGTCTGTGAAGACTCCCCCTTGCCCATGCAGCTAGCACCCCGGCGATCTGCTTCATTTAAAATCACGGCAGTAACAAAGTCCACTGTCAGCTGAGCAGTTGAGTAAAACATAGTGGATCCAGCTTCTGTCCTTAAGTGAGCCTCTCTCAAAGCGTCCCAAATTTCTCTGGCTGATGTCTTATCACGCAATAGACAGAGCTCTTCTGGGGATACTATCAATGTAAGAGTTCCCCTTGCTTTGGAATCCTTAGCTTCCCATGCATCTGTAACTGGAACTGGGGGGGTTTCTGTAATCACCTCAAACAAACCCTCTTTCCGCAGAATTGCCTCTGCATACAGAACCCAGTCGCTGTAATTCTTCTTGTTGAGCTTAGGAATCCCACAAGCATCCTGAAGGGCCATCATGACTCTGGCATTAGCCTTCAGCGTCATATATTGCTTTAATTCTTGCTGCGTCACTGCTGCAGCTGCCTTTTTCCAAAAGCGCACTTAAAAGTTACTTTCGATTTCCCCAGCATAGTGACTTGTGCCTGGGAGCCTTTTGCCTATTCCCGGCAAAACCGGCTTTAAAAGTTCAAAGTCCAGCCATAAAGCCATTAACTTGAAGCTGGCAGGCTGCTCGGAGCAGTAGCACATACCTCATCAATCACTTCTACGCGCAGAGCAGATTCCGTTCCGATCTGTCCCTCTGCATTCCGATCCTTTGCCGGCACTCCGATTCGACTTCTGGAGCCCATAACCACGTGTTGATTTAAAGCAGAGTCTTGTGCCCAGCGGAAGGATGAGGAATACGTGCTGCATACTCCTTATTGCTTTATTTACAGTTCAAAGCTGGTATATTACAGAAAGACATCTTGCCTCTGCCGGAGCAGAAAATACATCCTCTCTCCTTGACAGCTCGGAGAGAATCACACAGTGAAAAACAGGAAACCAGTGTACGTCACATCCAGTCTCCCTTTCCCGTGAGAAACTCCAACAGTACAGACTGTGGAATGTAAACACCTGTCTCGTGACAAGCAGAGCTGCACAGTGAAGGAAAGCAGAAACCAACAGATATGGTGAAGATTAGAATTTCCAGGCATTACGATAGTAGAATTATATGCCCCCTCCCCTCTGCCTTAATATTTAGAAACTCTCCTGTATGATATAAAGGAGATTCTGATTATCTGCAAGAATAAGTGGGACACATAGCCCCCAAAATTTGTGTTTACTGTCAATGTAGCTGAGCTGTGGCCTTTACAGCTGTTGAGGTGCTGGTGCACTGCTGTGATTCTTTTGAAAAGTGAGCTTGTAAGAAAAAAAATCGCCTTTACCTTGAAGATTAACAAAGGCCTGAAAACTGTAGAGTTCCATTGAAGCTTCTGTACATTTGGGCAGCCGGGGTCTGTTGCAGGGAGGTGCAAGTTCCTGACTCCGAGCCAAGACATAACAGCCTGCAGGAATATATTTAGGCCTAGATAAATAGGTTCAGAGGAGCTGAACTGCACCAAGGAAGATGTAGCAAGGTTGAGGGTAAATAACAAGTGTTAGTAATATGAAGGCGGCTCCATAGGAATAGAGTATTTTAACGCTGGAGAGACAACTGCTTGGAACACTCATTACCTGAGGCAACTCTACTCCAAGGATGCCGCAAGGGACTTAATAGGTATGAATAGTGAAAGGAATAGGGCCTGCCTGGTGTGAATCATATACTCAGTAATCAAAGGGATTGCTTGCAAACCATTGCCTTGTCAGCAGCACTATTTAGTCATAGTAAAATGTGTGTGTGTAACTATGAAACACATCAGCATAAAAGAAATAACAGGAATAAAAAAGGAATGTGCTGAAAGAGCAAAGCATTTCATTTTACTGATCCGTTAGTGTCTCCTAAATGCATGACTACAAATCTACCCTCAAGAGATCAGTGGTGTGTGGTGAAATTTTTCATAGGGGACAGTTAGGGCCACAGGCACCAGCTTGTGAGGGTGATTCAGGGAGGGCGATATCCTAACATCCCACGTTTGGGCACCACGCCTCCCTCCCTAATCTGGGCAGAAGCTCCCTGGGCTTTGGGAAGTAGGCACCAGGGCTCTGACAAGATGCTAGAGCCCTGCTGCCTCATTCCCAAAGCCAGGTGGGCTTTGGGAAGGTGGCCAGAGGGCTCTTGCACCCCATCAGAGCATCACACCTCCCTCCTTAAGCTGGGCAGGAGCTTCCTGGACTTTGGGAAGGAGGCACCAAGATTTAATAGTCTAATTTACTGAGAATATTTGGGAGACCAGCCTAGTCCCCCTAGTCCACTGATTGCATGCCACTGCCAGATACACACACACACACACACACACACACACACTTCTTCTTGATTTGCTCACTTTCTGTAGGTGGGGAGCTTGCATCTTTTGTTGTTTGCTTGAGTTGTGCGTTCTTTTCCTTCTAATGTTAAGTGCCTCGTGAACCATTTCCGATAGAGGGGCAGAAAATAAAAATAAACAAATGAAATAGTGAGTCGTTTTGCAAAGCTTCTTGTAGGGCATCCTTACAACGCTTCAACTGTCTCTTCACTGCTGCCGGAACCCCATTGGTGTAGAACTCCTATTGCTGGGGTCACAGTTTCCCAGAAGTTACTGAGAGGAGATTACTTTCCCTTCTTCCTCACTCTAGAACAGGCATAGGCAACCTCGGCCCGCCAGATGTTTTGGGACTACAATTCCCATCATCCCTGACCACTGGTCCTGTTAGCTAGGGATCATGGGAGTTGTAGTCCCAAAACATCTGGTGGGCTGAGGTTGCCTATGCCTGCTCTAGAAGCTAGCAGTTCCATTGCAGTAGTTGCAGTAGTTCTCAGAAATCACCTTCCACACCTATAGCTAAACGTAGTGGGGGTTCAGGGGGTACTTGAGGATATGCAGCACCCGCACCTCTTTTTGTTGTTGTTAAAAAGTGTGGCATTTACTGTAAAAACTTCATGGTATCTACTGGCACCTATTTTTCTAGGAAAAAAGCACTGGCTAAATATATAGATGCAGGAAAGAGGCCACGCCTCCTGGCCCCACCTGCAACATCACACCTCTTGAGCCCTAGGTATCTGTGAAGAAAGGAAGATGCTTTCAACAGTATATATGAAGACTTGCCCATTACAGACATCATACACCATGCCTAGACGTCATGGGGGAAGAGAGCACATCGTCAGGGATGGGGCCAGGAATGAGGCTGTGGTTGTATAAATCTCCCAGGCTCTTGTTCAGTGCACGGGGCATTGCTTGACAAAGAGCAGTCTCATTTCCCACACAGTTTTATGATTTTATTTTTAATCGTTCTTTAGCAGCTGAGCAGCCTTCCTCTGTCCCGCATGGCCGTTAGTAGCTCTCCTTTAAAAATACCTGCAAGGCTCTCTTTCTCTCCCCACCTGCACCCCACTGCTGCCTTTCCCCAAGTAGCGCTTCACTGCTTGTGAATGTTTTCTGTATATTTGGTGCAGCACATATTTAAGAAGCTCTGCAAAAATCTCTGTAAATGGCTGTTTCTTTTAGCCTCTTTCTGTTGTTTCTCTCTGTAGTAACCCAGATGTGTCAGCATGGCTACAAGATAAGATAATAGTAGGATTTTGTGAAAGGTGAGCAAATTGCCTATTCTGTCAGTTCCCTGTGACTTAGAACACCCCAGGAAAATAAGAGGGAGAAGCTTTGCTGGAAAAAAACAGCAAAACAGGTGAGCCATTTGGAGGCTTCCAGGTTAAAGAACAATTTGAAAGAGGGATGGTTGTTACCCAAAATTATAGACTGTGGGTTGTTATAGCCATCGGGTTTTTGGAAACATGGAAATACTTTTGACTTCCACTTACCATGTGCAATACAAAAGGCCTTTCTTCTTTCTGTTGCCGCTTAGTCACCAGCAAGGATTGTTGTACTGCCTTGGGAGGTCCCTGCTAAAATTTATTTGAGGGCCTTGTGAATGAGTACCCAAATAAAAGCCTGACATTATTATCCACAAAAGGGTAAATAGTCCTGCATGACAAAAAGCATCTGCGCTCTTGCAGCTGTTTTGAAAAGAGGAACAGCTACTTTTCACAATTTCAGCAACATCTTCTATGTTAATCACGTACATTCTTTGAAGGCTGTGTGATGTTCATACTCTCTCTCTCTCTCTCTCTCTGTGTGTGTGTGTGTACACAGTGAGACACTCACACAAGAAACGAAAAGGGAAACAGGCTTTTTATTATTTCATTCATGTAAAATCTTGATACCTTGTCATACCATCCATTAGGCTCCAAGAGGTGTCCGAATGCCAGTTGGCATCCATCTGTCTCAGGAGACAATGGAGAAATGAGCCTTTGGGAGTGAAGTCACACCGTTGGAGCCTGCTGTGGCTGTAGAGACCAGTACGGAAGAGACATGTTTTGTTGCAGCTGGGGCAGATGAAGGCTTTTAATTGTGCTGCTGCAGATGTACCATGATGGCAGTATGAAACAGATCAACTGTAAACCGTGTTAAAAACAAGCAATCCACGGCAGAAGCTTTCGTTCTGTTTGTTTTCCTGCTGTAACAATGTTCTCTCTCCCAGGGGCAGAGCTAGGTGCCCTGGCACCTGGAGTGGCACACATGCCGTGCACCCAGGGGTGGGGCGATCCGCCCTCAGGGCCTATCGGCGCAGCTGCGTGATCCTCCCCAGGGGCCGATCTCGGTGCGGCGCCGCGATCCTCCCCCACAGCGAGCCGGGGGAAGGGGGAGAGCTGCAGCTTTGCTGCTCACCGGGCTTGGGGGAGTCGCAGGTGGGGGGGCACGCCAAATGTCAACCCCTTCAGGATGACACCCGGTGGCACCCCGCACCCCCTTCCTACACCCCTGCTCTCTCCAGGCATTACATTTGTGCAGGGAGAACGAGGTGTGTGTGCAAAGGGGCCTGCAGAATAGGAGAGAGGAGGAGGAAGTGTGGAAATAGGGGAGACAGAGACAGATGTGATACATAAAGCAGAGGCATTAGGTTTTCTTGAAGTCTGGGTGATAAATCAACGTGTCTTGTAAAACAGCATTCGGTGAGCACCACAAAGTCCTGTGCTAGTTTGATGATATGTCTTTTTTTCTTGAGTGGAGAGTTAGGAAGGAAAACAGCACCAAATTTTTTACCTACACAGCAGCTTCTATGCACAAAGAAAATTGTTTATTTATTAAATTGGTATACCGCCTTTCACCCAAGGTTTATTTCTGTTAAAGCCTCTTGTCTTAGAACTGATTTTTCCTTCCAGTGTTGACATGTGTTTATTTTCCTTCTTCTTTTCAGATATCACAGTGAGTTTACTGTCCTTAGTTGTCACAGCATGTGGACTTGCTTTGTTTGGGGTGTCTCTGTTTGTGTCCTGGAAGCTGTGTTGGGTTCCTTGGCGAGAACGTGGCCTGCCTGGAAACAAAGACAAGCAGGAGTCCCTGAACTATACAGACACAGAGACCAATGACCACGAGTATAGCGAGGATTACTTGGGACAACCTACCACCTATCCCGACTCTTCCATGAAGATTAGCCACACATCCCCTGACATCCCTTTGGACGCTAAGGCAGGAACCAAGGAAAACTGTGTGCATAATGTTCGGATGCATCGACAGATCACGGAGCCAACTCCTTCTGCACGGTCAGTAACTCCAGCAAGGAACAGAGTCGCCCCCAAAGTAAAAAAGCTTTACTGTGCCAAAAAGTATCCCTTACCTAACAGGCTCCTTGGTCACCAAGGACTGCACAGGCGGAGGTTTGTGTTTGCTTTATCAAGTGCAGGAGCAGGATTCTTGATGGGGAAGGAAGAAGGCACCGGAGACTAATTTAGAGATAGCATTCCTGATCATGGGAGAGATGGGCAACCCTTGCCTTCATTCACCAGTTCCCATGATCCTGAGAGGGGCCTCATGAATAAAAGTACACTCTAAATACTTTTGAGTAAAGGCCTGGTTGTAATCGAGACAAAGGAGCCAGCAAACCAGTGTGGCTGGAGGATCAAACATAAAAGGCCAGAGGAAAGGGGAAGCCAAGGAAGAAAGGACCACTACAGTTTACTGTGTTCAGAGTGGGAATTGGGAGAAGGAACTAAGGGGATCACTTCATTTTCTCCAACCCCCTGAGGCTTGCCTGACCACCTTCCTCACACTGGGTCACAAATCAGCATCCTGTGTGAAGCAAGGGAGGCAGAGTCTCTTGGGTACCCCTTGACACTTTGCAGCTGTGGGTCAGTAAGTGTGTTGGTCTGCATTAGTATAGCTAGTGCTTCAGAAGATTGAAAACATCCCAAAGGATTGCAAATCAGTAAGTTGTCCACACTACGCCATCCAATTTCTTGCTGCTTGGCACCTCTAACTCCTTTTTACAAAAAGGGGAGGGTAAATGCATTTCAGGGTGTTTTCATAATGTGGGTAAAAGTCTGTAATTTCAATACAATTTTAGAACTTGTGAAATCATCCATCACACCTTTCTTCCTTGTATACAGTTTTGGCTACAACTTGGGACTCAGCTATACAGCTGGAAATAAAACCTTTTAAGTGTGTTTTAAGTGCAATACACAATGTGACACTAGATGGTGACCCTTATGGAAAATTCAATGTACTGTCTTTTTAAAAACGCTTTAAAAAGTAGCATTTTCAGAACAGTTTTTATATGTGTGTAGATTCCACCTTGATCTGAAAAGTGTTATAGATGTTTGGTTTGAGAAATCTATACAAACATTCTGACTCACCTGTTAGTTGTAAGTTTCTATACCATCATTACTTACGTTATTTTACTTGTATCAAAAAAATCCTATTCTCAATAAAAAAAAAAATAGCTGAGCATTCTGACTAAGCATTTTCCCTAAATAACAGGAACAGTTAAGCTTTTAGTCATATTGCAGAGAATTAGCGAGTCAGACTTGAACGGCATGTACTTTTGCAAATGTTGCAGTAGCAGCCGGACGCTTGCAGGCAACCTATAGAAAGAGCCCCCCCACATTTTTTGCTATTTTATGAGCTAGACGTAATTGCCAGGTTATTGAAATTCTATAGTAACTGAAGGGCTGCCTCAATTTAACCTTGCAAAGTATGTTCATTTTCACTTACCTCTGCAGCTGTGGGTGCTGACATAGCCCTGCAAAGAATTCAACAAAAATAGAACAGGTTAACAAAACACTTGCGAGAGTTTGAAATAGGAAGTGCTAGGTATTAGGCACAGCTTTGGTGGAGTGGGTGGGAGGTGAAATCACCAAGGGGGAAGACTGACTGAACAAAACGGCGTGAAGAGGAGTGTATGTAAAATATGGGAGAGCTAATGATGGCGGGGCAGAGTCAACATAAAAAACTGCTGAACTGTGTCAGATCTATGGCTAGCCCAGAGCAGCTCAGTCTTGTTGACTGTGTCCAACCACCTCACAAGCAAGACATGATGAAGATAGCTTTCCTCTTCAGTTTGCCCCATCATGTGGTAGACAAAGGTATATTATCTCTCCAAACACATGGGGTGAAATTCCACATTGTGCTGATACGCATGATCTGCAAAAGCATTTCAGCTTGCAGGATGGAATGACCTCCCTCTCCTCCCCGGAACACTGTCTGGAGTTTTTTTTTCCTGACCTCCCTCCTGAGCCAGTTTTAAGAGGCAGATGGGGAGAGGAGAAGGGGAATCCCAATTGTGCAAGCAGAAGTTCTTGCACAGGGCTTCTGCCAATGGGGCACCTTAGGCGGTCAGTTTTTTATTATCATAATGAATAGTAATTATTACACTCATCTACCATAAACCTGTCCCCGCCTTTCAAAAGCTATTAGTATCATGGCTATACCACATCTTATGGTAATGAAAACCATAAGGTGCATTGAGTAGATAAATGTGTACTTGTTTATACTGCTGTGCACAGTGGTACCTTGGTACTTGAACAGCTTAGCTCCCAAACAAATTGGCTCCCACGCCTTGATATTTTAATGGTTTTGGGAGTCAAATGGACTCCTGGAACGGATTAAGTTCGAGAACCAAGGTACCACTATATTTGGGGAGTAGCAAGGCACTTTTGACCTCTGGCGAGATTTAGAACAGATGAATGACCTATATAGGTGGAGCAACTGGAAGAACAGAACACAGCAGCAGCATAGTCAGAAACTGAGTGTGAAAGCTGTGGTATCCACATAATTGTGGAAGGGATCAAGGATGAATTAGATTAATATTTGATCGAGAGGCAATGTAAAATTTGCTTGCAGCTAGGTTACAGTGAGAGGAACCATCAAAGGGCAGCGGAAATTTGAAAGGGTGGAAAGCACCACCAACCTCTTACCTGTTGCCCAGGTGATGCAGGTGATTGGAAAGAGAGGATGCAGTCAAGTTAGAAGCATGATTGGTAAGAAGTCCACAACGACTGATACGAGTTGCATGGATGAGCGGTGTGCTAGGGAAACTATATCAAAAACATTCTTAATTGTCCAAAATCATGATTTCAGCTTTTGGGGTTTTTTAATTATTATTATTTTATTTCCTTTAACACTGTAGAGATGCTGTAATCCCACCTGTCTAATCAAGTCTGTTTTGTTGTTTTTATTCAAGGCATAATTCGTTCCGAAGGCAGCTCAATCTCTCAAACCCAGACTTCAACATCCAGCAGATCCAAAAGCAAGAGCAGCTGACAGGGATTGGGCGCATCAAGCCTGAGCTGTATAAACAAAGATCGGTGGACACAGATGATGGGAGGAGGAACAATAGCAAATCTTGTGGGAAGCTCAACTTTATTGTGAAATACGATTGTGACTTGGAGCAACTGATAGTGAAGATTCACAAAGCTGTCAACCTGCCAGCAAAGGACTTCTCTGGGACTTCAGACCCCTATGTCAAGATCTACTTACTTCCAGATAGGAAAACAAAACACCAGACTAAAGTGCATAGAAAGACCCTAAACCCAGTGTTTGATGAAGTTTTTTTATTTCCTGTTCCTTACAATGATTTGAGCACGAGGAAACTCCACTTCTCTGTATATGACTTTGACCGATTCTCCAGGCATGACTTGATTGGCCAAGTGATAGTGGATAATTTTTTAGAGTTGTCAGACTTTCCCAGGGAGTGTAATCTTTGGAAGGATATTGAATATGTCACCAATGTAAGTATGACACCCCCCCTTTTATTTTGAGATTTTATTTTCTGCCTCTTTGCATTGTTGCCCAGTTTATCTGCTGTCAAAGTGGTTGAATTGTGATGAAAGTCACCCCTTATTGTATCTACCTGAAACTGACTTAGTCCAAAGACTACATTCTGTATGGAGGAATTACTGTGGTGTTATATAAAAGCTTGTGCCTTTCCCCTGAATTTCATTCTTAAATATTATTTTCCTTGCTAATTTGATTTTCCATTGGCTTATATGATTTATCACAGAGAATTGATAACTTTTTAGAAATTGGTAAGCTCGTGTGTTCTATTCTGATAAAAATGTGCCTTACATTTTTCAGCTAAAATTCCAGAGTTACATTCCCAACCCCCATTGCTTTCCAAGAGGCATTCTGTAAGTGCAGTTTCATAGATACATTTCCATAATCTTTGGACAGCTCTGAAGACTTCACCAACCTAGGAGACTTTTTGCTCATTTGTTGTGCCAGGTACATGAACAGTAGAGCATGCTGGGGTTTTTCCTGATTAGTTCCGCTGAGAGAAACCAGCAGTGGTGTAGTGGATAAGTACTGCAGGGTAGCACAGCTCCAGGTTGTTTGTCAGAACAGGAGCAATAATGTCATCAGCCTTAGCGATGTGGTAATTGGGGGATTTTCCTTGCTCTGGGAAGTGAATGAGGCAATAATGAAGCCTTCAGATTTGTATGATCGGTATAGAAAAAGTCACAGAAAGAGGAAATAACCAAGTAGAGGCTGGGTAGGCCTTTCCATTCCTTTCATAAGATCCCTACTTCATTCTTGCAGTAGTAGTTTTCTGCAAAATTGTCTGCATTTCTAATTAAAATGAAATGGCTGCATTTCAGCTAGCTGGGGATTTGTTATTGAGGCCCGGTGTGTTTTACAAGCTGAATCCATGCAGCCTGAAATAGATCAATGGCACTTGCTTGCAGGAAACTGCGCAGCAGAGCAGCAATGCTGATCCTAATAAATTGTATTTAGGGATAAGGGAGAAATTTGATTCAGTTCGCATTTAAAGGTGAACCTACGTAATTTGCTCCCTCCTAAACAATAGGTGAACTGAAGCACAGCCATTGCGTTTTAAACTCTGCTTGGGAGCATGGAGATTGGGAACATGATGAGCTCCTCCCTTTAAAATTTACTACTACACCACTGGGTAACCACACATTTATCTCTTGACTGTGGAGTTGTAGAAAAATATAATATTTATTCATTATTACTTACTTCAACAGTTTATATACCTCTTAACACCGTAGTCTTAAACTTCGCCTGATAGTATTTTGGCAGCTGGTGCAAACTTTTAAACCTTGGCGTTATATGCTGGTAGTATTCTGACCCCACCAGCCGTCTAGCCCAGGCTTCCTCAAACTCGGCCCTTCAGACGTTTTGAGGCTACAATTCCCATCATCCCTGACCACTGGTCCTGCTAGCTAGGGATCATGGGAGTTGTAGGCCAAAAACATCTTCTAGAGGGCCGAGCTTGAGGAAGCCTGGTCTAGCCACAGCATTTTGTGAGGCTTTCATGTACTCTCCTTATAGTTTTCCTCTCCTCTCTTTACAAAGTATTGCACCAGCAGCTGTCTCATGAGGTTATCCACAAACAAGGGGAAAGAAAAAATTTTAGGATAACATTGGAGCTCTGCCATCCTCAGCTGTTGAAGGTCTCCTGCTTCCTTGCTGCCCCTCATGCATGGAACTGTCATCATAATTCCACTTTTCCTACTTTCTGTCCTCGAAACCTACCTTTTCTGTGAAGCTGGGGAAGCCCGGCCAGATGGGTGGGGTATAAGTAATGATTATTTATTTATTTATTTATTTGAAGCATCTATTCCTACTGTTGTTAAGCCTAAGGGAGCAATCACAACCTCCCAAACCTCTGGTAAGACTATATTGCCACCACTGCATACAGCGGTCAGGGCGGAAACTGGATGGGGGGGAGGTATTTTTATTACAGCAAACAGGCAGCAATCCATAGGCAATTACCCAATCATTAAGCAAAGATTCGGCAGCCATAATGTACAAAGTTAACTTCACATTAAATTAAATGATGCATTATGCACTAGATGAGAGACGTCTGGCTTCAGAGCATCAATCTGTGTCTCTCTTAATATCCATGGCACTAATTCCACAATAGAAATAGTTATGGACCCTAAATTTTGAAACCTATAATCTCAGAAGGCCTCTAAGAGGCAGACATTTCTTCTTAACCATTACAGGGCAGTTAACAATTTCACCAGCAGTAAAAATAACAAAACCAGATCCTTGCTGGTGAAAGCTGTATCATTGGATGCTACTGTGTCCATTTTATTTATTGTTTTATTTATTAAATTTATATACCGCCCTTCATCAGAGTATCTCAGGGCAGTTCACAGCATAAAATACAAGATAAAAACCACAAGTAAATAATTTAACAAAAGCAACGAAACTGGTTTCACAAATCAGAAAGTATTTAATTTCCTCCAAGACACTATAATCTTATGAAGTCCACACACATTTTTATCTGGATACTTTTCAGGCTAACAGCAGAGCATCCAAATTAGTTACATGCAAAGCAGAATTTCAGCACATCCGTACATTCCATATACATTCTTCATTTTGTTGTTCAGATGGAAATTGGTTGAAAGTGATTTAACTTCGGATACACTGCCATTGATCTATTATGCGGACCCTGGTTTGTACAAATTGATCAAGGGATTCTGGTATTTATTTTGATTGTGGGACATGCCCCCCCCCCAAGTGCAAATGAGTCTCAGCAGGAGCCATAACCCAACTGGAAACTTCCTTGATGAAAAACTCAAGATTAATGACGTTTTTACAGCACACTGTTTTCAAATTAAGATATTACAGCTTTATAGCCTTTGAATATTTGCAAATGTGATTCGGGCATTAAAGTTATGGACAGCTAACAATATAAACCAAGAACTCTTGCATATTTTAGTTATCGTTTCCCTATGTTTCCCTGAGGTTGTTCTCAAACACTGTAAATGCAACCTCAACTCCTTGTTCTGTACCCTCCAAAGCAGCATAAAATTCATTCTATCAAATATGTGAAATCTTGCCAGAGTTCATGAACCTTTGAACTGAGCTGTGTGATAAGGAAAACAGAACTGATTTATTATAGAGGACAGAAAACAAAACACATTTTGACCATACTCCACTCTAAATCTTGGCTGTTTCAAACTTCAAAAGGAAATGTATTTTATGTATTTTGACCCAAAACATATTTACCATATAACCAACTGCATTTTACTTCTGATTTGGGACTGGTGTTGGTATTATTTGGGTCAACACTTTCCAAGGGATTATTATCCACTTAAACATCTTCTCCCCCCCCCGCAACCCTAGTCACCAGAAGGCAATGTAAATAGGCAAGCCTTGTCCTACCATGGAAAACTGAGGAGTTCCCATGAGGAGTTAGGCCCCCACGTCAATGTTTATATGATCTCACCATGGAGATTAGATGGATCCTTGCAATGCCCACAGGAAAAGACCGGCCACCCTGAGCCATTGTTACCCAAAAAAGGGGACTCTCTCAAGAGCAGCCCAGTAATAGGTAAAGGTAAAGGGACCCCTGACCATTAGGTTCAGTCATGGACAACTCTGGGGTTGTGGCGCTCATCTCGCTTTACTGGCCGAGGGAGCCGGCGTTTGTCCACAGACAGCTTCCGGGTCATGTGGCCAGCATGACTAAGCTGCTTCTGGTGAAACCAGAGCAGCTCATGGAAATGCTGTTTACCTTTCCGCTGCAGCGGTACCAATTTATCTACTTGCACTTTGATGTGCTTTCGAACTGCTAGGTTGGCAGGAGCATGGACCAAACAACGGGAGCTCACCTCGTCACGGGGATTCGAACCGCCGACCTTCTGATCGGCAAGCCCTAGGCTCTGTGGTTTAACCCACAGCGCCACCCACGTGGCCTCCAGCAAATAGCGCAGATAACTCTTGGAAGGTGTATGGTGCAGTTTTACTGCTGAAGCTAATCGAGCTTCACCCTAAATGCTCCCCAGAAGCATAGTCTGCCTGGGAGCTGTATGTACACTCTCCTGAGCTCCTTAGAGGACAAACAGGTATCTAGGTGTAATTAATTAAACATAGTAAGCATGTCAAGGTAATCATAATCACAGAAAAATATTGGATTATCATTGTAATCAAACATTGGCAAAATCTTGAGTATAATTTTTTCCAGTTTATGTTTAGAATAAGTCCAGATGGAAGGACAAACCAGGATGCAGGGCTAAGGAGGAGTTTAGGAAATACAGAGGAATATGGGCAAACACATGGGAAAGTTGATTTGAATCATTGATGAAAATTGGTTTCTTCTCTTGCTGATTTGAAAATGTACTTGGTTTAAATCAAGCTACCCTACTCAGGAGCAGCAACAAAAACCTGCATGGAATTAATAGCTCCTGGTTCCGCAGCGTTATACCCTTATCCCTCTTCCGATCAAAGTAAAAGTTTCCTACATTGTCTGCAGCAGATTATTATATCATTTCAAAGATTGCTCTAATTCGAGACAATATCATAATGTTGTCTGTGATTGCAAAAGATTATACCTAGAAGAAGAATCTGTCATTTCTCAGCGTATCTGCTCTCATAAGCGGATAATGAGGAGGAAAACCAGTCTCTCTAACAAAAAAGAAAAGAAAAACCAGGAAAGATAACAGTCATTTCAATTCTGAGGTACTCCGCTTCTTAAGACATTTTATTTTTTTTGTAGCTGAGAACATGTATTTGATGCAGCACAAAACAGGTACAGCAATCACTGAAAACTTGAAACATATCACTGACTAATCCAGCAGGCTGATCTACAAGCCATATGTGCGCTGAGATTTCTGAGTGGCTCCTGCCCTGAAATAGTTTCCCAGGACAAGCTGGACTCGGTATCATAGGGAAGTCATTTATCCAGCGATGCTTTGCGGGGAGAAGAGGAGCAATTTCTTCTGCTAGAAGAAATAAAGGGGGAAATATGAGGAGAAGGAAATGCATTCAGGCCCCTTGCAATTACCTAACTTGATTCTTTAATAATAATAAAATGCATTACATCACAGACTTCTGACAAGCTCCTTCTCCTGTAGGACAGTTTTGTGAATTCAAATCTCCAGGGCCTGATGAGCTGCACCCAAGAGTATTAAAGGAGCTTTCAGGTGTAATCACAGAGCCTCCCTATAATCTATAATCTTTTAGAATTATTGGAGAACAAGTGAGGGCCTTTCAGACTGGAGGCAGGCAAAGTTCCCCATGATATTCTTGTGGAGAAGCTAGTAAAAGGTGGGATAGACAAGGGAACTGTCAGGTGGATTTGTAGCTGGTGGACTGACTGAACCCAAAGGGTGTTCACTAATAATTCCTTGCTATTCTGTAAAAAAATGACAAATGGGGCGCCACAGGGTTCTGTCCTGGGCCCATTGTTGTTGACATATTATAAATGACTTGGATGAAAGAATTGAGGGTTGTTCATCAAATATGCAGATGACATAAAACTGGGAGGGTAACTACTGGCGCAGAAGACAGAATCGGGATTCAAGATGACCTTAACAGATTGGAGAACAGGGCCAAAACTAACAAAATGAATCTCAGTAGGGACAAAATATATAAGAAATAGATCTACACTAAATTATAGAATAGCAGTGAATAGAGCTACATATATGCAGAGCTACATACATGCAAGAATGAATTTCAATGAGGAAAGTGTAAGATTCTACACTTAGGTAGGAGTAACCAGCTGCACAAATATAAGATGAGGGACACCTGGCTTACCAGTAGTACATGTAGAAAGGATCTAGGGGTTTTAGTAGACCACAAGCTTAACATGAGTCAACAGTGTGATGCAGCAGTGGGGGGGGGGGGGGACTAATTCCATTCTAGTCTGCCTCAACAGAAGTATAGTGTCCAGATCAAGGGAAGTAATAGTACTCCTCTATTCTGCCTTGGTCAGACCACACCTGGAGTATTGTGTCTAGTTCTGGGTGCCACAATTTAAGAAGGATAATGGCAAGCTGAAACACGTACAGAGGAGGGCAGCCAAGATTATTGAAGGTCTTGGAAACCAAGCCTTAGGAGAAATGGTTGAGGGAATTTGGTGTGTTTAGCCTGGAAAAGAGGAGACCGAGAGGCAATACGATAGCCATTTTCAAATATCTTAAGGGCTGCCACATGGATGATGGAGCAAGCTTGTTTTCTCCTGCTCCGGAGGATAGGACCCGAATCAGTGGCTTCAAGATACAAGAAAGGCGGTTCCAATTAGATATCAGGAAGAACTTTCTGATGGTAGGAGCTGTTCAACAGTGAACAGATTCTCTCAGAAGGTGGTAGACTCTCCTTCCTTGCAGGTTTTTAAGCAGAGGTTGGATGGCCATCTGTCATGGATGCTTTAGTTGAGATTCCTGAATTGCAGGGGGTTGACTAGACAATGTTCAAGGTCCTTTCTAACTCTACAATTCTATGATGCAATTATTTCTCTGTAAGAATTTTTGGAATCCCCAAAGGGAAATACGGGAATAATGCATGTAACCTAAAATCTGCAAAGCAAAGAAGTCATGGGAATGTAATCCACTTTGTGTGGTTTTGCACCATTTCCCTTCTGCACATGAAGCTGTCCATAGATCACTGTGCACTAAACTTTGCTGAATATGTGTCCTTGCCCCACTTTTCTGAGATGTCATGAACAGTTGGCAAGAGCAGTGTGAGGGTGGCTGGAGGCTGTCCTCAGACCAATAATCAAGTGTCACATACGACATTTATTAATACTTTTAAGTTGCATCATTTTACCTGTCTGTATGGCCAGAGCAACCTTTTTCAATCCATCCTGGCTGGGACTGATGGCAGCTACATCTGGAGGGCTCCAGGTGGGTGGACTAGAGCCTCAGGAGTAGGTAGAAAAATCTGTCATATAGATGGCTTGCAGGGGTGGAAAGAAAGACATCTGGTTTTGGCATTCCTTCTTTAATCAAGTATGCAAGGAAGGTTAAACAAGGTCTTGGCCCTGTAGGTCTTGTTCAGATAAAAAAGTCTTGAGAATCAAGAGATGTAAATTTCACAAGGGGGGAAAAACCCTAACCACACAGAGAGAGAAAGGAATATAATTGCTCTTCACGCTCTGCACAGAAGAAACACTTTCTGTAGCACCTCGGCTGCTTCACTGCACTATCATCTCCCCCCGCACACACACCAACTTGTTTTACATTGTGCGATAATTCACATTTTCCAAGCCACCTTTCCAATTCTGGTTCCCATTTCTTTTTAGAAACTGACAGGTTTTAAAAATATGTTATGCTAGTTCCTGTTAAGTTGGAATTAAGTAATTTGTGCCTGGAGACAGGCGACAGCTTTCTCAAAGGGTTGAAGGTGGCATAAGCAAAGCATCAGGTCTCTCTGGTGCACACACCCAACGGAGCTGACAATAGGATTTATTGTATGGTTCAAGGAATCCAGCTGGTGCCCTCCAGCTGTTTTGGAATAGAGCTCCCATTATCCCCAGCCAGCACAATCAGAAGGTGGCCAAAGATGGTCCTTCAAAACTTTTGAAGGAAAAAAACCCCAATATAGATGGTATATTACACCGGTAAAAATGGCCAAAATGTATAGAACAGAATTGAAGATCTGTTGGAGATCTAAAGAAAAGGCTCTGGCAATGGCGGAGCTCCTCAGTTCGGGAGGAACTTGCTCCGTGAAAAACAGGGTCTGACCGCCACGGCGAAGGTGGAGACCCATTGAAATCACAAGCGGGAGAAGCTTGTGAACCTGGGATTCGGCTGGCACCTTTTGCGCCTCCCCTACTCACGGGGAAACCCTGTTTTGGGGATCCGGAGCGATGTGGGGTGAGTGGCGCGGTGCTTTGAATCGACTGCTTTTTTCACGGAGTGAAGCCGCATTGCTGTTGCCGGAGAGCACTGACCTTTTCCTGTGGACAATTGGATTTTAAACAACTACTCATGAGTAAATCGGAAAATTTGATTTTTAAATACTTTAATTTGGCACTGAAGCGGGAGGTCATAAACAGGAAGTCCGCCTTCCGTTTTTGTAAACAGACTGAAGCAAAGACATTACAAGTTAAAGTCTTTGAAAGCTTTTGGCAAAGGATTAAATTCCCATCGGTTTAAAATACAAAACCCCCCTTGGAAGCAGGAGAAGAGGGGGAAATTTTGGATCTAGTGAGCCTGCAGGAGAGAGTGAAAATCAAATTACCACTGCTCTGAACCTGGGAACAGGCTGCCAGATGACGTTTGGAGAGAGTGCATTTGACAGAACGGATTTGACAGCTAGCTAAATAAGAGTAAGATACTGTTTCCATTGTCGTCCTCTGCGTTTAAAAAAGAGGAAAAGTAACTGAAAATTTATCTTTAATGCTTGAGTTGTGCCTGAAAGAACTGATACAAGTGGAGACTGTTTCCTCTAGAGGGAGCTTTTGAAACTGTTACAGGAGTGTAACTGGGGGATTTCCAGCTGCAGATAAGGATTCTGAGAACCAGAGAGTGACCTTGGACCATTTAAAAATGTTGACAGGAGAGGCCATTGTGACTGTTTTATGTAAGATAAGTTGTTCGCTGGGACAGCTTCACAAGAAGATGGATGACATGACTTTTAAAGTTGATAATTTGGAACAGAAAGTGACTAATTTGAGTGAACACCAACACAGAAATAATTCAGGACTTGGTACAGGAATCCATTTTGGCAGGACAAATGGTGGAGGAGAAGGAGGAGAAGGAGAATGCTGCTGTTGTTGAACATAAAGTAATACAAGTGAGATCCGTGGCTTTACAGAAGCAAATTGAGGACTATAAGTTGAGGCCTTTTATGATTGAATCTAGGAAAAGTCAGACTCTGAGGAATGGATCCTGGCTTGGACTAAAGAAAGAAAGTTGGAAAGATCCCTCTATGCAGGGATTAACTGACTTTTGGGACATGGACTTGGGCCTGGAGGAGATTGACGTTTTGGGGGCCTTTGGACTTGGAGGAATCTTGAAATATGCCCTGAAATACTTTATGGACTGTAGCTTTAACTATGGAAATTTGGCTGATCTGTTCAGAAGGAAGAAAAGGATTGACAGGTTGGAGCTTCCCCGAGATTTGCTCTTTAGCATTAAAGGAAATGAAGAAGACCTGCAGAAGGGACTTGGAAAAGAGTTAAGAGCCTCGGACATAAGATCACCAGGTTGATGGACTTTATGGAGTTGACGGAAAGGACTGGCAGAATCCGAAACCAGGGAGAGGAGATGGTGGAAGAAGATTGGAAATTTAAAGTTTATATATAGACTTATGGTAAAACTAAGGAGTGATAGAAAAATGGTGGAATGATTTTTTTATGGGCTTAGCAGAAATGTTATAAGGAGTTAAGCATATATAAGTATTTTAGTTTTAATGGAAAATAAGGTTAAAAAATACGTTATTTACAATATGATAGAAAATGGAGAAAGATGGAAAGGATTTGCTGAAACAATAGAAGTGGAATACAAAAAGGGAGGTGAGAGGAGGTCGAGGAAACAAGGGAATGAAAGATAGAGTATGGAGAAGAGATGATGTATGTTTTTAAATTGTTTTTGTTTTGTTTCATTTAGGGTTAAGGTTAGGGAGTGGGGTTTGTTTAGTTTAGTTTAGTGTGTTTAGTTTTGAGTTTAGGTTGTGTTTTGCATTGTTTATATATTGTATTGTTTTTTTCTTTTTGCTTTCCTCCTTTCTCTTTTTTTCTGTTTTTTTTTCTTTTTGTAATCTATAAAAGTAATAAATATTATTTAAAAGAAAAGAAAAGGAAGGTACCTTTTACCATATGTGGTGGGAATGTAGACATATAAAAAAATTCTGGGAAATGATATACAATGAATTGAAAAAAATGTTTAAAATAACATTTGTAAAAAAGCCAGAAGCCTTTTTGATAGGTATTTTAGATCAAGAATTACCAAAATTAGAAGACTAGAGAAATACCAATGAAAGAACAATGGCAAGAAAAATTGATGAACTATGCAGAGTTAGTGAAGTTAACAAATTACATGAAAAAGATAACAGTGACTTCAAAAAGGAATGGGAGCTATTTACAGTCTACTTGCAGAAACAACAAAAATAAATGGACTCATTGGCAGGATTTGAATAAACTTTCACAATTTTATTGAGTTTAAACATAGAGGACGATATTGCAACAACACCTAATAGTATATATACATGCAGAATATAACAAACAATGTAACAAACCAGAAGGGGAAGTTGAGGGAAGTCGGGTGGGGAGGGAGAAGATTGTAAATGTAATGGTAAGGTAGGATTGGATATTGGTATGTGATATATGGAATTTGCAATTATAAAACCGCAATAAAAATTCATTTTTTAAAAAAACAAAAAACCCAAAACCTATCTGATAAGAATTGTGTGTATGTACCACTATTCTATCCAACCATTATACCTTTGTCATTTAGCTGTTTTGGGCATGAATCAGGCAGTTTTCGCAAGCTGGAAAAAAGGTGTTTTATGCCCCCCCCCCCCCTTGTCACATTCCTAACTTCGTGTGGAATGCTGATGGCAAGTGAAAACCTGGGAATGCAAAAGCCTGATTTGTGTGATTTTTCTTCTGAGATGGGAATCATTGTTTGAATTGGGTAGCTTCAAGTGTAGGTGACTACATGGAGTAGGAAGAGAAAGGAGGAAAATTTCAGGTGGACCCCGAAGTATGCTTTATTGAACCCAAAGCTGTTCAAATATAAATTGTTCTTCAGGAGCGCAACCAAATCCCTTGGTCTTGAAATTCTTTTGCAAAATACATGGTGTGCCCATGTCTTATACTAGCTATATGCATGACTGAGGGAAGAAATGTATATTCTGTGCTGGAAGATTAGAGGTCTTGACGCTGGCCAGTCATTTTGACTTGACACTTTTAAACCCCCTTAGAGAGAGGCTTAGCAGTAGTAGGCTGCAGGGCTCTAAACCTAAGGAGCTAGAGTCAGTCATGGCTTCCCTGTAAAAATAAAACAAAAAAAAACATGGAAAATGCAGCTTGTTAAGGGTACTGAAAGTACTGTTATATCATTTTATGGTGTGCTACCTGCACAGATTGGTTGTGTGCCATCCAGCCTTCGCACCAATTAGTGACCTGGGTCTGGATTCTGGACTCAGTCTGGAGGAACATTTGAATTAAATGAATTGAATTAGGTGCATTAAAAATGGCATCTGGAGCCAACCATCTAGGCTGGATGGTAGGAAGAAAAGAGAATCTAATTTAGTGGTTCAACACACACACACAAAAACATTTTTATTTTAGATTTTATTGGGGGGTAGTACTGCTGCAGTTTTGTGTAAGCACAATAAAAATCTCTTTTTAAGAGAAGGTTGTTCTTTTTTTCTAAAGTACATATTCATAAAAAATAATGTTATGAAATTCTCCAACTGAAGTGGCATTTGGGGCATAATAGAACCATGGAATAATAAAGGTGTGCAATTGGAAGATTCTGCCCATCCTTAATGGCACACGTTGGGACTATATTCCTAGTCTGGGCTTCACGCAGTAACATTTGCAACCTGCAAACTTGTGGTAGAGCATCACATGGAATGTCCCCACCCAAGTCCAACAGGTGGTTGCTGGAGTCAGACATGTTCATCCTTATTCTCTCCAGGTCAGCACCAATGTCATTTCTGTTCAGTGTTTCTGCCATCACAGCCGCATCGCCACTTTTGCAGTCTCCTCTACACTTCTGATAGCATCCTCCAAATCACTTTGAGTTGAGAAACAGTAGTTTCCATCTTCTTCTTTTGTGTGACCTCAAGAAGCTACCCTCCTGTTTTATCTTTGTTCCACAGCTGCTCATGTTTGGCCTGCTTGAGATTAGCTTTACGCTCAGCCGTAGGGCTGCCAGATTTCAAAAAGAAGCCAGGACACCCTGAAAGTTATTGAGCTTTTTTTATATACACACACCCGGAATGTTGTTGGTTCCTCCCACTTTTGCTTCTGCAGCCCCCTGTGTCATCTCAGAGGGTTGGTGGACCTTTTGAAACAGTGTGGAAGGTGAGGCAGGAGACTCAAGAGGAAAGGGAGATATTCTAAAATTCAACACATCCCTTCCATTCACAGAAGGCTTCACTGGAACAAAAAGCCTTCTTTGAGTGGAGGAAAACTATTGGGTAAAACTCTTTATTTATTTAAACCTTTTAAAACCGCACCTCATTGCAATTGCCCTCATAAAGCAGTGTGCAAATTAATTGCACAATAAGCATAACTCTTGGCACTGAAATATTTTTCCCAGTTAACTGCAATGTTTCTGTTACATTCACAACATTCTAGTTTTAAGAGAATCTGCAAGTACAGCAGCCAACGCTTGAAATCTTGGTTCTCTGGAATCTTTCCCTAGAATGAGATTATATAAACTTTGTCCTTTTTATATTGGCCAAGCCTTGGAATTGCCTCCAAGAAATTTTATACATGCTAGTTTACTGTCAAAATGCACAGTATCCCTGATAGAGTGTTTTTTGGGTGGGTGGGTGGGAGTAGACCTTCATCTCACTTTTGTTTAGTTTTTTAAACAAGTCAGAGAATATCCCCATCTGTTTCTTTGCAGATGAAACTATAGTGTCTTTCATTAGCCTTGAGAATTCATCTCTCAAAAAATCCCAGTGTTGTTGATGCTGGTTAAATTCATGGAGTCTAATGAGAATTTATTCGTCCCCCTGAATTGCACATACTGTTCTTGTTTGCAATGCCTCAGGCTATTTTTAGCCTTAAATCTGCAAGATATCAGAACCATAGGTCACCCTCTATTGAACAGGGTTTGATCCCTTTCCACCCCAACCCTGAATTTTTTAGGATTTCATGTCTCTGGTGTATGCAGCCTGTGCTCTTCTAGTTTTCTTTTCTTTTTTTTAATATAGTTTTTCTTCCTCTTCTTTTGGAAGCTGTCTCTCTTGAGAGCATAACTGGGTTATACTGGAGACATATAATTTAATGTTAAATTAAATTACATCAGATTCAGTGATGCCTGCAACACCAGTTAGATTCCCCAGACGATTCTGGGAAATGATTCCCCAAATTTCATGGGAAAAGAAGAGAACTAGAACGTCACATTTGCCTCATGCGCATTAGCTCAAAATAGTAAAGAGAGGGAGAAAAAGCAATATTTTGCAGGGTCATGTAAAGCATCTGCTTAAAGTATTGCAGGCTCTTTCAAGCACCGATGCCATGGATTACATATTCAAGTTAAAATCTAGTGTACTTGCTTGTGACCAATAACCACCTTGATTTTTCATATTTTCCCTCTCTTTACATTTTATCTTTAATAGGTGGCCAGTTTCTTAAAATCTGCTTCTTGCTCTGACTCCACATTGTGTGCATTCGGTATGAATCAAAACCACGTTGCAGAGGCGTGCATGTGAATAGTGTTACCTTGTGAGCAGGTCTCATCTTGCAGGCCTTTCCCGTTGTCAAAATGCTGTCAGCAACTCCCAGCCCAGGAAAGTATAAAGATAAGGGCAGATTTCTTACCGTCCTTTTTTTATTCAGTATTCACAGAGAGAGGCTATAGAATCCGGCCTGTTGGATAATGGCGTTGTCCTGAGTGAATCTCCAGCCCCATTCTCTCCCACTTCCTCATTCGTCATCTCTATGGGTGCTGCTACGTGCCCTCTGTCTTGGAGCTCTTTGTTCTCCTACTTTCAAGGCTCTCCGGGTTCTGGGAGAGGGGAGTCTGGAATGCTTTCCAATGACGTGTCTGCCAGGTGTTGCTCTGGCTCTCCCATGATTTCCCAACTTTCCCCCTCATCTGCCTCTGAGCTGTGACCTCCCTCAGACCCCTGTTGTAAATCTATACCGTCTTCCTCTTCCTCCTCCCTGGAAGGGTCAGGCTGAGGAGATGATCTCCACCATTCCTCCTCTGCCCAGTTCCTGACACCCATTGAGACACCCTTTGGCAGGTCATGAAATCCATTGGAAAGTCTTATATAAATTAGCTGGCTCACATATTCTCACTGTTCCATAGAATACCATAGAATCGTATCAAGTTGGAAGGGACCCTGAGGATCATCTAATCTAACCCCCTGCAATGCAGGAAAATGCATCTGTCCTTTACGGGGATCAAACCTGCAACCTTGACATTGTCGGCACCATGCTCTCACCAGCTGAGCTATGCAGCTTCACCCACATTTGCAAAGACGTCTTGTGAAAGCCTGGCTGTCGCAGGAGCACATAATTAATCAGAAAACGTCTTTCTGTGTCTTCCCTTCCTCACAATGAACTTCTTTTAGAGAATGGAGCACACAGAATGCTAATTACATTTTATTTAAACAAGCCATAGCTTTTCTTATCCAAAGTTAGTTTTGTTTTACCGCTGCTCCTCTCATGCTTTTGTTGTTTGATGAGCAGTGTGATCAAACAAACTATGGTTAGCCAATGGTTCAGAATTTACATGCAACAAACAGCAAGCCAAAGTTAAAACTAGCATGGTTCATAAGACAACAACAAACCATGGCTTCAGATTGTGTGTTGCCGGCAGTAAAGAAATCAAGACCAGGGTTTATATATCTCACTAAGCCATGGTTTCTCCTGCCAATCTAGCAGTTCAAAAGCATGTCAAAGTGCAAGTAGATAAATAGGTACCGCTCTGGCGGGAAGGTAAACGGTGTTTCCGTGTGCTGTTCTGGTTTGCCAGAAGCAGCTTATGTACGCCGGCTCCCTCGGCCAATAAAGCAAGATGAGCACCGCAACCCCAGAGTCGGTCACGACTGAACCTAATGGTCAGGGGTCCCTTTACCTTTACCTTAAGCCATGGTTTAATAAACAACTGTTTAGCCTTATTCACAAGCGAGACCTCTTATCGTTTCCACAGAGATACTGCTGAAAATAGCTTATGTGGGTGAATTGTACTCATTCCACTTTTAATATGGAGGGCTACTTGCCACATGGATTCTCTGTCCCTCCCAGCAGCTGCTCACTATGAGGAGCAGGAGTTAGTTTTTCTGTTTTTCTTGGAACTTGAAGGAGAGTCCTCGTTCCTTTGAAAGAATGGAAGGACAGTCTAAAATAACCCAAAGGGAGGGCTTTGTAATTTGAAATACCTCCATCTTCTAAGAAAAAAAAAATACTTTCTTGAAGCATCTTTGTATATATTTCTTGTTTTTCATCATTGGGCTGGTGCAACTGTCTTGTTTTTGTGTAGGAAAAATGACCACTTGCATTTGTATTGCTACAGTATTTGAAATCTTCGTAAGAAATTCCCTCCTAGACAAATGGCAGGCATAACTTGTCACCATCATGAGTGCTTAATCATCCAAGGCCCTTTTATCAGAGAGAAAATGAATCAATCTGGAAAAGAGCTGGATGTTAGGTATTGACAGCTTAATTAAAATTATAACAGAGAAAGATACCAAAATGGTTGTTAGAATTTCCCTTTGCCAGTCTATTACATATGGTTTCCTAACCACACTTTGCATTCAGAAGCATTAGTAGAATCCAGACTTTCATAATAATCTTAGAGCCTGTTTTTTGTCTGAAAGAACCAAAGTCTCAAAACTTTATGCTGATTTCCCTAAGGTGCTCAAATTGCTGGCTCCTCTAGAGGTAACTAATAGCAGTCCTAGGCATGTCTACCCAGAAGTAAGTCCAAATAAAATCAATGATATTTACACCCAGCTAAGTATGAATGTTGTATTTAACAGTGAACTACTAATGAGGTTTTTGTGATAGTTCTCACAACACTGTAGTCAACAGGTACTTACAAAGTGGCACATTGCTAGATAGCTAGTAAGTGTATGCTTCAACAGTTGAAAAGAATTGAGATTTTATATCAGGTTGAAAAGGAAAGGGATGGCAACCCACCTCATTTCAAGATTATGCATTTTAACTGTGTGTAGAAGCTGTGTTGCTATCACAGGTATGACACGGTGAATACTTCCTTGCTGTTTATCAAACGACTGCACAAATCTGAAAAATAAAAAGTTTCCATTGGTGTATTGGAAATTGTCCATTGGGCAGGATGATCTGCTACACAAAAATGGATGTAACAAACATTTTACAAGAAATTTCATTGTACATACAGACACATTCACTTGATATTAAGATGACTGTTTTTAATGCCTTCAGCAATAAATAATTGTACTTTGGGGATATAAGTGTAAGCCTATCATAAACCCATTGGTTAAGACTGGTACATTTCAGTTTTCTTTTCTAGCTTTTCATTTGATATGTAACAAAGATGAAAAACTGTTAATGGTGGAGATAGTCCAGATACTGCTGGCAAAAGATACCGAAATGTAGAAATACGAAACTACATCTGTTAGGGTGTTGTGGAAATAGATATGGCATCACAATTCACACAATCAGTTCTCACCTGGGACTCAGCTTCATTGGCAAAGAAAAGGTGTTTTATATGTGTTGTTTGTGACACCAGATGGCGCTTTGGAGTTCCATTTGAGCCAACCCGATTTCTCATACAAAGTTTAAAACACGTTTAACTGAAATGCTTCTTTGATGTGTCTGGATCCAGCCCTGCTTGAAGCACCTGAAGTGTGTTTTGTGATGCACTTGTTTGTACGCTCTGCCTTTTTTTCCTAAGCTGCAATGTTGGGCTCATAAACTTTCCTTATTATTATTTCTGATGTGAAAACAACATTTACATGGAAGTAAGTTTGGGCCGTGCCAGATTTTTTGGAGGTTTGTTTTTCAGTGCAAACATTGATAAGGCATCAGTAATGTGGGAAATTTCCCACCTGAATTGATTTCCCACCAAATCATTTGTAGTCCTTAGTGTGGAGTAATGGGGGAAAATAAGATACTTTGCTGGTTTCAACTAATTCAGTGTGCTAGTGGAAGCCAGAACAAGCACTCCCACATCCACAGGGGTTTCTCTCCCCCCCCCCATCCGCAAATCCACAATGGAAGGGTGGGAGAACCCCAAAAACAGCACTGGGGGGGGGGAGAGATCATTCTGACTGGCAAATAAAAAGGCTTGTGCTGACAGAATGATTATATCAGTGGTACGTTGGTACTGATTATATCAGTGGTACTGCCTTTTCGAAAACATGAAAAGGTTTGGAAAAAAATGTGAAGACCATTCATCCCAGCTTCAAGTAAATGCTGTTGCTTCACTGGAACCGAGGTCAGGTTCTTAAAATACTCATACGGATAGAAATAAAGGTAAAGGATCCCTGACAGTTAAGTCCAGTCACGAACGGCTCTGGGGTTGCGGCGCTCATCTCACTTTACTGGCCAAGGGAGCCGACGTTTGTCCGCAAACAGTTTTTCCGGGTCATGTGGCCAGCATGACTAAGCCGCTTCTGGCGAAACCAGAGCAGCACATGGAAACGCCGTTTACCTTCCCGCCAGAGCGGTACCTATTTATCTACTTGCACTTTGACGTGCTTTCGAACTGCTAGATTGGCAGGAGCAGGGACCGAGCAACGGGAGCTCAGCCCGTCGCGGGGATTCGAACCACTGACCTTCCGATTGGCAAGCCCTAGGCTCAGTGGTTTAGACCACAGCACCACTCACATCCCAATACTCGTGTGGATACCCAGGGACAAAGCACACATGTACAGCTGCTGTGTCTTCATGTGCATATGTTTTAATGAGAAGGACTGGGATGATAGAAGTGGGTGGTTCATATTTGAGGTGTCGCCTGTCATTTTGTATTTAGACAGTCACACTGAGGCACAGAGCAACTGTCCCTTTTTAAGGGTACTTGGATTATACTTCAAACGTTTTTACTAACATAACTTAAAAGCTACTTTTATGTGCATTTTCTTAGGGAAAGTATTGCTGGATTCAGAACCACCTGACCTAGTAGATCTGGAAGCCAGAGGCTTTGAATATAGTGTTGCCTGAAGCCTCCTGCTTTAAGGATACACCTTGTTGTAAAAGAAGTTCCTTTAAATATGAGCGTGGTCTCATCCCTGAAACTTGTTTTTAATATTGAGAGTTGGTCTTTGTAAAATAGGGAAGGCAAGAGAGTCTCTGAGCTGGACCAGATTAAAGGGAATGGCTTTCTAGCCAGAGGGGATGGCTTTAAGGCAGTCCATTAGTTGCGGTAATTAACAGCTGCAGTTTATCCCAGAAAATCACCAGTCCTTAGATCACATCTAAAATTGGCATCTTTGTTGCATTTTTTTCCTCCTTCAGCAGGGCTCCTGTGCTTTATTAACAGCTGCATAAAGGATAAAAACTCAGTAGGTGAAGGTTTTCCATTCTACATTTCCATTCTGACAAAAAAAACATTGTCCTGTTTAATGTCTGTTTACCACAAAAGGCATAGAGAAGCTGCTAAGCGGAGAATATGTGTCTTAAGAATGAGTATTCTTTATCATAGGCACCTTAAAATTTTCTTTATTTATTAAATTTGGATCCAGGAAATCTGCCATTACATACACTGTACGGTGTAACAGAAATGCTGTCTCATTCAGCCAATGGCCACATTTGAACATCAAACTGAGCCATCGTTTAGGGTGTTGTGAATGAATGTGGCCTCCCCTTGGGCTCGCACCCACACCCACAACTTCCTTGTCTTCTTACACATCCAAGAGAAAAGGAGGAGTTCAGAAGCTTTCACTTTCAGTTCACAATGTCATCACAACTGAGGACTATGATTAAAATTAACCGTGGTTAATTTTAACAAGCCAGCTGCTGAAACCACAGTTTAAGTTGGGCTGTTGTTGTTAATTAAGCAGATGGAGACTTGGCATGTTCGTATCGTGTTAGGCCATTGTTTTAACATGATGCCTGAACACAGTCAGTACTTTTGGACCTACACAAACCTCTTTAATAGCAGTTGGATGATCTTTAACTACTCCCATCATTTTCATCATTACAAGAAATCTGATTTTGTTGTTGCACAAGAGGGTTTTGCACTTAGCAGAAACATAGGCCATTGCAGTCGTTCATGAAATGAACCCTTTGAGAGTTTGAGCAAAGTTTTATATTAAATGTCATCAACAGTATTGCTAGGTGAATGTTTCTTTACACTGAGTATTTCTAGATTACAGGTATAATCTCTTTCACTATTTTGATTCATTATATATTTAAGCACAGACATTTCCTTACAGAATTCAGAACCTGCAACGGCTAAGGCAGTGTCTACTTCATTTCCCACTAGACAAATATTTGATCAGAGTAGAGTCACCGTGACAATTAATTGATGGCCATTCCAAATTCATTATTAGGCAAATGAAGCTGTTCCTTTCGCACAATGATTTATTTATTTTTTGCTCATGCTCCCTATGCACCCTTCTCCAAACCCACTCTGGAAGGTTGAGGGGAAAGGTCAGAACAGATTGGGGGGGGCAGTTAGAGGAGATGGAGGCAGTGTAGCATTGCACTGCCAGAAATCCTGCATAACAGAACTTCTTTGTTGGGTACTTCCCAAAGTGTTTAGCTTTGCTTGCTAAATTAGATCACTCTCTAGGGCACTTATAAGAAAATCAAGGCAAACTACCTCATCCAAATTGCCCTATTTTTCTCAATCCATTCCCCCCCCCTTTAAAATCCATATAATTGTGCAGTGTGTCTTCATACTAGAGCTGGTACCCTCAACGGCATGACACTGTATTTTTCTGGTGCCTTATTTATTTTATTGCCATCCTTTTTTGTAAAATGCTTTGAGGCTTTTTCTACAATTAAGGGGTATTTCAATTTCATTAAAATAAGTGATGAGGAACCAGGATGTAGAAGCTGGTATGTTTCAGTAGTAATAAGCTAAGAGTAGGCTTACGTTTCTGCGCTCTGCCTCTCATCTAGTTAACCTGGTTAGTCCAATAAAAGGCAACTCTGTTTCTGTTCAGATTTCAATTTTCTACTACCTGTTAATGCTTCAGACTGTTGATTACATTTTAGTATCATTCTGGTAGGCTTCTCAAATATATCCACAACCTTTAGCCTAGTAACCCAAACCATCCGCTGAGTATTATTGCTAATGTAATAGTCTCTTTAATTCTAAATGCTCTGTTTCAGAATACTGAAATGTTTTCTCTATAGGCCATTGAAGCCTATTACAGAAAAGTAAACGAAGTCCTGAATGAAATTGTGTGACTGTGATTAAGAGCGTGTTATTTTAAGGCGAGCGCAGCCGATAAAATGAATGTGACATTTTATTATGTGTATAGTGTCACGAAAGCTTTGTCGCGGAGAGCTTTGTATAGGCTTTTGTTTTAGCGCTAATGCTTTTCCCCTTTTCCACACAGATTAAGTACCTGAAGTACAAGTAGGAAACCATTTTCTTATGAGCAGCCCCAGTGGAGGCTGGTCCATTTGGTGTGAATGGGGCAATGGGACGCACCAACCCAAAGGGCTTTTAGGGAATCCAGCTTAGCCTGAGGAAGGTGCGAGGATTGCTGGCGCGTATCTCAGTCTTCCCTCAACCCCTTATTTCCAAACAGAGCAGAGGTTGGCACTGCTTGCCAGCTTCCTTCTCCTGGGCCTCAGCATTGCCCTTGTAGAACCGAGTGGGGAGGAGGGGAGGGTGGAAAACAAAACTAGAACTGGCTCTCTTTGTCTGTCAGTGGCTCTGGATCCACCTGGATCCCTACCAGTCACCAATGGGACCCAGCCAGCACTGCCATTTATTTTACATACGAGTAAATGGCCTCAAAATGACTGTCTTAGTTAAGGATGGTAGCCTACCAACATGGTGCCTGGTGGCATTCAACATTATGTTGCAGTCACATGTTCAGGGATCCCAGAGATTTGCAAAGCGGCAATGCAACATGTGATCACAACACCTTTAAAAACAATCACATTTCAATCTGTCTTGCATTCATCTAAATAGAGTAACGACTGGGGTATTTCTGAAGAGAGTTCTGCACTTACAAACACCTTATGAGCCCTTCAAAGCCGTTCCTTTACTAAATTTGGATTTTTTTTCTTTTTTAAGTCATAAAAGCCTACCTTATGTAAGCCTAATAATGCTTACAAAAGTTTCTCGTACAGCTTGGTAAGATCTCTCTTAGCACTTGCTTCTGCCGCCTCTCTCGCCATCAGTACTGCCTAAGCTTTGAACTTTCAATATGATCTGATTAGAAGTAGACTCTCATAGACAGTGCAGGAAATGAGTAGGCTGGCTTGTTGACTGCAGCTGGTAACACAAGAGAGGCTCTTGCTAAGGAAAGGTGAATGACAGTCAAGAGCCAAACTTACTTCCAATGTTTCATTCAGGTATAGCAACATCACTATGTCAGCATAGCATCTCCTTCCCCTCCCTTTGCCAGTCCATTAGATGGGATTTAGTCAAGACTGACTGTTCTGTCTCTCCCCCCCCCCATTCCTGAGAATTATGAGATAATTTTGTTCCTGTGTCCATTCATTTTTTAATTAAGTTGTTAAGAGACACAGGGTTTTGGGTGGCCATGTGAACTCATATATGAACTCATGCTACAGCAGAGGCCTGTGCACTTGTCCGTCTCCTTTTTCAGTGTGGATAATTGCGACGTGCTGAGTGGAAGAATCTTTAATTTATTAAGATTTCACAATTCATATGCCATCTAGGACACAGGGGAGACTTAAATTTTCTCCCTGGTGCTGGTGATGAAAGTAGAAGGTGCTGCCAAAAGAGCTGCACCAGTGTAAGATTTCAACGACCAGATACTCTTGTTGTTTGTTTATAGCACCCAGTGAAGTCATCCTGCTCCCATAAGAACGTCCACTTAAACAGCAGAATTCCTGCAGCCCTGCAGGCTCACCAAATCTGTTCTGAGGATTGCCTCAGGTTTCCAGAGTGGATTTGCAGAGAAACATGGGAGACATACCTCTTGAATTGTCTGCATATAAATCCATAACTCATGTCATAATGGAGATGAGACCCAAAAGATGTGAATTCTTGGTTGGTGAAAGTCCTACACTCAAAGACCTTTGAGCATCGTCTTACAGTCAGGAGCAATGAAGGCAGAGGGAAGCAGATCCTCCGCACCCCTTCTTGCTTCCATGCTTCTTCCTATGCACTCTTTCGCGCATGCTAACACACAGAATACAGAGCCCCTCAGAGTGTGCTGCTGGTGACTCTCCCTTCTTTTTGCTCCTTCAGCTTCTGTATGGATTGGGAATTGGAATTAGGGCAGGGAAGTCTCTGTTATCCTCAGGGCACTTGCACCCCAAGGGCTTATTTTAGTTCAGCTATTCGTTGAAGGTTGGTTATACATAAAATCATGCTTAGGCTGGCTTGTGCCCAGCATGTACTGAAGCCTGAGAATCTAATTGGAAATGAGAAGGTGCAAAATAATAAAGATTGCATCTTTATTAATTTTTCCCCACCACAGTAAATTGCCATGATCCCTTTGGTCCACTATTTCCCAGCATTTTTTCCAAACAGCTCAGCATGTGGTAGAGGTACTTGTGCTACACAGTCGCTTTGGGCTATATGAAAAACACGCAGTGTGATTTATCAAATTTGCTGATGTTTGTCACATCATTCTTTTGTATTTCAGTTTTATTAAAGTTTGCCAGAAGCTGTAATAGATGCTAGCAGTGCAGGCCAAACAGTGGGTAATCCTCTAAGGATTCAATCCAAGCCTCTGTTTGATTTGTAAAGCTGGCTTTTGAGCATAGGTGCACCACATGTTCTCCAAACCGACAACATATTGCCTGTGGCAAAATTTGAATTGTACATCTGAAGCCGTACTGAGCCCCTGTGTTTATCACTGCCATGGTGTTTCAACGTCTTATATTTTTTAAGGCTCTGAGGCAGAGATTCAAACTGTGAGTTTGATTTCTCCTTTTAGCCCTTCTTTTGTGCTTTTCTGGTCATGGGTTTTATTTTCATTTTAGATAGCTTCAGCGATGAAGTGAGTTTTGTCTGGAACACTGTGCATTAAGTTGTCCAGGTTGCCCTAAGTTGCGCTAACAGAGGCAGACACCGTGACATTGGAATTCAGGCACACCAAACTAGTCAAGTTCACACTTACTAAGCAAGTGTTTCCACAGGACACTCTAGCAGAAGAACATAAGAAGAACCTGCTGAATCAGACCAATGGTCCATCTATTCCACCATCCTGTTCTCACAATAGTCCTCTTGATGCCTGTGGGAAACTTGCAAAGTGGACATAACTCAGCCCACCTGCCACTCCCAGTGACTGGTACTCAGGGGCATACTGCCTATTGCTAGGACTTTAAAATTATTAATTGGTCTAGAACTGCATAGGGGTGATAGCATACAAACAGCCAGCGACTCCCCAAACTTGTGGGTGAGTGGAATAGGGGACGCATCACCTGGACCACTAGCTGGTCCAGCTAGTGACAGACAAGTGTAGTATAGGGCATTTTATTATTTAGCAAGAAAATAAATAAATGATGAGCATCCTTCTCACCCAGAAAGAGTTTAAACACTTACAAGTAGAAGAAGACATTTGTCACCTCTGGAGGTGGGAATTCAACCTCACAGCAGGTAGCTGTGGGTTCTCCTCCTTGCTCTTGTCAACTTCTCTTGTCTTGTACAAATCATGACATTAAACTTCAATCTCTGATTGGTCAGGGACCTCTAAATGGGCATCGCCCCTTTCCTGGAGGGGTGTGTGTTAATAATTAATTCAATTTTTGCAACAACAAAAAACCCTGACTGTTCCTCGTTTTCTGTCCTACTGCCTTGTTGATTCATCTCTGATCTCCGGACATCTCTTGGTTTCCCCCTAAAAATAGGTACTTATTCTGAATAGTGTTCCCTGATATGCCGACTTTTCTTGCCTTCCAATTTCAGTTCTGCATTCTGTGTTCCCATCCTGTTATCCTTAACATCTGTACCCCAAATGTACTACATGATGATGATTGATTAAATTCATTAGTCACTTTTTTTTGCCACAGCAGTGCAAAGCGACTTAACAATATTTTAAGCAAAAAAACCAGCATTATATTTCCCCCTCTTGAAATCCTTTTCCTATGTATAAGATACTGTCAGCATATGTTTATATACTGAAACGTGTTTTTGCTGAAATGGTAAATCTAAAACTCCCAACACACTGTCAGTGGAGGTAGAGCAGAGCCATCACAGCTAGTAGCTGTTGAGAGCCAGGTCCTCCATAAATTTGTATAATCCTCTTAAAGCCAGCCATGTTGGTGGCCCTCGTTGCCTGCTGAGGGAGCAAGTTCCATAGTTGCTGCCTGGAGAAGAAGCTCTTTATCTGTCCTGACTCTTCTGACATTCAGCTTCATTGGATGTTCCTGAGTTCTAGTGTTATGAGAGCGGGGGGGGGAGAAAACTTTAATTTATCCACTTTAAGCACACCATACATAATTTTATACCCCTCTATCTTATCTCCTCTTATTCACCTTCTTTCCTAAACTGAAAATCCTCGAATATTGTAACCTTCTCTCCTTGGGGAGTTGTTCAAGCCCTTGGTTGCTCTTTTCTGAACCTTTTCCAACTCTACCATATCCTCTTTGAGGCAAGGCAACTGTACACCGTATTCCAAATGCAGAATTATAATATTGTCAGTTTTAGTTTCAGTTCCTTTCCTAATTACAGCTATTGCACACTGGGTCGGCATCTTCATTCAAGCAATCTGCTATTACCTTGAAGGTCTCATTCCTCGTCACTTACCGCCAGATCAGAGCCCCATGTGAAATTAAGATACAGTGAGACCTCGGGTTAAGTACTTAATTCATTCCGGAGGTCCGTTCTTAACCTGAAACTGTTCTTAGCCTGAAGCACCACTTTAGCTAATGGGGCCTCCCGCTGCCACCGCGCCGCCGGAGCACGATTTCTGTTCTCATCCTGAAGCAAAGATCTTAACCCGAGGTACTATTTCTGGGTTAGCGGAGTCTGTAACCTGAAGCATATGTAACCCGAGGTACCACTGTATTTTTTTTACCCCAACGTGCATCACCCTACCCTGTTTACATTGAACTGCACTTGCCATTTTACCACCAATTCATTCAGTTTTGGAGGGGTCCTTCTGGAGTTATTCAAACTCTCTTTTTGTTTTAATGACACTGAACAATTTTGTATCATCAGCAAACGGGGCCACTTCACTGCACACCCCTAAACCTACGATATATCATTTATGAACTAATTAAAAACACAGGTCCCAGTACCAATTTCTTGGGGAACTCCATGTTTGCATTTCTCTCCATCTGGAAAACTGATCACTTATTTCTCTCTGCTTACTTCTGCTTAACCCATTTCTGATCCACAAGACGAGCTTTCCTCTTATTCCATGACTGCTAAGCTTACTCAGGAGTCTTTAGTGAGGTACTTTGCTGAAAGCTGTTTGAAAGTCAAAGTATGTCATTTGGCTCAACTCAAGCTATATGCGTGTTGACACTGTCAAATACCTAATAGATTTGTGAAACAAGATTTGACCTTGCAGAAGCCATGCTAACTCTACTTCAGCAAGTCTTGTTCTTCTAATGCTTGTTTATTTTTGTATCTTTAACAATACCATCCTAAAGGTAAAGGCAAAGACCATTAGGTCCAGTCGTGACCGACTCTAGGGTTGCGTGCTCACACTCATCTCGCTCTATAGGCCGAGGGAGCCAGCGTTTGTCCGCAGACAGCTTCTGGGTCATGTGGCCAGCATGACTAAGCCGCTTCTGGCGAACCAGAGCAGCACATGGAAATGCCGTTTACCGTCCCGCTGGAGTGGTACCTATTTATCTACTTGCACTTTGACGTGCTTTTGAACTGCTAGGTTGGCAGGAGCAGGGACCAAACAATGGGGGCTCACCCCATCACAGGGATTCGAACCGCCAACCTTCTGATCGGCAAGTCCTGGGCTCTGTGGTTTCACCCACAGCGCCACCCACGTCCCTAATACCATCCTAATACCATCCTATGTCAATACTAAACCTTGATCACCAGAGGGTCACCATTATCCTCATTGTAACAGGCATTTCTGATGGAGTAGTTTACACTGATTAGTGAGTCTGATCTTATCATAGCATATGTAATTCTAAAAGGATTGTGTTATTACCTTGCTTTCGTTATAGAAATAATGCAAAATAAATGCAACTGCTGTTAATGAAAATATAAGCTTTGGAGACAAATTACATGAAATCCTAAATAAAGATTTAAGTATTGAAATTGAAGAGGCAGGCCTTTCAAATTTTCCACTCTAGTTAATATGATTTCTTCAGGTAAATTAGCTTGAAGCGTTAAGAACATCCCTGTTTTACTACAAATCATTATTTCAATTTGATGCAAAATGTCATGGAGATTTCTAGTTTCAAGATCACATATTAATATGACTCAGTAGAAATGTACACAGTAAGCTTTGTGCTTTCTGGTGTTTTCAAATTCAATTATAATCAAACAGCCCTAAAAAGAGACTTCTTTCCTAGTGTAGATTTTTATTACCAAATGTGAAAGATTCTTATGATTCAAAGAATACAAACGCGAAATTTTACTTGAAATAAAATGTTTCCTAGTGTTAGTAGGGCAGCCTTTCCTCTCGGTTTGCATATCTGCTTGGCAGGAGTGGTTGGTAATTGGGGCACAGATAATAATGACTTGCTTCTAGCAGGCAGCTATGCTAACAGGAAGTGAGGGATGAAATGTGAGAAACCTGAGGAACTTCCTGCAAGGCCTCAGGAACTCTTGAAATGGTTCAGAGCAACCTTCTCCAACCTTGTTCCCTCGCTTGGTGAATCATTCTCATTGTGCAATTATTTGGCTGAATGTCACCCAGTACCTCACAAAATATTGCCTCTGAAGGTGAAGATTTCGTTTAACTGTACTTCATACCATCCTTTCTATTCCTTCCCGGGTGGCTCCTTCTGTAGCCAAAAGCACAAGCCATACACAAGAGCAAGGTACAGAAGTGCAGAAAAACTTGAGAAAACAAATTAGGAAGGTAAACACACAGAAAGCCCAGCAAGGACATAACATGCTCAATGGTCATGGAATGTTGCCTGGCTTTGAGGAAAAAACAATGTACATATCACATCTGTTAAAAAAGAATGGCTGGAATGTATTACGGCAGTAACAACACAAACATTTGAATGTACGACGGCATCAGAAAAGTGACGTACAGAAGTAGTTCGCTGCTGACTGCTAAATTCTGATATCCTGCCATGGTACTCTTTGAGGTACAAGGACAGGCAGTGCCAGGGTGGATCTACACAGAGGGGGAAAACCCCGCTATAAATAAGTCAGAAATTAATTCGTTATAACAAAAGAAAAAAAGTTATGTGAAAATTGCATAGAAATTTTATTTTGCTCTCTGGCGCTTTCTGGTGTTGCATGTTTATAATATATCCAAAGCTTTTTTCTTTTTCTTTTTTTACTAATGTAGCTGAGTTCCCAGAGTGAAAAGTAGGCACAAACATTGTCCTTGCTTTCGATCCATATTATATCATGGCAGACATAAATTTATTTTGGATATTTTAACTGATGAAGAGAGACATTTTCAATACTGTTCCAAATGTATTTTATTGTCTTACAGGACAAAGTGGATCTTGGCGAGTTGATGTTTTCACTTTGCTATCTTCCAACTGCTGGTAGACTAACTATTACTATAATAAAAGCTAGAAATTTGAAGGCCATGGACATAACAGGAGCATCAGGTAGGAATGTTTTTTCATTCCAGTTTTAATGTACTATTTAGAAAGTAATCATACAAGTTTAGCATATGCCCATCCTAGCATACTCTTTCCTTTGCAGTAGTTTGCTGGAGGGGGAAAGTACACTTGCTCCTGAACCGTTTCATCAGTATTTTTCTGTACCGAGGTAGTGGAATATCCTAGAGGCACATTCCTTGCAAAAATGTGCAAGGGGTCTGCAGTGATCCTCTTTTAAAACATTGTCAGCAGTACTTTGTTACACAATTAATCAAAAGTATAGCCAGGCATCAGGGATAAAATAACTCTGCAGAGTAGAAATACATCCCAAACCAACCTGAAATTGCAGGTAAGACACGCTCTCCACCCATTACCAAACTACATGGCTGTTTTAACTGGGGTAGAAAAACCACCCCAGTTTATTTCCAATGCTTCTTGCAAGCAGTTGAGTTGGAGGGGCCACACACTGTCATCATATGTACTGAAGAAGGGGAAAACTGTGATTCTGCCATCCACTTTGCACCATGATACGGTGGTCAACAGAGGGCAGAAAAACTAGACGTCATCCTGCAGTACAGTGCCACTACTGGTTTTGATCATCTCATTTTGGGTTGTAGGTGTGGCATATTTTATTGCATATTTCTAGTCCTTTAACAAATTCTGTATTTCAAATCAACCCTAGTTTTTAAATGGAGATCCTATTGGGGTATAAATCTTCCCCCATGAATGATTAGTGTCATCTAAGACACAACGGAGAGCGAGGTTATTAACTGTAGAACATTACTTTTATTTAAAATACAGATGACAAGATTATAAGGAAAAGGTATCAGAGAAACAAATTTGGTGTGTTATTGCTTAAAACTTGTGATTATTTTGAAATAAACCAGTATGTTTGTTATGTCCTTCACACAGATCCCTACGTGAAGGTTTCACTAATGTGTGAAGGGAGACGATTGAAGAAGAGGAAGACTTCCACTAAGAGGAACACCCTTAATCCTGTTTATAATGAAGCCATAGTCTTTGATGTCCCTCCAGAAAACATTGACCAAATTAACTTGTTTATAGCCGTTATGGATTATGACCGGTGAGATATCTGGACGTCTCTTCAGACTAGTGACCTAATTGAATCAAATGACAGTAGTTGGTTTTGTCTTCTCACTGAGACCTCTTTAAACTGCCAGAGAGGAGAAACAAGATCTCCCTTTGACAAAAGAGCTGGGGATGAATGAATGGCAGCAGGGAAATGGATTTGGGTGGATTTAGAATGAGTGATGGACAGAGAGTGTAGGCAGTGCCGGATTTACTTATAAGCTAAACAAGCTATAGCTTAGTGCCCCACTTTCTTGGGGGCCCCCAAAAAAAATTAAAGGAAAAAAACACTTGGATGTACATTTCCAAAATATAATATACTTCTTCTTAATTGTATTTCAGTTCAACAATTACTTTGATAAAATACATATTTTGTTATGTGCAAATGGCTTTAGATACCTATTAGGGCCATAAATTAGCATATAGCATATATTCAACACAAAAAACATCAACAATTTGTTGTTGACAAAGGATAGCTGGACATATAAAGGGCCCCATTACCTTCAGTAGCTTAGGGCCTCATCAAACCTAAATCCGGCCCTGAGTGTAGGTTGGGAAAAGACCATGTGGCTGTGAAAGTTAGAGAGAACAAAGAAGATGTGGGATGAGGGAGATATTGAATTATATATTTAAAAGAATTAGGATAGCTTAAGATAGCCATGCTAAGTCGGGAAACTGGAACTGTTCAGATTCTGTATATAAAGACTGCTTGTTCTGCATGTTATGTTCCTTAAATCACATCTGGGTGGATTCCCAGATAAATATGTTTCATCCCATGCATTTGGTGTATGCCAGTAGGTGATGGCAGCAGGTATTTTGAGAGAGATCCGGACTCAGTACAGCAGCTGTGGAACTGACTTTAGTGACCATTTGGAGGTAGACCCTTGTGAGGGACTGCCGGGAGTGTCACACTCCCCAACTCCTCCTTTACTGGAGTACTTAAAAATATTGGAGTTACGGACCAGTTAAAATAGGTGATAGCCTAAGAACTTGTACACATCATAGGCTGTACTCTGGATCTGCTCATTGGTGAGATTTCCAAGGCTTTGTGGACTGGAAAATCAGTTAACATTGGGCAAGTCATCTTTCTCCTCCTTTGCCTCAGTTTGTGTGTGCTTTTTGCCTCATGTGATGGGGAACCTTCCTGGTAGGCTGGAGGTATGATATCTTTAATGGCACCTCCAGGCTAGGGATACCCAGAACCCAGTATAGATCTAGATGCAGTAGCAAGGGAGAGGTGTAGGCTAGCACACACATAATATTCCTTTCTGGCTTCACCCAACAGAAGCTGCTTTGGTGGGTCCACACTGCCAACATGTTCCCTAGAATTAGTGAAAATGTTGCGAGTATGAACAGTAAATGGGACTTTTAAAATGTCATTATACCTTTACATGGGTCTCCGCCTGCTCTAATTTATATACAAGAAGTAAACTTCCATTCCCTGAAGACCAAAATACACATGCCGCTAAATAGGTATATGCCTCTCACGTGAAGGTTTTTTTAAAACAACAACAACTGTAAATTGCATCAGCTAAGGGAGGGTGATAATTAATGGGATCAGAACAAACAGGGGTGTGGGTGTGTTTATTTAACCCTTTCCTCCCCTGATATGGAGTGAGGAATTTTCTGTGCAAATTTCCTCTTCATGCTTGCTCAGATCCCATTAGCATTAAGTGCAAAAAAGATACATTTAAAGCCATGTCAACTTGAGTCCTTAGATGTGTTTCCAAATGCTCACCCTTGCTCAGAGAGGGTTTGAATTACACGGTTCCTGGATGTGAAATTTTAAGAAATAAATATTATTGAACATTTTCACAGTGTAGGTCACAATGAGGTCATTGGAGTCTGTCAAGTAGGCAACGATGCGGAAAGCCTTGGGCGAGACCACTGGAATGAAATGCTCTCCTACCCTCGGAAGCCCATCGCTCACTGGCATTTGCTTGCAGAGGTAAGACTCCTTCACCTGACACACTGCCTTTTCTATTATGCTAGAAGCTCTTAAAATGACCCTAGTGCTGGAGAAAACACCTTTCCCCCCCTCTTCAAACAAGAATCCATATGCTTAGACTAAATCCTTTTAAGACACATCGGAATCCGGAAGCTTAAAGCAAGACTGATGTAGAGATCAAGCGAAATCTGATCCTGAGAGATTTTATTTTTAGTGCAATGTGAAAATACTTCCAACTTAAAGGTAAATCCATATATCATGCATATGTGGATTTTTATAATATCTAAAACTTTGGGTACATACACTAGTACATCCTTGTGTACTGGATTACGTCTGTCTTTTACAGATGGTGGTGTCCACTGGATTACACATATGAAGAAACCACTAACAGGGTTTATGGTTATGTTTATATACAAGACAGAAATAATGATTTATTATCTGGTAATAATGTAAGTCCACAGCAGTGTCCAGAGGGATCTCAAATTATGTTGGAATTAAAAATGTCCTCAGAGTTCAGGACATGCAGTCGAAAGCTCTCCTCAAGTTACAATTAGATTCCTGTGTTTCTTTTGTCTTCATTTAGGGCCCTATTCCACAGAAATGTTATGCGGGCCTTCTGCGCATGGATGGCTGCCGAAGAGGCTTCCTCACTCTTTTAACCTATTCAGCAGAAATTTGGCATTCCTGTTGAACCCTTTCTTAGCCATTTTCTCAGGGGCCATTCCGCAGAGTGTCCAAAGGGGTAAAGACATCCCTTCAATTCCATTATTTAACCCTCACCCGCTTTCCCAACCCCAGAATACATTAATCCCAAACCACAAGATGCAAAACTTCTGTTTGTTAGATGGAAATGTACTTTTGTTTCTGAAGCTTTCTGTAGTTTTGATTCTAACATAGATACCCATGTCTATCTGTAACACCCATATTGTCATCTATACTCCTTAAATGAATTGCATTGTTAGTCGTGTTGTTTCAACCCACATAATGCATTTTTTGAGATGCATGGAAAATAAAACATTTTATTATGATAAGTATTGTCATAGGTGGAAAAAAATGGAATTCATTTGTTTTACATACCTAACCCCACTTTATATACCTAACCCCATTAGGTCAGTGGTCAAACTATTAGTAGACAGTTTTTGTTTTCATAATGTATGGATTACAATACAATAGTGATACGGAAGTTCCAGTAAGTTGTGTGTCATATCCCTTTTAACCATCAGTGGCAACTGCCCCCACAAAACCGAGAGAGCAGTACTGTGCCTTTGTGATTGACTGCACCATAGATTTAAAAAATAACACAGGGGCTTACTACACTACCCAAAACCGAAAGAGAATGTGTCTCAAGGTTCTGAAGAAATATATAATTGTGTGTTTGTGTGTCTTATTAATTTTAAAATGTAGTTGTACAGTAGGAAAAAATAAGGGGGGAAATCATTAAAGTACAATTGAACAAAGACAGATCTCATATCGTTTTTTCTGTAGAACAAGATAGATAGATGAGGTATAAGACCAGGATGCAGAATTCAGAAGAAAAACAGGAACCTTCACAGACACTTTCCAAAAATCAGGATCATGTGGAGCAGAGGGCTGGAACCCTTTGGAGGTGGAATTACTAAAAGTCAGAAATGGAAACCACACATTTGTAAACACGTCCGGTGTAGCTTGGCCTTTGAGCACATTTCAGAACAGCCCAACGTGTTTTGGCCAATGACTGTTTAAAGGTCTTCTTCAAGGGCTACAAAAACATAATAATACACCACATGAATAAAAAATGGAGTGCATATTGAAGCTAGAGACTTTGGTGACACGTGGGCTTAAAGAAGTATTGGATTTCCTTCCACACTTGGAGACATGCCCCTGGGGTTGTTGTTGTTTTTTTTTGCACTGTCATGTTTAGAAATGAAAGTCCTTGATATTTTTATCACAAATTAACAACACCTGTGTGTGATTCATTTGAAAATACGCCATTTGCTGCCTTCAGACAACAATTCCAGTTGCCAGTTAATGTGAGCAGAGATATGGGCAGGCCATTTGTCAATTTAAGTAAGTATACATAGGCTCATACACAATTTGTATATGTTCTTACAGCCCCTGAAGAAGTCGTCACTTGTTGTGTGGAACCTATGGCCCTCCAGGTGTTACTGAACCAGAACTCCCATCAGCCCCGGCAAGCACGGGCAATGGCTAGGCATGATGGGGGTTGTAGTTCAACAGCATCTGGAAGGCCAAAGGTTCTCCATACCTTTGTAGGCCGAAAACACTTTGGGCTGTTGCGAAAATAAAATCCATACATTTCTTCAACGTCTTGAGAAACACTCTCTTTTGGTTTTGGGTTCATTTTGGATTCTCTCCACTTTTTGCATTTCTTTTTCACTACAGTACAACAAAACTACAAGCTACTCCCACCCATAGCATTTTGAGAATTTGGGTCTTGTGGAATGAGTCATGCACTGAGTAGTTTTGACAATTGGAAACCACCCAAGTACAATTAAAGAAACAAATATAAGAGTTAGATTAAAAAGAATAGATAACAATATTAGGCCTATTCTAGTGATTTAAAAACATTTGGTGAGAAAGCCTGTGGACTTCACTCTTCTCCAGGCACGCGTTCAAATTGAAAGCAAATAAAGTAGGTTTGTGGTACGGCCAGACTTGTTGATTTTATGACATGGTAGTCTTTTAGCAAGTTTTGCTATTTAGATTACAATTTGTTTGGCCTAATTCAAATTTGTTATATTTGCTTTGCAGCTCTGATCCTAAATGGTTTGAAAAATCTGAGCCCCCGGTCATCTCCCTTTGGGGAAGGCCGAATAAACTGTAGTCCAATTAGCAAATCTTGGAGAGAGACTTTCAACACAGCAGCAACACCTCATCTGGAGAAAAACAAACAAACAAACAAACAAACCACTAAAGCACTTTTTACATGGTATGCAGAGATTGTTATAAACCAAAATGTGAAATGACTATCACACCCTTAATGGAAAATACGTAGACCAATACATCTTTGTTACCTTTCTTGAGGGTGAGGAGTTGGGTATTTTTGTCAATCTGAAAAGCCAGTGCATAGAATGTTCAATATTAATAATGGGCATCACTAAGTAAAAAAGAAAAATCAAAAATACAGTTGTAAGCCACAGTCATTCTGCTATCAGGAGCACTGTCTAGTAATTAAAAAACTTAGATGAAACATTTATATTCTGTTTGTGAATCCATATTAAGTTGTCAAATAACTGTTCCAAGTTTGTAGAATAAATCATTTCCATAAGTATCACTTAATCTTGTCCTGCTAACCATATATACTTCAAGTTGGCATCTGCAATGTATTATTATTTAAATCTTGCATAGTAATATAATAGAATTCGGATTTTTGGGTTGGGTTCAATTCGGCCTTCCTTTTCAGATTGGACCAAAACAGTCCTGGGATGTTGGGGATCTGGGGATCTGTATGTTTCTTGCTTTCTGGCATGGGTACAACTGTGCATGCTTGCAAAAGCATCCAAGTCTGAAACATGAATTACTCCAAGCCTTTCCTATCACCTACTGTTGCCTTGTTTTCTTTGGTAAAAATGCCAACAGCAGAAGAGTTTGTAGCTCTTTCCTAGCCCACTACCTTCCTGATGGTATCATGAGGATTTCCACACAGCACACGTGAAGCCGCATACTCCAAATTAGTACATTTTAATGAAGCCCCTTCTAAAACAGGAATAGTTAAGAACAATAAAAGCAGTAAGATTTGCAAATTAATTTTACTCCCATCGTTTCCTCTAGCTATATATTTTTTCCTGATAAGAGAAGAAAATAATGGCAATTATAGAAAATTCAAAGTTTCCAATATGATACTGGACAAGGTTCAAAGTTCTTGCATGCACAGAATGAGGACTGATCACAGAATGGGACTTTCCCCCTTCTCCTCACCCCCATGGACCTCCTAAATTTGCTCTGGAGGATTGAGGAACCTCCAGAACAATATTAGGGCACAGGGGAGGAGATGGGGGGCAGTCCCACTGTGTGAGCTGGCCTCATTCCCCACTTGTCTACCCCACTTAGCACCACCTTGAATTCCACCCATTGGATGGAATTAGATATCTATGCAATTGGTTCCTTTTACAGCAGGCCATATGAAATACAGAAACTGTAACAGATTATGCTGAAATGCATTGCAGTTTAAAGCAAACTAAAGGAGCATTTTTTGTTATGCCATATTCAGGCGCAGAATCTAGGATCATAAGTCACAGATACATTTTTTAAAAGATGAATTCATGCATCATGTAGCCCCCTCATAGCCCTCAAGTACAGAACAGACTATATCCATCCTGTGACAGTTTCACATATATGGAATGGGTCTGTGTATCATTTACATATAGGTGTTTGCTTTCTTTTAAGGGAACCCTAATAAATATATATGTGCTTACAAGGTAGTCAGATGGCTTCTTTCTTTCTTTTTTAACATTTTACAGCTCCCGAGAGCAGGAAGCAAGTCCCTCGTGGCCACACAGGTAAAAATGTTTACACAGAAAAAGATAGCTGGGGGCAGCCAACTTTTTCTATGTACAACTCCCCAGGAAGGGACTGCATGGTATGGTGTACAGTCACTTCTTGGGAGCATTTTTAAAGACTTTTTAACCTGCACAGCCACAGTGGACTTAATAGCTGATCAAAGCAGCTGTAAAAGGTTTAAAAAGAAAGAAGGCAGCCCTCAGACCATCTTGTAAGAACTGTTGCCATATCCAGGTGTGTATCAGTTTGTAGATTATATGGACAATTACATAGATCTACATTCTAATCGACACAAGGGCTGGGGGGGGGTTTATGGAATGGTTAGGTTTGCTTTTAAAAATCCATAGCGAATAAAGTTCCTCTCACCTTCCTGCTCCACCATTTTTGATGAACATCTCATTTTGGGAATTTTCTGGCTCCCTCTGCTGCTACATGTCAAATTCCCAGGTGGAAATACAGAACGCTTCTCCCTGTTGGGATTACTTGAGAGGTATATTCATTGTTCTTTGCAGAAGTATTAACTGAATGTGAGGACTATAGTCACAGAATTAAGCTGCACGGAGTGTCCCATAATAATTAGCATTGGTAAATATTACTTGAGCTTGTCCTCACACCTGGGATCTCAGCCTACTTCCATGTTAAATTTAACGTTGACATTAATCATGGAACGGTTTGGGACCCAAGACAGGAGTTCAGCCTTCAAATCCTTTTTTTCCATTTGCTGTGAGCATGCATAAAAGTCCTTAAAAGAGGGATGAATCATGCCATCATTGAAAGCACTGGAGATTATAGCAGCACTTCTGAAATATTAGAGGGTAGGGAGAGACGGCAAGCCTACCTAAACTGCAGGAAACCAGGCTAAAGGAATCAGTGGGATACTTATTTTGGAACTATCTTTTTCTCAGTGCTCAGTATTCAGGAACACTTAGAAGTACAGCCTTTTTAATATATATTTATTATGGCTAATGAATGGGGAAGGGAGAAAAGTTAAAAGTAGGCATAACTTAAATTGGACCAAAGCAGCCAGAAACGTCCTGAGTTATCACAGTGTTCTTTCGTTCTGTCAAGAGCAATGTACTATAAAATGACTGTACCTCAGAGTAAAATTGGAAAAATAATGGCAGTGGTATTCATAAGGAAAGAATTCTGCCATAAAGTCCATTTAAAAAAAAATAATAATAGCTGCTTCTGTGAAAAACCACAACAGAATAATACTACATACAAAAAAAAAAAGGGAAAGGGAGAGCATTAACGTCTACTCTACTTTTGTTCCCCCCGTCATTAATAGTTGCTTCCTTCTTCATAATTGTGTTTTATAGTGCACACACACAAAAAAAAACAGTTGAAAGAAATAAGATGTGCCAAACTGAGGTGTGATATTAATGGAACTATGCATTCCGTGTGGTATATCTTCAAGCATTGCATTAAAAGGTTGTTTCTAATACAGTGGGTTGGGCAAGGAACTGCAGCTGGAAGCAAGCCTGGGTCCTGCAATTCTCTCAAAGGGCCTCCATCTCCGTGAAGGGAAATGAACTGTGTACATCTAAAGGACTGTGATGGGGCCGCACTCAAGAAGGATGGGCAACATGGATGCACACCTCCACTGCTAAATAAGCTAACAAAAACGACGCAGACAAGGCACGTAGAGAAGATGGACTGTAAGCATCCGGGCTCTTTTTTCCCTCTGTTTGTTTTCCATTTCCTCACTGTTTCTGTTTTCCTTTGGCCGCTGCAGAGTGAATACAGGTGGCTAACAAATGGAAACACGCCACGGTGTGCTTGTAGCTGCTTGGAAAGCTGGCTGGCTTTCTCATCTTGCCAGATCAGGAGGCCTGTACCACCACACCTGATCTGAGGAGGAGGGAGTGGTAGAAACCATTGTGACGACAGCGCTCCTCAGGCATTCTGCATAGTCGTGATGCACACACTTTGCTTCATCACTTTCCACATGATGATTTAAACAAGTGGGGAACCTCCATGGATAGAAGTAACTACCTGGCTCATAAATACAACATCCAATTCACCTTTGTGTGAACCACTAAAGAGGGCTGATGTGGGAGGGTGAAACACAGCTAGCTTACTAAGTGGTTACAAGCACACCAGGATGCAAATCAGTGATGGGGAGCCCTCAGCCTTCCAGATGATGTTGGGTGCCCAACTTCCATCATGCTCAAGGATTGTGGGAGTTGTAGTCCAGCAAAATCTGGAGGGCCTCGGGTTCTCCACCCCTGGTGCCCAGGCACGTGACTTGGTAAACAGTAATTTGTATTCACCGATAATTATCTCTCAAATTTGCAATGTTTTGTTTGGTTGCATGCTGGATAGTCCTCCTCATTTTTTTTTTCTTCTTATTTTAGGCTCATCACGAAAGTATGTAAAGAGATCTGTTGTATTTAAATATGACTTTGCTTTGATGACACACAGACATTGTACTATACTTTTAATATTTGTTGTTCAATGAGTAGTCCTGGTACATCTATGTTCAGTGTCTAATTTGGAGCGTAAACCCACATCCTTGTCAAGGCTTTGTTAGTTTGGTGGACTTTTTTTCTCTTCGTTCGGTAGAGGTAATGCATGATTGATTTGCAGTAACAGTTTGAGGGGCGAAATAAATTTAACATTTCTTAATTTTATAAAAAAAAAGTATAACGTTCTTATAAACACAAGTAAAACGTACTGTGGTTTCATTTATATAGATCTAGTCTGTACGAATTATTTTGTTCTTAATAAAATGACGTAAGAAATTGTGCTACTGTAATTTATGCCTATTTTGTATTTATATATTAAAGTTGAAGTGAATGTTTAAACAGCCCACATTCGGTGCTTTAAAAGTGTTTTAATTCCATGTTCCCTGATAGCAACCTGTGGAGTAATTTTCTCCGAATCAAAGCCATAAATTAAGGCTGGAAGCAAAATAAGCAAGTACCATATGCAACAAGGAGAGGACAATGCAACAGATACATTGCCTGGGTTCCCTGTTGGAATGGAAATCTGCAGGATAAAACACAGTTTCTGCAGAGTTAAGTATTATTTCCTTAAGCACCACTGAGCAATTTAAGGGCAGTGTTGCAATTTGGTTCACCCACCCACCATGTTTCACATTTTAATTTTTCAAATTGACAAGAGTATAATTTTCTTGTTTAAATGAGTAAGACTGACTTTCTATCTGCCAATGTTTGACATGTCATTCAGGGAAATTGTTAGGTGTGCTTAGGTAGAGTGTGGTCATGCATGGAAAAGAGGATTTGGGAATAACTCAGACCCGTTCTGAGCAAACTCAGACATGTTTCTTTTACTCACCGAGAGACACTGCATTAAACTCAGGGTGACTAATGCTGAGAACCTATGCACACGTACTTGGCAGTAAATCCCACTAAACATGGTGCTGCTAACTTCCAGGTAAACATACATAGTATTAAAAAGTAAAGCAATATACCAGTTGCAGGGAATCAAGCGGATAAAGTTACTGCTCTCATGTCATCCTTGTGGATTTCCTGTAGGCATCTGGGGTTAGGCACGGTGAGAACAGAATGACTAGATGGACCTTTGACCAGATCCAGCAAAGCTGTTTGTATGTCTTTCTATCATAGGACATATTTTATAGACATGGGATGACTTGTACAAGGTTCCTGTCATGGATAAACATGAATGCATCATATGAATAGTTCACCCGTTCTGTAAGCTCCTTTCCCTACTGTGTTCCAATACTGCCATGGAAAAGCATGTCCTTTTAAGGCCCACTCTTGTGGTCCACCCTGAGCATTTATAAATATAGCTTCTGGCTTGACAAATAAACACACACAAAAAAATCTATAACCCATTTGATGGTGAGGTAAAACATAAGCATACACTTGTTTTTCCTGTCTAATTATAAACAGATGAAGTCACTTCCCGCTAACTCCATCTCCCCCTAAAGTCATTTGTCAATGCCTGGTTTCCTTCTATTATAAGAAAATAAGTAAAGATATTTCAGACTTTTCTCAAAAGCCATACAAATAGAAAAGGTTATGCACTTTAGCTAAATGCCATTTTACTTCTGTTTATATTGTAAATGTTGGTAATGTTTTGTGCAACATAATCTGCATAAAATATGCAGGCATTTCTCCCCTTCCATTTCTCTCTCTCTCTCTCTCTCTCTCACACACACACACACACACACACACACTTCTGGAAGTCTTGAGCTGAAGCCCCATTGTTTCCAATTTCTCAAGGTTGATCACGAGGGCTGCTTATGATTCAAAAATGTCACATCCAGCACCATGAACTATTCTCACACAGATTTGTTAAATCTGAATTGCAGGTGTTCCTACTAAGTAGTCCATGGAAAAATAGGAAGAGCAGGAGTGCCTTTAATTCCTTGATCCCCGAGCCGGTGATCTGAGGCCAAAATGATTTCTAGATTCAAGCGCTTATTATCTGTCTCCAGTGTCTCTTCCCATGAACATTCATTCCTCCCAAAAGGAGGACTATTGTTCATCCCAGTGTGCATATATCCACACTACAAGCTGGCAGATATAATGTGGCATGCATACAGGTCAACATCAATTATCAAAATCAATGCAAATTCCTTGGGTTGTAGGCAATTCTGACCCTCTGTTGATGGAAGGCTCTTTGGTCCAGCAGGGGCTTCTGCGAATGGAAAGCAGAGAAGGCAGTTCCTTTCCACTCCCTTTCTCTCTGTGTCCCCTCCCAAAATTTTTCCCCAGGCACTTGCAGGAGCCCCTGGAACATGGAGCATGGGAGGTAATGGGGAGAATTGCAGGAGAAAGGGGGGACTTACAAAATTCACCACCTCCCGCTTTCTGTTTGCGAAATCCTCTCTTGGCTCAGTTGGATACACAAAACATTGTGCATATCTGATATATGAAGGCACCAAAAATAAATCAGTTTATTGCATGATTGCCATTTAAATGTTTTGCTTTTATTAATACAGGCTTGTCTTTATTTAAGTACTTATCTGATAGATCACGGTTATCATAAACTGCCTCAACTTATCTGATAGATTTGCCACAAACTGGTTCAGCATTAAGTCACCAAGTTTGAACAAGGCAATAGACCACAAGATAACCTGCAACACTACGAAGGCCAACAAGGCCTGCCCAACAAGGAGCTCAAGGGGGCACACACAGGTCTCTCGCTACCGTTTTATTCTCGCTTCTGAGGTAGGTTTGTCTGAGGGACAGCATTTGGGTCAAGATCACCCAAGTGAGCTCACGACTAAGTTGGGATCTGAACCTCAGTCTCCCCAGTCCTTGCATGACACTCCACAGCCCCACACTGGCTTTTGGTGAACCACAAAGCTGAATGCGGCCAAAATCGGCCTATCAGCCATATATGGCAGCCTATCAGGGGCCCAAAAACTCTGTCAGCCTAGGACTGTGAAAGCAGAGGTAGTTAAGTACCTGGTAGGTCACCATTGTGGACATGTTTGGCTTCCTCCTCAGTTTCCAGTTGTGCCTGCAGTGTGAGAGAGACTTTGCCTGTCTCTTAATGAGAAAAGGTGCATTTCAGGAACCATTTAGAATCGCCTTTGTCTCTGTCTTTGAGCTGATTTGCCCTTTTAACACAGTGATCAATAATCTACAGACTATATATAGAAGAGTTTGCCATTTCCAATTTAATTAAACCACAAGCCTCAATTTCATTCATGGAGTCACCAAGAAGGTCACATATTTTAATTTTTCTGGTAAAACTTAGAATACTTTTAATGTTTAGGAATTGCAAATTGCTGTTATTTGTGTTTTCCCCAAAACAACCGTGAACCTGCCTTGTAGGAAAACTGTGATTGTTCAAAAAGATTTAAATTGAGGTTGTATAATTTTGAACATACAACTTGCCAGCGCTTCCTGTTCCGCCGAGAAATTTGTGCCTGTCAGGGAACGGTTACAATAGGAGCCACTCTGTACCCTCTTTGTTGTAGGTGCAGGACTGCAGCCCATGTTTCCAGGATCTCTGTTAATGTTCAGACAATCTAATGTCTGCAATGTGTTTATTGAAAGAAAACATTTATTTAGTGCATTTGTAGCCAACCTCTCCAATGAGCTCAGGCATCATACACAGTTCTTCCCAGCAACTCTGTGTTAGTCTGAAAAATAGTGACCGCTTCAGGAGAGGATTTGTACCTGGCTCTCCCCAGTCTTCGTATAAAACTACTGCACTAACCTCAAAGAAGTTCAAAAAAGCTTTGCACCTCATTCCTGCATTTCACTGTCAGCACAAACTGCCTGATGTACTGTAAGGCAGCACTGAAGCAGAGTGAGACGGTTCTTGTTTTTGCTCTAAAATGACAGCATTCATTTTTCACCCCTCACTGTGAAGAGAGGCTTTGCTTGTTGGAAGCTCTTAGCAATTGTTCCAGCCAAAGGAGGTACAAATATCTATGAAACTGTCCCTAATAGTACTGCTCCTCTAAATCAATGGCTTTAGGGTTTCCTCTATGTGTCACATCCTTCCTGTTTACGTACAGTTTTAGTTGTTGTAATAACCTAAGACAAATTCAGTCAAAGAAGCAGTCTCGGGAGCAAATGCAGGAATGTAAGTTTTCAGAGTGTGGATAATGGATCTTATTCTGCATTTAACAGAGATACATATCTGGGGTGCAAAGCTGTTCAGAGACAAAAGGGCTAATTTTCCATTCTGTTATCTTTTTCTCTCCAGTTAACACCCTGCTAAGATATCTCTATGAATATGCATCTCTAAATCATTACTTTAATCCGCATACTTATAGAAGATACACAATTCAAATAGAACTACATAGCTCTTTTGGAAATACTCATAGGCTAAATGTATGCGCATCAGTATCTTGAATCTTTTATTGAAGGTTGTTATTCAATCTGTGTTTAATTTGTAGGCAGGGGAGAGATACTGGTGCTCAAGTCTGTTTGGAATCACTTCTGATCTGGAAGCTGTTCCCCCTAATTTCCAATATTCTTACCTCTATATAGAGTAAAAACCACTTTCTGGTAACCCAGTAGTTAAGGAAATACATTGTGCAACTGCTCGTGCACACTTCCTGCCATTCTGTGAGGGCCTGCCAGATCTCACAAGACCTTCTCTAAAGATGTGGGGATCAATACCATGGTGCTCTGCACTGAGTGAGGCCATTGGTCCATCTTGTATTATCTACACTAACTGGCAATGTCTCTTCAAGATTTCAGACAGTTCTCTCCCTTGCCTACCAGGAGAATGAACCTCAGACCTTCTGCATGCAAAGCAGATGCTCTACCACTGAACCATGGCCCTTCCAAGAGATCAAGGTCCTGTTCTCTAGCACAAATGGAGACGATACACCTGAGGCACAATCAGAAGATGCTTCTCTGAGTGACACCCTGCTTGAGGGAGTTACAACAACAAAGAGACCCACTGTTCTTTGTTGGGATCTCATCACAGCTGACACCACATCCCTTCCTCACCCTTGGGAGCACTAGCATTGATAGGCCCAGTTTGGGTCCCACGACACAAGGCCCAGTTAGGAGGCTGAAGCTTCCCAACCAGGGAGGAGGCCATAAGTCCATGGCTTGTTCTAGATCCTGGCCCTGAGCAGTTCCATGACTGGGAAATCTGTGGCACTCCAGTGTTGGACCCCATCAGTTGACATGGCCAATGGAGTGTCTAAAAGCAGAGTTGGAAAACCTGAGGTACCCCAGCTGTTACCAGACTAACACAGGTTCCCCAGCTCTGCTCAGCAGTGGTACAACAGCTCCAGCTCAGCCAGGTCACATATTTGTCCTTGCCGTGGTGAAGGTGGGAACAATCATATTTCTAACATCATGAATTCTCAGATTAAGCTCTGGCATTGAACGTTGGTACAAATTAAGCACAGCATCCAGTCTCCTTCAAACATCGTTGTCTCTTGTAAGGTAGAGTCACAAAAACATCAACAAAGATCACCAATGGTGAAAACAACAGAAAGATGTTTCTTTTTTTCACTCTGCTGCTAATTTTTGAAGAGGGAGAAACATCAGAAACCTATTCAGATCCAAAATACATTTACTTAGGAATAGGCATGATGCTGCCTGGGGGTCTGTTGTGAGGAAGGGTAAGATACAAATTAAATTAAATTAAGCTAAGCACAGATAATCCATAAATTTCAATGGGAGAAATAGAATGCAATCCCATAACTTGCAGTAAGTCTCAGTGAATGTAATGGGTTCAAAGTAGTCATGTTTTGGATTCCACTGTTAAGCTCATGCACACTCCCTTCTGTTTATATTAGTTGGACTTGAAAATGCTTAACTTTGGCTGGATTGTGCCAAATAATTTAAATAAATGACCATAAATTCTTCATCTGTAATACCAACCAGAAAAGCACATACATCCCTGCAGTGCTACTTCCCCTCCAATACTTAATGGCTTTGAATTCCTTTCTTCATCACAATCTCAAACAATATGTTTTTGTTTGTTTTGATATTTTCTTCACTCCAAGACAACCAGCATGGGCCCACTTTACACTGTGCCTCAAACTGCAACTGGTTTGTAATTACTGTCTGAAACCCAATTAATAAGAGCTTGCAGCCCCTGAAAAGATATAATTAGGGAAATTATTTTGTGCATACATTTCGCCTGCACACTCAACCATCAATTAAATCATTACCCTCTAATCCGGTTCTCAGGCTGGGAAATGTTCTCTGAGTCAGTAATTCCGGTCGCCACCAGAAGCTTGTTTTCAGATAGTTTTTAAGTGAAATTGGTGAGCTTATTGGATGAATTAAGGTAAGTACGTTTCTGCTATGGAAAGGAGGGCTAGAGTGCTTTCTCTCACTTTGAGATGCAAAAAGGCAGCCGCCTTTTTGAGACTAATAGCTCTTACTTAACTGGCTTAGGTTCAATTTAATCATGATGGTGATTGGGTACATGGGGTGGCTCCAAATGTCTGCATTTTGCTTCCCAAATGGATCTGGAAGATAAATGCCCTCTCTGTTACTGCATGCATGGCCAGGCCTATAATGGTGGTGTGAAATTAGAATCTGGTTTACAGCAGACATGTGGTGGCCCCAACCATGTAGTAGTAATCACACTGTCTATGGAACATAAAAACTTTTATTTTAGAGGAGATCTTGCATGCCCCTATTCGGTTGACCACCCTTGTTAGTTTCCTAGCTGCCACTTAGCATTCCAAGCAAACAGTGTCTCACACTGTCACCTGGGATGAAGAAGTGGCCCCACTTCTTCTGCTGTTCCTCAGAAGAGCATAGCCTCCAACATTTCCCCAATGAAAAAATAGATGTCCTATTTCATAGTAATGATAATATTTTTATTATTTATACCTCACCCACCTGGCTGGGTTGCCCCAGCCACTCTAGGTGGTTTCCAACATTTATAAAAGCATAATTAAACATTTAACAACGTCCCTTCTTAACCTGAAACTGTTCTTAACCTGAAGCACCACTTTAGCTAATGGGGCCTCCCACTGCCGCCGTGTGATTTCTGTTCTTATCCTGAGGTAAAGTTCTTAACCCAAGGTACTATTTCTGGGTTAGCGGAGTCTGTAACCTGAAGTGTCTGTAACCTGAAGCGTCTGTAACCCGAGGTACCACTGTAATTAGAAAAAAACCTGAACATTGTATTGACTTTATTAGTCAAATTTCTCTAGGAGGAGGAGAAATTCTCCAACAGGTCATGAAAATAAGACCCGCCATTAGCAGTGGCACCAACGTTTTTGGTCTTTAGCTACTGCTACTTGTGGCAGCTTGACCACAATTTTATACCATCACTGTACCAAAGCCTGTACCAAATAATATGTAAAGCATATTATTTTATTATTGATTAATTATAAACCCACGATAGTTAAATTGGGACCTCATGTTCAGAGGCAAGAGACTTCTGAGTACAACTGCTGGGAGATACAAGGCCTGCTGCCTTCATGCCTTGCTTTCAGGTTTCCTAGCGGCATTTGCCTGGATTAAATGGATCCTTGGTCTGATCCAATAGGATGTTCTTCTCTATTTCCTCAGCTTTTGTTTTTGTGCGGTGTTGCGCATGTGTTTATATAAATAACATTAATGTAAGACCCTTTGTTCTGGATCAGACCAATGACAATCTGGTCCAGCATTCCATTTCCAATAGTGTGGCCAGTCAGGTGTTTCTGAAATCTAACATGTCAGCCAGGGTGATGATGTTTAAAAGGTTTCCTTCCCCTTTCAACTCTTGTCTGTCATCCTTTCCACTAACTGTGTTGGGGGGATATATGAGAAAGTAACTTGCTGTTCAAATGTGGCATGCCTTAACTCACTAACTGCTCTCCTGCCTCTTTGCTCCCTTCCCCCCCAATCATAAATTTGGCAAATGTTTTCTTTTAGCAGTAAACTTAAGCACATTTAAACTTTACTCTGTGCTTTGCTTGTTCAAACACTTTCCAAAATATTTCCCCCTTTGGTTTATCACTGGTTTTTAATTAGCTTTATTGGGGCCAAAACTATTTACTGTTGTGGGCCGCTGTGGAGAGAAGACACAGACATCCCAAGGATTAATGAGTTCGAGAAAACTCTTTTTATTAGTAACAGAGGCTTATAATAGAGATTAGTTGCTGTGTCACAGTTTTGACTGTACAAAATATTTCTGTTGAAAAAATGTGATGTTTGGCTTTTTCGCACTATTGCTATTCACAGCAAATCATCAGCTTTTCTGATCTGTTGAAGGCAATACAAGGGTGTCACTGACACCAGCCTCAAATTATTCTACTTCAGGCTTCTGACCTGATTTGCACAACTTATCTCCAGCATTGTCTTCTTGGACATATTTTATCTCTCAGTGCTATCCTCTCCATGTCTACTCAGACCTGTTTTGCTCAGTGGGCCTTACTCTCAGTTAAGTGGGTACAGCTGCCTTAACCATGTTTTTCAAGCTTTCAGGAAATCTGCAGTTCGGTAGGGCTACCTTTGCTGCAGTAGACAACCAGAGGTTTCCATCATATTGTCAAGAGTAGCCTTTCCTAATTCTAGTGCCGCCCAGATATTTTGGACTACAACTCCCATCAGCCAACATAGCCAAAGATCTGGGATGATGGGAGTTGTAGTTGGACATCCAGTTTCAAATTTATCTTCCGAGGTGGAATGATTAGTGTTACTCTGTTAAGCTGGTTAAGGTTTACTGTACCCTGGAAAGCGTGTAGTGTGCCATGGGTTACTTGGCAGCTATAATACCCTCCATCAGAAGTTGCCTTACTCTAATTAATTATTATTATTAATAATAATAATACCCCACCCACCTGGCTGGGTTTCCCCAGCCACTCTGGGTGGCTCTCCACAGAATATTAAAAACACGATAAAACATCAAACGTTAAGAACTTCCCTAAACAGGGTTGCCTTCAGATGCCTTCTAAAAGTCAGATAGTTGTTTATTTCCTTGACATCTGGTGGGAGGGTGTTCCACAGGGTGGGCGGCACAACCGAGACGGCCCTCTGCCTGGTACCCTGTAACCTCACTTCTTGCAGGGAGGGAACTGCCAGAAGGCCCTTGCTCTGGATCTCAGTGTCCGGGCAGAACGATGGGGGTGGAGACACTCCTTCAGGCTTGACTCTACAAAAACGAAACAAAAATATGAGAAAGAAAAAGAAGCAAAGATTTGGGAGGATATTGGAACACTTTGGCAGACCTGATATGCCCCCAGTGCTTAACAAGAAAAAAAATGTGTTGATACTCACCATGAAGTTGTTACAGTAAGTGGCACACTTTTCACATTGGGGGGTGGGAGAGGTGTCGGCATTGTGTACCCTTAATTACCACCAGAAAAAAAGCACTGTATACTCCTTTGGGGAACGAGTTTCTGGAAGGATCAAATCCAGACCCATCTTGACTGCATAAGCTTCTTGTCTCAAATATAAGGTGCTCATTATTACTACTATTTATTTTTTGCATAACACCATTGAAGTCATAATATCCATAACATCAAAGAACAAGACACGGATAGTACAGTAACTGACATTGACAACCACCATGCTTCCAAGCTTGTATTTCCCCACTCTTTATATCAATGTTTCCCTTATCCTTTTTGTGGTACCAGGCTCTGATCTGTAGTGCACAAAATAGCACCTGCATGAATGATATTTCAACACTATAATTGTAGTATATGTCGCCACTGGTTTCAGAGCAGCTCCCAAAGGATGTCTCGTAAGAGGATATTAATCACATGCCTGGATGCTGAGAAGGAGCTTTATACAGGCTGGACCTGGTAGAGGATTATTATTAATAGGAAATAACAAGTTCTTATATCTCGGTAAATAAATATATTGCCTTAACTC